TTTTCTGCAGTGGTTCCCCGTTTGTAGAATGCTCTCCCCCGGGAGGTTCGCCTGGCACTTTCGTTATACTTCTTTAGATGCCAGACAATAATGTTGCCGTTCAAGCAGGCCTTTGGCTGATTATCATCCAATACCCTTTTAAGTGTTTATTAAGTTGTATTTGTTTTATTATGTATTTTTTTTATGTTGTGATTTTACGTTGTGAACCACCCTGAGATCTACAAGTATAGGACGGTATACAAATTTAAGAAATAATAACAATAGCAATAATACACTGAAGTAACAGTAGCTTAGTCCACTGGTTCTTCACTTCCACACTACTCAGAATGCCAACACACTCCTCTGTCAGTTTCAAAATGGCAGCTGTAAAAAGGGACCTATTTACATGGCTTCATTTGATGCCTTGCACACAGCTTGAGAAGCAAGGAGAAATAAATACAGAAGTGAAGAAATGTACTCTTAAACTATTACTGTTTGAGGGCATGGATTGCAACACACCTTGGTATAAACCGTAACTTGGTTTCTTGAGGAACATCTTTCAGACAGAAGCTATTTCTGAGCCCTGGAAAGTGTTGTGTCCATTTCACGATGCCATTGTGAGGAAAAGCATATCAAAGGTCTCCTTGCCTTTTCTGCAGCCTCAATCTTTTCTTCCAGGACTTTTATGCCTTAAATCTTCAACAGAGTTGTGGCCTGCATTGAGGCTATTCTCTTATATGTACATGACAAATTCAACCTCCCATAGCTTTCATTTTAACCATAGCTATCCTGGGCTTGCCATGTTTTCTTTGCCTACTTAGACAAATTATTCCATTAAATAGTTTACAGATACAGATCTTTACTGATGTACGATGCCACCTGCTGGCTAAACCCCTATGAAATTACCCTGAATTATGGGGATTTGATGCCTTCTAAGAAACTTGGGATAATAAGTCTTGCCTGTTAAGTGAAACCCTTGAATTGCATTGTTCTTGGGAACAGCTGGCTTCTGCAAACACTTAAAAACAATATTCTGTGCATATTACATAAAGTGAAAGAGTTTACTTTTAAGGTCTTAGCCTTCAATATGTTTCGCTGCTGCAAGCTTCATTAAATATGATGATTGGCGTATCGGAGGTCAAAATATCAAATTTCAGCCACAACAGCTCATGCCAGGAAATGCTCCACGTTCTAAATGTTTGTGTGCTGCAATGCTGCTTATGGCGCAGAGTGCAATCCAGCCAACAGAAAAGCATTGCTAACATCCTATTCCATAGTTTTCATCAAGAAGCAAGGCTCCACCTACACATGCAACACAAAACAAACTAAAGCGGCTTGGAAAGAGAAAAGGTCTATTCCAGATGTGCTGGTTTTCATTATTTGCACTGAGTTTTCACTACAAAAGCTCATTCAAAAATGGGACCTTCCCACCTGGAATCTAAAATGGCACGTTCTGCCTCCTGACCTCCCTACATGTACAGTGGTGCCTCGCAAGACGAAATTAATTTGTTCCGCGAGTTTTTTCGTCTTGCGGTTTTTTTCGTCTTGCGGTTTTTTTCGTCTTTCGAAGCACGGTGTCGGAAAAGTTTTGGAAAAGCTTCAAAAATCACCAAAGTCTTCAAAAACCTCAAAAAAGGCTACCACACCGCGTGCTATGAGTTGCTCCTCGAAGTCAAGTCGCAACTGCATTAACGGTTTTAAGAAAAAGGGAACAAACTTGCAAGACGTTTCCGTCTTGCGAAGCAAGCCCATAGGGAAAATCGTCTTGCGAAGCAACTCAAAAAACCAAAAACCATTTCGTTTTGCGAGTTTTCCGTCTTGCGAGGCATACGTCTTGCGAGGTACCACTGTATAGATCGGATCTAAGCCCAGTGAGGCTATGAGAAACTCTATATTCTCATGTAGACTGACAACCATGTTGAGCAACTGCAATTTGGCACCTGTGAGGTGAATCCTGAATAGACAAATATCCCTCTTTATCTTCATTCCATTCTTGGCTTTAATCCTCCTTTTTACAATAACTTGACTGGCCGGAACCGTCTGGCCCTGCTCAGAATGTACATGTTCAGAAGCATTAAGGAGTTTGGAGCAACCCCTAAGTAAATTTCTGACAGGCCACTTTTACCACTTACCTCAGAGAGGAAGTTTTTCTTGCTGTTGGCCCAATTCGTCCCTTTAAAGAGGCCTGTTTTTACTGGTCTCAGATTCCTATACATAAGTGAGGCATCTCCCTCAGTCTCCTTGAAACTATCTGGTTAGGTGGCCAAAGATGTGCTTATGTTCTCTCAGAACCTCCCTTCTACCAGGAACTCTGCACATGCTCTGAAACCCAGCACTCTGCTCAAGCTTTCTAGCTAAGGTAGAAAAAACACACAATTATTTTTGTGCGTGCATGTGCATGTGAGAGTGTGTTATAAAGTAGGGTTATAAAGACTAGCTGCCTGAGAAACAGTTTCTACCCAAATGCAATTCTGGTTCTAAATGCAGTATAAGGAGTATATTGTATTTTAAAACGGGGTTTCAGAGTTTTTAGGGGTTTTTGAATGTCTTATGTAGGTTTTTCAATTTCATTGTTCTGTATGGGACAATGACAATAAAGATATCATATTGCATCGTTTATTCCTTTCCCCCACAAATAAAATTCTATAAGCTTTGAAACCTGGCTTGATTGGTTTTATTAGGTGTTTCTCAGGGATTTATCTCTAAAGTCTGCGTCCACTTGGCTTTGGGAAAGAAAATCAAAAGCCCCGCTTGTTTTACTTTCTTCCAGAGCTGGGCTAAAGAAAGGATACCTTAGTTAGAGGGGCGTAGAAGTTCCTCAAAAAGTTGGACAGGCAGGGCTGTTTCAAGAAGTTCAACCTGGCTAGGGGCAAACTATCATTATTCTTTGGTGTGGCGAGACCTTATACAAAAAGAGGTCCTAATAGTGGTGAAGGTCCATATAGTTAAAGCTATGGTTTTCCCAGTAGTGATGTATGGAAGTGAGAGCTGGACCATAAAGAAGGCTGATCGCCGAAGAATTGATGCTTTTGAACTATGGTGCTGGAGGAGACTCTTGAGAGTCCCATGGACTGCAAGAAGATCAAACCTCTCCATTCTGAAGGAAATCAGCCCTGAGTGCTCACTGGAAGGACAGATCCTGAAGCTGAGGCTCCAATACTTTGGCCACCTCATGAGAAGAGAAGACTCCCTGGAAAAGACCCTGATGTTGGGAAAGATGGAGGGCACAAGGAGAAGGGACAACAGAGGACAAGATGGTTGGACAGTGTTCTCGAAGCTACCAGCATGAGTTTGACCAAACTGCAGAAGGCAGTGGAAGACAGGAGTGCCTGGCGTGCTCTGGTCCATGGGCTCACGAAGAGTCGGACACGACTAAACGACTAAACAACAACAACTAGTGGTGAAAATTCTTCTGCTCCCATGATAAGTCATAGAGGCTTATTCCCAAGTAAGGGTGAATTGGGCTGCAGGCTTACATCCAATTTTTGTAGTGTCATGCCCCCAGGGCATGAGGAAAAACCCGAATGAGTGACTACTATGTGATCACATCCCACAAATACATTTCGCCATCTGTTAATTCCACATCCCTAAATGAAAACTAATCACCACCTAATTACAATGTAGTAGAAAGCTACAATGTTGTTCAAATTACAATAATTGCAGCGCTGTTTCCAAAGTTTGCTTACAGCATTCGCTTGAGGATCTGAAAGTGGGGAAAGGAATGTATATATTTGAGGGGAAATTATCGCCTCAGCGCAGGAATGAGCAAATAAATGTCAGTTTCGATTTGTCTCAGTTCTCCTTTTTCCAGTCATCAGTTCAGCTCACCACATTTACACACCAGTTGAGTTCATGTATTTTGGGAGGGAAGGGTGCGGATGAGGTAAATTCTCCATTAAATGCAAACAGTTGGATTTCTCCCCAATTCCAACCCCATTATTGAGGAACTTCAGTAGGGAAAGATGAAAAAATACACTGGCTTAGATGCAGAGTTTCTATGACTAGGACTTAACTCATGGAAGGCTCCTGAGGACAGAAGGGGTTGGGGCTGAGGCAGATTCTACAAATTATCCCTACTTCCTCCAATAGTTCGCTGAAAATTTGCTCTGGAGGATAGAGAAGACCCTCCAGGACAGTGTGGGAGGTGGCCCAGCAGGAAAAAAAGCAAAAATTCTCGTTCCTCTTCTTTCTACCGACAGGAGTCTCTGCTGGGTTGCAGTCCTTTCTGCAGACGAAATAAGCCCTTTCATGAAAGGAAGGACAATGTAAGACCCAACCTGCTCCCTCACCGCAAAAACTTCTCATTTTTTTTTATTTATGTGACTATTACATTGCATTTGGAATGGATCGTAAGTCAAAACACTTCCATTTAGTGCTCTCATTCATGCTCGCCAAGTTCTAGAAATGTGGTTTTCCTTCACATCTGGCTGAGTACACTATAATCCTGGTGATGCCAAGACAGTGCCAATGGGTACACTTGCGCTGGCGATGCCTCCCCACAAGGTTTGGGAGCTTCCTCCACTCTTCTGCCTCAAGATGTGGCCCTTGAATCCAAAAATGTTGGCAACCCTTGTGTATGAGATAGGGTCAAGCTAACCACAACAACAGGGTAATGTGTGCACATCTTATTATAAGTTCCTTTGCCTTATATTGTAGCCCATCATGTAGAGAATAAGCTGGCATTATGAAGGAGTGTCTCCACCCCCATCATTCAGCCCACACACTGAAGTCCAGCTCCGTGGGGCTCCTGGTGGTTCCGTCCTTGCGAGAAGTGAGGTTGCAGGGAACCAGGCAGAGGGCCTTCTCGGTGGTGGCGCCTGCCCTGTGGAATGCCCTCCCATCAGATGTCAAAGAAATAAACAACCATCTGATGCTTAGAAGACATCTGAAGGCAGCCCTGTTTAGGGAAGTTTTTAATGACTGATGTTTTAATGTATTTTTAATCTTTTGTTGGAAAGCCACCCAGAGTGGCTGGAGAAACCCAGCCGGATGGGCAGGGTATAAATAAATTATTATTATCACCATCATCATCATTATTATTAGGAAAACGCAATGCAAGCCCTGACTCCGTTTACTTTATAAAGAAGTAGATAACAACTCGAAAAACTCTTCCAAGTCAGCATTAACATTATTAATAACAAGTGGTTTCATGCGGACTTCTTCGTTGGTGTAGTGAAGCTGCTATGGTAGATTAATTGCCTGATCCTCGTTAAAATGTGGAATCTTCTTAAATTCGTCCTGCTTTTTGAAGAAAAGCTGGGCTAGTATATGGTCTGGCGTGCGGTGGAAATAGTCATCCATATCAAGGGTCTGCAGCTACAAAAAAAACAACCACAACAGTATTTGAATTGGGAAAGGGAAGTTTACGCTCGTTTCACAGTAACGCACACACATTTTTCATGGCAAACTTTTTAAATTACCATCTTATGTAATATGTACAATCATGTGTAATACGGATGGGCAAATTTCAATTGGTTTCTCTCCATTTCTAATTTTTCCAGTCTTACATTCAGTTCTCTACATTTCCACATTGGTTTGCAAATAAATAAATAAATAAATTGTAAGTTCTCGTGAAAATTCATCAGTATTTTTGTGAGAATTTCACCGAATAGTCACATCTTTGTAAGCACCTTAGCTATGCGCTTTTGCAAAGCAGTGTACCTAATATAATGTACTTTCCCATGTTATTTATTACTAATATGCATTTTTACACCTACTTTAGTATATGCACATTACTTGGCTGGAGAACTGCATTTCAAAATTCAGAAAAATTCAAATTTTGAAGGCTGGATGTTTGGGTTTTTGGTGTATTGCTTCAGAAAGCACAAATTCGGCAGATTTGCCTTTAAATGCAAACTGAGTTAAATTTCTTCCCCATCGCTAATATATGGTATTTTTTTCCTCCCCAATCCCGCAAAAACTTTGTAATGTTGATTGTGGTTCACAATAACTCACCCCACTGACTTAACTGTGGCTTAACTGTATCTAGCCCGGCAGTTTACCTAGGAAGTCAAGCACAGATTTCCTACCTGGTTCGCAGTGCTGAATGCCAAAATGAAAAGCAACTCTTCGTCGCATGTGCTCTTGATGTAGTGTTGGGTCCCAACGGGGAAAAACACAACATCTCCAACGCCAATGGTGAAGTCAGTGGTGAGTGATGGTGAAACGATAATGCCCACCTGGAGAGAGAATGCACCAACAAGGAAATATACCCCAACACCCATCCAACTGAATCTGTGATTCTCGGGGGGCCACCAGGTGGCGCGTTGGAAGATGGCCGACAATAACATCTCTCTGACCCATACGAGGTAATTAAGGGGCTGCTATGGGAAGTATGCAGTCTTCCTACCCCCCCAAAGAAATGGGGGGGCTGCCTTGCCAGCGGTGTTCACAATGCACCCCCTGATCCGAGAGATGGGGGCGCCGAACACTTGGCACGAGCCCTCGATGAAGTCAGATCTTCCTGACGCCGATTCCAATCAGCGCGTGCTGGTTAGCTTCAGCTCGGAATTATAATTGGAAACATACGATTGGAATGAAGCTGAAGCACATACATCAAGTAACGTTCGAGAGATAAGACTGCTGATTAATGGATCTCTGTGACCGGGAGTGACGGACGGATAAGTAAATCTTCTGATGAATCACCATTAAGAGACTGTATGTTTGGAATGAAGGGGGGGGGAGGAAAAAACTTTTTTTTTCTTTGCACGATGTGATATTAATAACCCTTCACCCCAGATAGAAATAAGATCGTTGCGTTTTTACTAATCACAAGCAGGAATTCAAGAACTGTGTGGGATGGATTATAACAGGAGAGAGGATTGGTGAACGGTGAGAAAGAGGAAAATTTTTATGACGCAGTTAAAAAATGGCGTCTCGCCAAGACAGGCTTGCCGGAGAAAGAAGGACAGGGGGAGGAGAATCAGGATCATTGGAAAGAGAAGGAATGTTGGAATGCAATTTTGACCTGACAGAGCCTCCTGATTTATTTGGCAAGCCTGAGAAAAGTAAAGGACAGACCGAAGATTAATTTTTTTTTTTTATGGAAGCGTTGAACAGAGGCTGTCCCTGAGCGATATGATCTTTGGAGAGTACAAAACCCACACAGAGGATGCCTGTTTTCAATCTGCTTGTGAAAATTATCAAAGATCGCAAAGAAAGGAATATATGATTACAACAAGAAGATGAAGAAAGTAATAAAGGACTATCTGGATTGAACTGGATAGAACTGTTTAATTAAAGCAGTAATATAAGTGATGTTTGGACTCGTTCGGAGCTTGATGTATGGGTACCCCCAACAAAATTTAAAATTTGGCTGTATAATTTGGAACTAATGTGATTTGGATAATGTGATGTGATTGGCCTGTTAATAAAAAATTATTAAAAAAAAAAAAGAATCTGTGGTTCTCAATGGACTTCATGAAAAATGTCACAAATCCAGGCATCTGTAATGTCTCCCAGAGCCAAAGGTTCAGAAAAGGGAAAAATAGAATGATCCAGAAGACAGAGCAATTCCCCTATGAAAAAATGCGACCACATCTGGGGCTTTTTAGTTTAGAGAAAAGGTGGAGGGACATGATAGAGGACATTATTCATGGTGTAAAGCAGACACGTCCAACCGGTCGGCCGCGATCAACAGGTAGATCCCCCGTTGATAATGGTCAATCTCGAGACTCTTATCAATTGCAGGAATAAAAGAACTGTGGAATGAATGTCTCCGCGCCCTGCCCCCCTTGCTCTGTCCCTCTGGGTGGAGTTTGGTGCTATCGCTTTGCGATGTTGAATACGTTGTATGGCTTTTAGCAGTTTTCCAGGTTAGTGATTGATGTCATACCCCTGTATAGAAGCTGTTTCCCCCCCAAAAGCTGAACAACTGCGCTCTCCCCCGCAAAAAGCTAACAACTGTGGTCAATCCTCAACGACAATGGGTAGATCACTGCCAGTTTTTTTTTTATACTGGGAGTAGATCGCAGTCTCTTGATAGTTGGATGGGCCTGGTGTAGAGAAAGCAGATAATTATGTTTTCCTCCCTCATATACTGTTATAAAGCTGTGTAAGGGGACAGGAGGGACCAGGAGGAGCAGCGCAATGGATACAGGAGAGTGACCTCCCTTGTTGTTATGCCTATCGGTGTGGTTGCTCGAGAGCGATCAGGCAAGATCCCTCACTGGTCTTTTCAAAGGCTTTATTATTGGTGCAAAAACATTTACAATGCAGAACACCTCTATTCCATGTCTTGCTCACTCACTAGCAGAATCTGAGAGTGGGCTGTCCTTAAACTTTCCCCAGCAGAGTAGTTTCTTGACCCCCAGCCGACGCCTCCCCTCTCTGCACGAAAGCCTACTGCGCAAGGAAGGCTTGGGTAAAGGGGGACCTCTCCTCCCCGCTTCACTCAGGCAAGGTGTCCTGGCACTGCCTTGCATCCCTCGAGCCCTGCAGCTCTTCCCCACTAGAGGCGTGGCTTCCTTCCTCCGCTGAGGAAGTGCTGCTTCCCACGATTTTTGGAGGCTCTCTGTAATCCATCTGCCCTTCCCCCTCTCGCCTCTGAGCCGATGGCAGTTCCCTGACACTTGTGGAACAGGACTTGTAGACAACCTGATGTGCAAGGCTGTGGAGCTCCAAGATTTCTTTCCCAACTCTGCCTTGCAGAAAACTGGAAGGAAGCAGAGCTAAGAACAGTTTGATTCTCCTAACCCAGCAACAGTCTCTGGGTGCCTACCAGATATTGGACTACAACTCCCATCATCCTAGTCATGTTTTCTGTGGCTGATGGGAGTTGCAGTTCATTATCTTGAAGGCACCAGGTTGGCTAACCCTGCAACCTCCTTGCCACCAGCCCAAAATGCTTCTTTGAAAATATTCATAAGCTTTTTCTTTTATAGAAAAGCTTATAAACTGCTTAAGCAGAAAAATTCGTAACAGACGTACATAATAACATTACCAATAAAACATGATTAAATCAGCAAAACTTAAAAAAGCAAATATACATAAAATAATCACCGATAAAACTCAGATAAAAAGCAGCAAAACTGGGGGGGAATGCATAACTAAACTGTATGCCTGGGTAGGATTGCTGAAATAAAAACAACTATGGTATAAGAGATAGAAGACAAGGAGCAGCAAAGAGGGAGAAATTAAAAAAAACACCACTGGAAAATGGGATGGGAGGTTGACAAAAACAAAAGAAAAATTGATTATGTATTGGAGTGTAACTGTGAAACTTGTAAAAATTTAATAAAATATAACTGGGGGGGGTGAAATGAAAGACTTCAGCAGGAGTCAAAACAATATTGTGAGAGTTTCTGCTTCCTGCCAATAGCTAAGCACCTATTCCTTACCCAAGGAAAACTCAGAACGGTTTGCATCGCAGTGGTTTAAGTTAAATAGCTACCTTTCCACACCCACTGATGACGTATCCCATCTCGTTGGCGTTGAAATGAAAGTGGGGCTGCCGTAGACCATTGCTATAGATCCTGAGTGTCCCCAAAGTAAGAGCATCTTCCTTCTGAAAACAAGGAGACCAAACAAAAGCACGTGAGCATGTGAGGTTGTGCAAAATAACAACAGGGTGTCTCAAAGCATTAAAACAGGAGGTGGGAACCGGAGGCCCTGCAGACTTGTTGGACTCCAGCTCCCATCATCCCTGACCACTGGCCATGTTGGCTGGGGCTGATGGGAAATGGAGTCCAACAACGTTAGAAATCTCAGGTGGCTCCATGGGTCAGTGCAACTGGCTGTTAACCAGAAGGCTAGTGGTTTGAGCCCATGCAGAGACGGCTATGGGCAGGGTTTCTGTACTGCTCCCCAAACGGAACATTTGACTCAGATCTCCATGGTCTCCTCCACTATAACAGGCAGCGCTTTTTATCTCAATACTTACTGAATGCAGAAACTCGCTGTAAATTCTTTCATTCGTACTCAAGCCTTTTCCATCTTTCACATACCGAGCAAACTGGATTATTCCCCCGGGGAAACGGAACTCAGTTGACCCTGAATGGAGGACAAACGCAGCATCCTCAACAGTACGACAAGCTTGGGAGACCTAGTTCGCGATCATCACAGAATATTTATTAGCTTACATTGCTCGCTAAGCCATCCTTGCTGTTCTGAGACATTTGCAATCACTTAGCAGCAGACCACGTGTTCTGGATATAGAAGTGCCAGACATACTTCTGTGAGGCCAAAACTCCAAAGCTTAGGAAGAAAGAGAATAGACTTTCCCAGCCTTCCTCCACCCCGTCCCAAGTTCCAAGGGTGGTGAAACTACTAAGAGAGTCCTGAGTTAGGGTTGCCATTTTTCAAAAAGTGAAAACCTGGACACATAAAAATTGACATTTTGAGCTATTTTTAAGGAAAGTCAGCAAAAACAACACTGGGTTACCATATGTCCAGATTTTCCTGGACATTTTGCCAATTTCCATGCAGACACTGCTTCTGACTGCAATATTCCAGGTATGTTCAGATGTATGATAACCCTATCTGAGTGCCAATCTTACCACCCAAGAGTGTTTCTTTAAAAACCCAAGGCTTTAAAAAGAGAATATTTGATTCCTTCATGGGCATTTAATTAGGAATAAGCTCAGCTGCTTGGTTTCGCAGACAGCAGAGTTTCTGTATCCAGCTTTGCCCATGCTCTGGAACGAACTGTGGAACCAGAAATAGATTCCGCCACTGATTTTGGGCAATCCTTCCCTGGCTGGGTCTCTGAGATTGTCTGGAAATATCTTGGGTAGCAAGTGGATGCCACCAGCTCCTTCCTGCATCAGAAGCCCAGGAAAACGTTCCTAAGGTGATGGTGGGGCTGGTCCTCTATTGCCTCTGCTCCCTTTGCTGAAGCGACCCCGACCCACATTGCTAACTGTCTGGAAACAAAGGTCCCTGTTAATGCCATCTCAGCTTTCTCTGAAGTACCTTTGAGATCAAAGAAGTACCGCCACACAAGCGGGTCTTCAGACTGCTGGTAGTTGGGATTCTGAACGAACTCTGCTAGGTTTGGAGGAAGGTTGACAGCTTGGTCTTCTGCTTGCTTATGGAAAGACCTGATGAAGGCCACTCCACCTTGAGGCTAGAAAACATGCAGCAAACGTTGGATTTAGCTTCTCAGCAGCAGTGACTTAAAGGAGCTCCAGCTAGAGGAGTTTGTTTTTGTCACTGAAATTCTACTCAATATTGATCCAGAGCAGATTCCAATGTGTAGTTAGCAGAGTAACAACTTAAACACGTTGCAGGATTCCCAAAAACTAGATCAGAGGCAATTAATATTTCATCCAGCAGAGCTTTTCTGCCACTGAAGGCAAATGAGTATAATGGTCACAAATCCAATACATTCAGGATTGGCACTGTTTATAAAAAATCCAGTTGCAGCAGACTTAGCTTAAACTTACAATAACTTATACTAAGCATACAAAACACCATACCAGAAAGAAAGAAAGAAAAAAAGGGTGAGACCGAGGCTCCTTCTGGCCTCACAGTCAGCATGACCTTGACAGAAAGAGATAACAGAACCAGTTTAAACCAGCTGTACTCAGCTTCTTTGAAGGAATAACCCAAACATCAGGAACCTTCTGCTTGTTTGCTTGTTTCTTTCACACAAAGAAGCTTACGGAAGCTTCTTGAATTAAGTAGAATAGGAAAGATCTCTACACATCAGATCAGTATTTTCTGCACTAAGAAATGCAAACTGACAGTTTAAGCCCTAAAAGAGATGGGAAGGGGGGTAGGAACCAAATTTTCAAGAACAAATGAAATACTTTAAAGGCTTCTTAAAAAAATAAAAAACAAAACATCCTGTGCATTAGTGGTGGGCATATTCTGCTTTATTGGTTGCTCTGAGAAGCTTCCCCAATGATGCCACATAACTGCTTTCTAGAGGGGCTGAAGCACAACAAAAAGGGGACCAAAAAAGAACACCCACACCCCAGAACAATTCGTGGTAAGAAAAGTTGCAGAATTTCAGTAGGAAATGAACTTTGCTGCTTGGAAATGAAGTGGGGAGGGGGGCTGCCCCAAAACCTCTGCAGATGCAATTTGTATGGAAAATGGAATCTTGTGTGACAACCCCGATTGCATCATAAATGCATGATTAAAAGGCTATCTGGAGGGGCCCATACCTCATGTCATAGCCCCAATTGGCTCTTAAAGCAGCTTACAAAGATTTTCACAATACAGCTGCATTCAAGTGTAGCATCAGGAACAGAAACATCTCAGGGCTTATCGACACATTTGGTTGCCTGACCTCTTTCCCCTGGGAAAACCTGTAGCTTAGTGCTGAATAGGAATGAACAGCAATCAGCCCCCCCCAGACTAGCACTAAGGAGTTTATGTTGTACAGACCTTTAGTGACCTTGCTGCTATGTCTTCAGGTGTTAAGAAAAACGTATCATCCAGATCCAGAGTTTGAAGCTCTTCATGGGTTGTGAAGAACAGCAAGAACAGACAGTCTTCTGTACCGACGTTCTTGAGCCAATGCACCGTGTTTCGAGGGAAGAAAATGACCTGGCCCGCTGTGACGTTGTACGTGGTCACGGTATTTCCACCAGCATCGACAACCCCAATCCATGCAGTGCCCTGAAAAACATAGGTGGAGAGAGGACTAGTCTTTGCAAATCAAGTTAAGAAGGCAGAAATCCAATGCCATCACTACAACACTGCCATGGGCCATCACAGCAGTGCAAAGAGTGAAGCCCCGATGTTTTATTGTGTTTTATGAGTGTTGGAAGCCGCCCAGAATGGCTGGGGCAGCTATAGACTATTAAAATGTATCGATCAGTCATCTGCATCAGAATTCTTGATCCAGGACACTGACGATCTATTCGCCACCCTGGAATCCTCCTCCTGTCTTCTTCCCAAAGCCAAGTTAGTGCTTTCCCCAGACTTGGGAAGGATGTGGGAAGGCTTTAGGACTCTGCCAGAGCCCTCATGCCTCCTTCACCAAATAGGTGCCTCCATACCCTGTCACTGCTGTTGACTGCATTTTATTCAGCTACGCACACCCCAGTCCCTGACTAGTGAGAGATTGCAGGGTTGCCAACACATAATAACAACAATTTTATTATTTCTATGCCACACCCATCTGATTGGGTTGCCCCAGCCATACCTCAGGTTTGGTTTCCTTCAAATGAAGGTCACCGGAGATGGCAATGTCTTTGTGATGTGTGATTTTATTTACATGCCTGTACATTACAAGCTCAAGGGACGCGGGTGGCGCTGTGGGTAAAACCTCAGCGCCTAGGACTTGCCGATCGTATGGTTGGTGGTTCGAATCCCCGCGGTGGGGTGAGCTCCCATCGTTTGGTCCCAGCTCCTGCCCACCTAGCAGTTCGAAAGCACTCTTAAGTGCAAGTAGATAAATAGGTACCGCTTTATAGCGGAAAGGTAAACTGCGTTTCCGTGTGCTGCACTGGTGCTGGCTCGCCAGAGCAGCTTCGTCACACTGACCATGTGACCCGGAAGTGTCTCCGGACAGCGCTGGCTCCCGGCCTCTTAAGCGAGATGGGCGCTCAACCCCAGAGTCGGTCACGACTGGCCCGTACGGGCAGGGGTACCTTTACCTTTACCTTTACATTACAAGCTCACAGCACTGACAACCCCACTGATTTTGCTTTTCCCATTAGTTTTCTTGTGGGTTTCCCAAAGCCATAGCTCTGGATTCAGCGCACAGAGAGCAAGTTAAGCCTGTGTGTTTACTCCACCTATGACTCACCCTGGTCTATTCTCTCTTAAACCCACCAATGACATAACCTCCAACCAGAGGAAGGAGGCCTGTCCCGCTTCTGGAAACATCCAGTAACTTCCATGGCAACTAGTATCCTTTACTGCTTAATTATGCAAAGAGATACTTAACAGACATGGCTTGGGCCTTTAACTTAGCAAAAATACTCCTCTGCAGAATGCAATTTTAGAGATATAAAACCATAAATTTGGAGGGCACCCAAAGATGACATAAAAACGAAACCACCATCCTAATCCTATAGCTTTCTAAGGGTTCTTTCCACTAGAAAGATTGGGTAAAAACAATTTTAAGATAACCCCAAAAAGTACCTTTAAGAGGTAGCCATGTTCATTGGCATTGAAATGCCAGTGTGGTGCACGCAGTCCTTTGCTCTTAATCCTCAAAGTTCCAAACGTCATCTTGGAGCGCTGAGCATTGATGCTTCTTCCAAACTCCATCTCTTCCTTGTTCTGGTACTCATTGGCGTTTTTCCGGAATCTCGACCACTGAATGGTACCGCCCGGGAACTCATGCTTCTGGAAAGGGTAATACTTGGGACATCAAGCACTGCATAAAAAGTCTAATATCCAGTGACGTTATTTGTGGCCCATCATGCCTCTAGCTATCTACAAGAATTTGCGTGAAAGAGTGTACACTTGTTACAGGCTCAGGTACTTAAGCTACATCCCTCCACAGTCCAAGAACACATAATGTGGCTCCTTCTTTCCTTATACAGTAAAATAAAATAATAATAATAATAATAATAATAATAATAATAATTCATTATTTATATCCTGCCCATCTGGCTGGGTTTCCCCAGTCACTCTGGGCAGCTCCCAACAGAATATTATAAACATGATACAACATCGAACATTAAAAACTTCCCTAAACAGAGCTGCTTTCAGATGTCTTGTAAAAGTCAGATAGTTGTTTATTTCCTTGACATCTGGTGGGAGGGTGTTCCTCAGGGTGGGCGCCACTACCGAGAAGGCCCTCTGCCTGGTTCCCTGTGACCTCACTTCTCGCAGTGAGGGAACCGCCAGAAGGCCCTCGGAGCTGGACCTCAGTAGAGCAACACTAGCCAACTTTGTGTCTTCCAGCTGCTGCTGAAATTCAAGACCCTAAAGCCTCAGCCAGCATGGACTTTGGTGAGGGATGATGGGAGCTGAAGGCCACTACTTCTTGGCAACCCCATGGACAAAATAATCATTAAGGTCCTTATTCATAGAATCACAGAGTTGGAAGGGACCCCCAAGAGTCATGCAGGAATCTCAACTAAAGCATCCATGACAGATGACCATCCAACCTCTCCAATGAAGGACAGTCCGCAGCCTCTTATGTGAAATATATACCGGCTGGGCTTTTAGTGTTGTGGGCCCAAGCCTGTGGAGCACACGCCGAATTGAGATCATAACGGCAGCCTCCTGGCTGAACTTCAGGCACATGACAAAAAAGACTTTCCCACTCCAGCAGTTATTTGAAGGCCGTTCAAGTTTTGCACAGCTTTTTCGTTTTTTGTTCTTTGCGTGGCTCCTGGTTCCTTGTACGCCGCTTAGAAATACTAATGATTAAGCAGTGTATAAACGCCTTAAACAAATAAAAATAAAACAGGATATGGTCAAATTATACCTTGGCTTTAGCAAGCTGGTGGAGAAACTGGAACTTGGGGTCCACCTGGGCAGATGTTACCAAAGTTCCCGTGGAAGCAGCTCTATGCTTTTGTGAACTGGCATCGTATTTTGGTTTGAAGCCGGTATTGGCGGTATAGACCAGAGACAAAACCAGCACCCCTAAGACAGTGGTGATGGCGCAGGCCAAGAGGCAGACCAGAAAGATGTTGAGCAGGGACCAGCGGTTCTTTTTCTCCCCCGATAAACAAAGAAACAAAGAGGAATAATTAGTAGCCATTTTTATAGAACTGGCAAAACAGAACATTGCCTCTCCAGGCCTGTGTAAGCTGCTGTACTGGCAACCTTTGGGAGCACATGACAAGCTTATGGATAAAACACTATAACTTCACAATGCAGACGGTCTGTAGCTCAGTAGTAGAGGAACTGGCTTGCATGCAGAAGACCCCAGATTCAATTCCTAGCTTCTCCAGGTAGGGCCGAGATTGGATCATGAAGGTGGCATATAGACTTTTCCAGGGCAGCAAAAACGTTGACTATCAATCCTGAAAATTCTCAGTGTTAGGGACATAGATGACCTCCTTGGTCATTCAGTTTTGAGATGAGGCCATTCGGTGAAGCCCTAAAGATGTGACTCGCATATTGGAGTTGTCAGAAACAATCACTTTGGCTATGAACTATTAGCTTTTACTGGTCACTTCATAGGGGTCTCAACACATCACGTGCCTGGCTGCTACATATCTTATAACTCTCGGAGCTATTTCACACACGGTTCAGCACAATCTAAGGTTTCCCACAGAGTGTACATACAAACAGCACGGACTTGCCTCCAATCCTGTTTTCCTGGTGGTTGTTGTGGTGATCACACAGGGTCCCTGGACGTTTCACCGTCTATTGATCCCTGTGCCACCACTTTATTTCTCGCTGCCACTACCCAGGCCCTACCTGGGACAATACTGAGTCCAGTCAGGGTTAAAATGAAACATAAACGTTTGTTTATTTATTGCAGTTTAACAAGCGTGTGGTTTCATAAACGGTATCAGTCAATTACATTCATGGGGTGCCTATCCAGACCTATAACTTTCGTTCCCTGCTCTCACTCACTAAACTACCTCTCAGATACAGTGGTGCCCCGCAAGACGAATGCCTCGCAAGACGGAAAACCCGCTAGACGAAAGGGTTTTCCGTTTTTGAGTTGCTTCGCAGGACCAATTTCACGATGGGCTTGCTTCACAAGACGAAAATGTCTTACGAGTCTTGAGATTTTTTTCGCTTTCCCCTTTATCTAATCTGCTAAGCCTTTAATAGCCTTTAATAGCCTTTTAGCAGCTAATCCGCTAAGCCTTTAAGCCTTTAATAGCCGCTAAACCGCTAATAGCGCTAATCCGTTAAGCCGCTAATAGGGTTGCTTCGCAAGACGAAAAAACCGCTAGACGAAGACTCTCGCGGAACGGATTAATTTCGTCTTGTGAGGCACCACTGTATTTACTTGTCTGCCTAGCCCCTAACTGTTCCTGACTCAGCCTATTTCGCTACACTAACTCAACCTACCCCCAAACTCTATCCCAATTCACTCCCACTCCAACCAACTCCCAACGAACTCCCCCCTTTGCCCCTCCCAGAGCTGTTTTTATAGTCCCTCTGACTCCACCCCCCTGGGTCCTGATTGGGTAACCTGTTTAACTATTTCACCTCCAGCACTTTCATATGTTAACGTCACAGTTGTCAGTGGGGAAGGGCTGGGGGAGCATGCCTCCAAGGTATGTTTGTGTATATGTGTAAAGAGTAGGGATTATATGTGTGGGCATGAAGGGATTATCTGTCTAGTGCAATACACAGAACATCCAACTCCCCGTCAGTTCTAAAAGCACTATTATAGAGACTACATATGTCGTGGTCTCTAAAGGCCATTCTCCTCCTTTTTTTAAAAAAAGTCTTGTGTAACTCTGGGAAATGGTAGGGCTTGTGCTATGACAAAGAGTAAGGGAGCTCCTGAGCTGGGGAGGAACCTCCCGTAATACCCCATCATTTGCCATTTTCATCCGAGCTTAATATCTTATCACATGCATACACAATCAGTTTATACCTATCTTAGAACAGGTTGCACTAGGGTTGCCACCTTTTTTGTAGCTAGGAACCTGTACCATTACTAGCTACCTGACTGGTAGAAATTCAGCTTTCCTCTCTCACCGCATTTCCATGCAAGTAAAAGCCTCATCAGTTGAACTTTAGGTTGTTATTTCAGCTCTGGCTATTTTCAAAGCAGAATAGCTCCAACTAGGGGGAAAAGCAATTGATAACTTCAGAAGTGACCCAGCTTGTTAATATTGTCATTGTAGCAACTGGCAGTTTTTGCCTTTGATTACTGCAATGCTGAAAGGTTCTGGGGTTTTTTAGAAGTTTGTGGAGAATAATTTGCTGGTTTTGATCTGCTCAGCCAGGAAAACTTCCTCTTTCAACTCTTCTTCCCTTACTTCTGCTTACAAAAAATTGTCCTAACCAAAGTTGCTTAAGCTATCCGGGAAAATGCCTGAGGAAGTTAACAAATCAATATTAGTTAATTCATAATTGTGCAGTAGTTTTGCACAGAGCACCCTGGTTACCTTGGGAAAGTCACTATTATTCAGCAGAACATAACGCAGACACAATTATCACTGCCATATCTAAAAACCAAGTTCAGAAGTGCTTGTCCTTTTTGTCACATTCCAGCATGAGAAAGACAGATTCAAGGATGGGGCTATGCAGGAACAGATGAGCTCAGTTCTTGATGCCTCTCTGGGGCAAAGCAAATGTAATGTGGCCCAACCTGGCCCCACACACAGACCTACAGTAACTAGAGGCATGGCAAATATTGATCCTAACCATCTCCTTAACAGAGCCTGGAAAGTTATCTCTTTCAAAAAAAAGTTTAGTTTTTAAGGTGCTGTTGTTGTTTTATCACTTGTTGTTTGCTGCTCCAGGCTCCTTTGGGAGGAGAGTTGAGATATAAATTACCATATTTTTTGCTCTATAAGACTCACTTTTTCCCTCCTAAAAAATAAGGCGAAATGTGTGTGCGTCTTATGGAGAGAATGCAGGCTGACAGGTATCACAGCAAGAGGGATTGCTGCTTTCACTGCACAGTGATCCCTCTTGCTGTTCTGGCTTCTGAGATTCAGAATATTTTTTTACTTGTTTTCCTCCACCAAAAACTAGGTGCGTCTTGTGGTCTGGTGCGTCTTATAGAGCGAAAAATACAGTAATAAATAAGTAGTTCAAGTCCTGTCAGGGGAAAAGCGGGGTATAAATATGGAATAATAATCATTAAATGGTGAATTGCTTAATTATTTTTTTCCAACGATCATGATATTTAAGCTTAAAGGTCTGAAGGCTCTAGGGCAGAGGTTTTCAACCTTTTTGAGTCCACAGCTCCCTTAACCAATTACAATATTTCTGTGGCACCTCTGTGGGCCTGTTTTGTCACCCCTTGCCTGTAGAGCTAGCAGCCTCTCACCCTTTTTGAAACACCCTCCCTTGTGGAGTGTTCCTTCTCCCCTCTCCTCTCCTCTCCCCTCTTCCTTGGAAGTCCTGCGGGCAGCTGCTGCTGCCATCGCTGGTCTGAGCTGCCCCCCTCCTGACCCCAAACAGAGGTGCCTCCCAGGGGTACCATTCGCCTGCGGAGCTCATAGCCAGGGCTGCTACAATAAACAGATGTGCAAGCCTTTGGGAGGCAGAGACGCGAGAGGGCATCAGAGGAGGGAAGGAAGGAAAGAGGGACAGAAGACAGTGTTGCCTGCTGCACCCCTGACCATCATTCAAGGCACCCCAGGGTGCCACGGCACACTGGTTGAAAACCACTACTTTAAGGGTTTAAAAAATGTAAGAGAATGAACTTGAAGAACTTGAAAGCATTCAAAGTTCTACCCCAAAACAAACTTCTCATTCCGTTCACCCAACAGTTATGGGAACTACTTGCAAGTGTATTTCAGAGATTTTTGAACTAATTCAGTGAAGTTTGTTGAACCAAACTAGTTCATTCCGAGCACTGGTCTTTAATTTCTGTCCTTTCCCCATTTTGAAATAACTAGCAGCCATTTACAAAATGGACATGTCACTTCTTGTGGACAGATAAGACAAGTGTACACATTGTACACTGAAGAAAGCTATAAATCTCCTTGCAATTCTTTATTTATCCTGAATGATCAGTAGTGGAGAAAGAGATTACTTAAAGGATAAAAGCACTACTTCTTTTGCTCTCAGCAGTCGACCTGACATATCCCCCCAACGTTCCTCCTTCTGCATGTACCAAATTTGTACCAGATCATATGACCAGGCTTTTCTTGTTTCTGCACCCAAAGATAGCAACCCTCCACAATGGTCTGACTTGGGATAAGACTGCTTCCTTTCTTCATATAAGACTGTCCATTCTGACAATGCTGAAAAGGCAGAGAGACAACATGGATTCTGTTTCTTCTGCCTGCCTCAGAGGCTACAACACAGTGAGAACCCCAAACCATCCAGAAGTTGATGGACACCAACTACCATCAGGAGAGGCAGCCCAATATATTTTGCTGCCTGAAACAAAGAACAAGATGGCACTCCCCCATTCCATGAACAGAAGCCAACTGGATTTGCACATCATCCCCAGACAGCATGGTCAAAAACTAGAGATGAGTTGGCATCCAATATTATCCTGAGAGCCACAGGTTCTCCACCCATGGCTGCCAACATCAACCCTTTGGTGGGTGGTGCAAACTTCCAAGGGCTGCCTACAGGTCACATAGTCAGAGAGATGGAATCATGCACTTTCAAGTATTTGTGAACAGAATTAGATTAGACTGCACATAGAAAAATTTCTACCATTGGATTACTTTTGCTGGGCCTGATGAGCCCATTTTAAAAAATAAAAATCTCCTACTATGTGTTTTTAACTCAGCTGTTGCTATTTTTTTTTAAAAAAACAAAACATTTTTTATTAGCAGATTTTTAAAAACGCAGTTCAAGTCCTAGACAACCTGCTAATACTTACTTGTTTATAGCTAGAGGTGCTGGATGAAGTATGGAAGCACATTCTCAAGATTTTCTATACATTTTCTATACATTTTGTAACAAGTTTCCAGATCTGAGCATATAGCTTCAGATCAGATCTCTCGTTATTTCACAACAGCAACTTACTGGGTGTTCTTGTTTTTTCCTCTCCATTTTGACTGAGGGACTTGGAGGTGTTTCTTCATGCAGTTCAAATCCTGAGTTATCCATTTCAAGTGAGCGAAGTAGAATTTTGCATGCACCAAAAGTGAAATCCGAAGTTACCTTGGATTTGTGGCCTGAACTTCAGTAGCAGAAGAAAGCATCTGTTTTCCTTAGGATATACACACGGTAATGGACAACTTGAGGAACAGGTTGCAATTCAGGATATCCCCTTTCTTAAACCAAACTTTCTTTACCAGGAAGGCTGTCACCATGACTAATGTACTTCTAATTTCGGTCATAACACTATTCAGTTCCTCAGCATCATATGAACCAAGCAATGTAATATGCTAGTGAGAAAGTCTATGGTCCTGATAAATCAAGAGCCTAATTTGTGCTGTCAACTAAACAGTGTGTGTGTGTGTACACACACACACACACACACACACACGAGTTGAGAGCGAGCCTGATTAATTTGTGTGATTTCAGGTACTATTTTATTTATTCATCTAATAAAATATATACCTCAGGTTACAGATGCTTCAGGTTACAGACTCAGGATGAGAACAGAAATCGCTGGCAGCAGCAGATGTCCCATTAGCTAAAGTGGTACCTCAGGTTAAGAACAGCTTCAGGTTAAGAACGGCCATTCAGAATGAATTACGCTCTTAACCCGAGGTACCATCGTAAACTCAAAGCGGTTTACAAAAAGATGAGAACAAGAAAATATTGCGGGGAGAAAATAGGATACTTTAAAACTTACAAAAATTTAAGATACTAAAGCAGATTAAAATTCACATCACCATTTCTAAGCTTCTGGTTTATTTAATTTGATTGTGTGTGTCTACATAACAAATAAAAACATGTCCAAAATTAGGAACTGGTTTGTTTCAGTTACACACTTTCAAATCCATTTCTTCCTTCTGGTTTACATTGTAGCTAATGCAACTTAACTGACGCTCATGAATTCTCATTTTATGTTACTGGGGCAAAGGGTGTTTCCCATGATTACCACAGGAGGGGGTCCATGCTACTGGTCTGGCCTGTTTTGGTCACATTGAAGGAAACACCCCTGGGGATGTCCACACATTGATGTTGAAACCTACATTAACAAAACCAGCATGTGACCAGCTGCAGGAAAGTGGGCTGAGCACAAGATCCTGATTCCTGAGCACATGGGCATGCTTGCTGAAATCAAGCTTATCTTTATTCTGGTGTCAGACTAACTGGACATGTAGCTTTTGTAAAATTGCATGCTCTATCAAAACAATGAAGATAATGGTAGTATGCTAACCAAACTGAACTGAGTAACCATCTTTTAGCCAAGCAACCAACTGAAAATTATTTCATTTGATTGACAGCCCTAATTTAAAATGAGATGGATGGGAAAGTACACGTACAGGATGCGGGAAACCCTGCAGAAAAATGTCCTGAGACACTAAAAAAAGGTAAAGGTAAAAGACCCCTGGCAGTTAAGTCCAGTCGCAGACGACTCTGGGGTTGCGGCACTCATCTTGCTTTACAGGCCGAGGGAGCCAGCGTTTGTCCGCAGACAGTTTTTCCAGATCATGCGGCCAGCGTGACTAAGCAGCTTCTGGTGCAACGGAACACCGAAACCAGAGCAGCGCACGGAAACGCTGTTTACCTTCCCGCTGGAGTGGTACCTATTTCATAGAATCATAGAGTTGGAAGAGACCACAAGGGCCATCGAGTCCAACCCCCTGCCAAGCAGGAAACACCATCAGAGCACTCCTGACATATGGTTGTCAAGCCTCTGCTTAAAGACCTCCAAAGAAGGAGACTCCACCACACTCCTTGGCAGCAAATTCCACTGTCATTTATCTACTTGCACTTTTTGGCATGCTTTCAAACTGCTAGGTTGACAGGAGCTGGGACCGAGCAACGGGAGCTCACCCCGTCGCGGGGATTCGAACCGCCGGATGGGGGGAACCCTGCAGAAAAAAGTCCCTAGACACTAATGGCCTTTAAATGCAGTAGGGAATGCTGCGGACAGGAACCTAGACAGAAGATTTCTGTTGACACGTGGAAAACTCGCACTATGCTGCCTGTGGACTGGATCATTGCTTTATGAGTTAGTTTGGTTAATTTGGCACAAAGATTGTTTTCACAAATAAAACCAAGAAGATGTTTGCTGCCATGAATTCCTAATGATTCAGAATTTGAATAGCACTAACAATATTTCTGCTTAGACACAGCCTCCATTCTTAATTCATTGCAGAGGGGGAGGTGAAGCAGGGGCACTCTATTGACTATCCTGAGAAACTAGCTCCAGCCGGGTCCTGGCTCCCTCTGCTGCCAACAGCCATTCCATCAGGCTGCTGAAGAGGGAGAGATAGGAAGTGAAGCCCACACTATCAGTTCTGCTGAGAGGCCAACTCCATTCAGCTACTCCTCATCTTGAACAGTTTCCATTCCCGTTAGTCACTTTAAGAACTTTTAAGTAATTTTAAGAACTGGTGCCAGTTTTTCTCTGCCCTCCTCATCCCGTTTTCCTTTCGTATCATGGATTTTAGATAGTAAACCTGGAGGCAGCAACTGTCTGGGTTTTGCTGAATTTATGTAAATCACTATATGAACCTTTCTGGCTGAAGGCCGGGGTAAAAATACTTCGGATATATAAATTATATAATCAATACGTTGGCTATGGAAATTAAGCCAAAAGGAACTCACTGCATGTAATTATATTCCCTGCAGATTTTGTGGTAAAACTTTCTCCCCTTGTCTAGTGCTCTATTGGATCAGAGAAAGGATCCATTAATGCAACATACCAGGAAGGCTTCTAAACCAAGCTTGGTGGTGGATAAGCAAAACTTTTATTTAGCATATTGAACATCTTATCCATCTGTCTTGTTTTCTCAAAGCCTGCCCACCCCCGATTTGAAAAAGCACACAAAATATTGTTCAGCTGATGCTCAGGTGTCTGATCCAACTTAAGGACAATTCATATACTCCTTCAGAATATCAAAGAGCAGGGTTTTTTGTTTTATAAACAGGCAACTCAAACTGGTTTCCAAAAACAGCACACACGTTTTTTTGTTTGGGAAGCACCTCTTGGCTGCAGCCCCAAACACAACCTGCAACCCATAGTATCCATCACCCAAGTATCTCAAAAGTTAGATGAAGAATGTCCTTCATTCATGAGACCAAGAGCTTGAAATTTGGGCATCAAAATTTCAGTACAGGCTAAACTCCACAAGCCCAACTGACCAAGTTCACGATGACAGACCCTTAGTTAGACAGCAGAACAGGCATGCTTAGGGCTGCACTGAAAGAGAGGCTGAACATTTTTTATTCAAGGTTAAGGATTAGGGATGGTAACATTAGCTGAAAATATAGCCAAGCGTCTGGCACAATCTTTATATATTTTTTAAAAATATATTCCAACAGTCTTGGAGCAACAAATGATATTCCAACTTATGTGGGAAAAGGCACTTTTAAAGATATTTGAGCCACTTTGTATGGATACACTTTTTGAGAACTTACATTTTTAACTGCCCTCATTCTCAAGAACAAGAGCTATAATACACATTTCTATGAAAACGCCTGGATTTCATCATAGTTCCCCAAGCCTATAGCATAGCACTTCCAGGCAGAAAGTGGGAGACATCACAGCTTGACTATTATGGGTTCCCAGAATGTGCCATCCTAGAAACCTCCGGTATATTTTTTACTATGCTGAAATTTAATCCTATGATGCCAAGCATGATTAGAAGTGAAAGGAAAGCAGCTTGTATTCTGAAGATCACCCTCCCACCTGTGTAAACACAGTGAATCGACAAACAAAAAGCAATTTCTGCAATAAGCCTGTTGTAACATTCTCGTTTGATGATCTTGATTTCCTGCGTTCCCAAGGTTAGCTTTGATAGCCTGTGGGTGACACTTAATCCTTTGGACCTTGTCTCTGTTGTGCTAGAGAACAGTGAAACCTGAGAATTCAAGCAAGGTTTTAGAGTTGGCTTTCCCCAAGCGACTCATGATGCACGGAACGCAGGGGGCTTGCAAAGGCTTGGTATGGCGTAAAGCATGGATGAAGCCAGTTGCCTGAGGGAGTGGAGAAGAAGAGGGAGCCCCAAATTCCACTCAGTGCCACCAGTCCATTCAATGAGCTTGTGCAAGTTTTTGAAAAGTCAAAAAAATTTCAATAGAGAACATCCACCAAACCACAGTTGAGCTGAAGCGGTAGGCATATGCTCTAGTTTGAGAAGTATTTATCCCATGAATGTCCAGGTCTTGATTAAAAGACTGCCCTAGGAATTTCCCCCAGTTCACAGATTTATGACAATGTATGCTTCATGTCTTGATAACTGTTTTTTGGTTATTCTTCGCCACTTGTGTCATCAACCAGACCTTTAAGTCGAGATAAATGATGTAAAGCCCTATAAACAAAGCAAAACAGATGTATCAGCATCAATCTCTGTGCATAGTAGTGTTATATAATAATAATAATTTATTATTTATACCCCGCCCATCTGGCTGAGTTTCCCCAGCCACTCTGGGCGGCTCCCAATCGAGTGTTAAAACAATACAGCATTAAATATTAAAAACTTCCCTAAACAGGGCTTCCTTCAGATGTCTTTTAAAGAGAAGATAGCTGCTTATTTCCTTCACATCTGAAGGAAGGGCGTTCCACAGGGTGGGCGCCACTACTGAGAAGGCCCTCTGTCTGGTTCCCTGTTACCTCACTTCTCGCAATGAGGGAACCGCCAGAAGGCCCTCGGAGCCAGATCTCAGTGTCCAGGCTGAACGATGGGGGTGGAGACGCTCCTTCAGGTATCCTGCTTTTGGCAGTGGCCAGATGCCTCCAGAAAACCTATAAGCAGGCCGTGATAGACCTAAGCTGAGGCCCCCAAACTTCAATGTGTTTCTTTTACTCCGCAATGGAGTAAGTTAAGGCTATATGAGTGGGCTACACTTTCAGATAAGCTTGCTTTCAACCTGTTACGTTATACCATACCCAGCCCAGATTTAACAGTATTGCTCAGAAATAAATAATTAGTGCAAAGCACGATTCAGAAAATAAGAAAGCCGATGATGGATGGATGGAAAGGAAGTCCCAGCTCACAACTTTATAATTCTCTAAGCAGGCAGCCCTGTTGCAGCTCGTAAGAGCTGTGACAAAGGCTCAAGCCTGAAGAAGCCCAGTTTTCCTTTATTTTCCTTCCTCATGAAGATGGTGGAGGTGGGGAAGAGAAAACCGTTCAAACCAGGCTTCCAGTTCCTGTCCCGCCCCATGGCGATGGCTCTCTCAACATCGGAAAGAGGCATAGGCTGAAAAATGGGGATGGAAGGGTTACAAAATCCCCTATAAGCCTCTCGGGGTACAGGAGGTATTGGCAACCAGTCATCACCTCAATTGCCCCCGCACAGATCAGCGTGGGGACAGGTGAAGGCGATGGGTACTATGCACTTACAGCCTGATGTGAACCACCCCCCAAATCACCATTGGATGCAGAGGTTCTCCTTATAACTGGGTTTTAATTGGCATTAAGAATAGGTGCACATCGGAAGAAATGGACATTATAACTGCGAACAATCAGCTGCATGGAACTGAGGTTTTAAATTGGGAGAAGATTCTATCTTATGCTGGAGGTGGATGGAGGAGAGTGGGGCTCTCTGCTATATCTTATGGAAGTCTTTACACTTATGATTCAGCAACCCTCTCCTAATATCGAATTTTAAGCTATACATGCGAGGATGGTTTGATGTATGATGTCACACTGAGATTTAAAAGAAGATGTAAAGCTGAGTGCGGCTTGAAAGGAGTAAAGGGGGGAGGAGAGCCTGGTTGCTTTGTTTGGAAGGGTGTCACTGGGAGTTAGAGCCTACCCCCCCCCCCAAAAGACTGAAATAAATCATAGAGATGTTGAGATATAACCTTTTTTTTTAAAAAAAAAAAAAGCAAAATGGTATAGTAGCAACGAAAGGAAAGCAGCGTGAGGGCTTTTGGGATGTTGGAAGAGGAATGGCACCGCCTTTCCGCTCCCTTCCCAGCAGGAGGAAGAAATGGGGAATGTCTAGAACTTGCTGATTCGTTGCCAGTGGAAGGGAGGGATCTGCTGTGGTTGATTTGGAACTTCTTGAGTATTATGGGAAAGAGCTGAGCCGGAGAAAGAAAAGGGTTTAACCTTGAAGTTGCAGCTCCGCCCCAACCAGGCTGGAATACAACAACAGTGGGAGTAAGGAGATAGCCCCAAATGCCACAGGAAAATGGAAAACATCAGAGAGGCACATAAGGCCAAGAGACTAACAACTGACTTTTGAATGTGGCACATGCAGGATGAAAAGGAAAAAGCTAAGGTTTCTCACTTGAAGCTCTTATTTTGGAAGTTGAATAATAAAGTAACACGAATAGAAATCATTAAGCTGTTAATTATGTGATAATTTTGAAAAATGGAACGTAATAGAAATAAATATGAATATGACATGCAGTAATATTAGATCATAAGGATTCATCAAGAATGGTGCATGGGAGCCCTCTTAACAAAATTGTATTAATTTGGAACTAACTTGCATAATTGGGTTTGGGACCAAGACTTAGGTCTGGGGATCTCAGCCTGCTTACCTCTGAAGTGATTTTACAGGGATGATATCATGATCATGCAGTTTAAATTCCACATCTTCATCTACAAAAGTCTGAAAAAGAAGCAAGGTTTGCTTAGCAGCATCGCTCAAGGACACATTTCTTTCTGAACATCCTTTCTTTATCAGAATATAAGCAGAATCCCAAGCAATATACTGAATACAGGTCCCCCTATCGGAATGCTCATTATCCAAATGCAAATAATTATACCCAAACGTTGCTACACAAATGGCTGATTCAGATAACTGCAAACAGCCAGAGTTTGTCCACTTCCTTTCTTGTGTTTTGCTGGTCAGTGGCAGCCATTTTAGGCAGAAACCATGGACGGAGGAAGAGAAATCAGACAAATCAGGGAACAGGTGAGATAAGACATATCAGTTTTCTCTTTGTTTGGCTTTTGCTGATTGGCTGCAGAGGTTTCAGGCAGAAATCAGGAAGGGAGGGAAATCGGAGACACCACGGATCAGAAATGCTCCCATAGGAATTAATGTAAAGCATTAGCTTGTTATGCAAACACTTGCCTAGCGAACTGTTTTCTGGGAATGTAATGTATTCAGAAAGCGGGGCCCGCAAGTATATGCCATCACTGGCACAGCACAGAAAAATTAGGTATAAGTTTTAAAAGAAAAATACAGTATCAGCCTTGCCGTTGTTGTTTTGGGCTTCCCATAGGCTTCTGGTTGGCCACTGTGAGACCAGGATGTCAAACTGGAGAACCATGGGCCTGATACAACAGGGTTTTTTGTATCTTTTTACTTAAAACATGCTGCAGTGTTAGTGAAAGGTAGTTGCTAACACTGTGAGCCATGAAGTCCTTGGTTCAAATCACACCTTGGCAGCGGCAGTACAAACAATGAAAACAGAAGGAACAGCTTCAAGCTGGTTACATGTACTTGGGCTTATGTATTCATTCAAGGTTCTTTAATCCTGCCTTTCCTACAATCTGTGGCTCAAGGTGGCAAACAACCTGTATTTAAATCATTGTGCAAAATAGCACATCATTTTTAACTGTAAATTCAGCAGCAAATATTAACAGTTACATTTTTAACTGTAAATTCAGCAGCAAATATTAACAGTTACAGAAGGAATGGGAGGTGTGCCAAAAGCTGGATTTTGAGAAGTAAGCCGGTGCTGGTGTTTGGAAGCAGCAATTTATTTTGCCTGAGTTATTTTAACAGGTGCTCCAATTAAAAGACGCAGGAAGACCTTCTCTCATCAAAATGAACTGGGCAATTTTCAGATAAGAAATTGCTGCTTTCAAACTCCAGCTTGCGGCCTGCCCCCCTTGTCCCCCCCTCCCCCCCAAAAAACTTATTTTGGCCATGAACTCACTTGGTGCCTTAGTGCCCACCCATAATAACAACCCACCTCTCTTACTTCAAATCTCTCATTAAATCCAAACTTTTCTGCTTTTACACAATCTCTGTGCTCCGTAAAGAAGTCGAATAATATGCAACTGAAACAACATGATTTTTTGTCCCATTTTATCCCTGCTACACTTTCCACACCTTTCTCTGAATCAGATTTTAGACTGTATACACTTCAGGGCAGATACTTGGATTCTTATTTTTCATAAAGTGCCACTGAAGATAATGATAATACTGGCCTACTTAAACAGTTGTTGCCAAGAATAAATGAAATAGTGTATGTGAAGGATGATGAGCACTTATACAAATACTTATAGCAATATATTTCTATTATCTAACTGCTTGGCTCAGGCAAGTAGCATCAAGGGCCACTGTTTAAACTCCCCAGGTTCATGTTTACAGGCACAATGGTAGGTTTTTGTGTATGCTTTTTAAAAAATAAAATAAAATGAAGCTCACATGCAATGGCATTGTATATAGCATTTTTAGCATGCCAAGTGCTTTACAATCCTTCTCAGTCATTTAACAGATCAAGTTTTGTCCTACAGTTCTCCATCTCCATCAAAACAGAATCACCAGTCGCCTAAGAGGCTTTGTACACTAAACATTTCTGCATGTGGTTTTATTTCCAGGTCATTTTGAATTTAGATAGTTATGCCTCAATTTTTCAGTCAGTCTTTTCAAGAGAGGGGGTAAAAATATAGAAAATAATTAAACTTCAAGGGGAGTCTCATTCAAAATGGAAGAACTTACTTTCTTCAATTCCTCTTTTTGTCCAGCAGTTTTGTTCTGGTTAAAGCTGTGCTGAACTGCTTGAAGATTAAACAGCATTAGCTTCAAAGCTTCCACAGGGCCATGATGATTCCCTCCAGAGAATGTGTCCTCCTGGAACTAAAGAAATATATTGTAATCAAAGGACATTGAACTCAATACAGCAGCTGAAAAAGTTATCCTCCCCTGTGAAGTTCAGGATTGTGATTTAAGTGGCAATTTTCCACCTTAGCTCCAGATCTATATTAAAAGGATTTCATAGGTTTCTTTAGGAATGTGCTTGGGAGGGCTGTTTTTCCATTTTAGTACTATATGTTATAGGTTAAAGATAAAGAACCCCTGGAGGGCACACTCCATTGTCTCTCGAGACAGATGGATGCCAACAATGATATTCACTCAAGCTTCACTTTTAACATACCTGCCCGACATTCTTTAAGCAATCTTCCAAAAATTCATTAACAATGCCTGCTTTGGGGTTTTGCGGAAAGGTCTCCTCATCACAACACACAGGTACTGGAGTTTTCCTGTAGACAGATATCTGGAGCTTAATGTCTTGTCTGAAATAGTTTTTCATTCTCAAAAATATTTTAGCATAGCTGTATACAAACCAGTGGGAGACCTTTTCAGTCAAAAACAGTCCTGAAAGTCAGATAGTATAACAACATTGGTATCAATGAGCATTAATATTCTGTGGGTGTTATGATTTGGTGATGTTTCTGTTTCTGTAAGCAGAGTTAAATGGCTGATTTACTTTTTTTAAATACACTTAACAAAACAGCTTTTCCATAGCATAGAATGTTGTTTATTGATGATAGCTCGGCTTTTAATACCATCCTCCCGGACATTCTTATTAAAAAGCTGATGGATGTGGACCTTTCTTCTACCATCTGTGACTGGATTAAAGACTTTTTGAGGGATCGGACACAAACAGTGAGGATTGGGACTGTTACATCTACCTCCCTGAAGCTTAGCACTGACACCCCCCAGGGATGTGTGCTAAGTCCCTACCTGTACTCATTGTACACATATGACTGCATATCATCTGCTCCATCCACAGTAATTATTAAGCTTGCAGATACTACCATAATGGGCCTAATTGCAGGCGGAGATGAAACAGCGTACAGGGGGGAGGTTCAATAAGTATCTACATGATGCTTAGACAATAACTTACACCTAAATATTAGTAAGACAAAGGAGATGGTGATGGACTTCCGGAGGGAGAGGGGAACCTGCCCTGTTGTATATCGGGGGAGCTGTGTGGAGAGAGTCTCCTCATTTAAATTCCTGGGAGTTTACCTTAGGGAGGACCTCACTTGGAAAATCAACATAACTTCGGTGCTCAGAAAGGCCCAACAAAGACTCCATTTCCTCATGGTCTTGCAAAAGAATAATGTTAAACAACAACTGATGAACTCCTTTTATCAGTCCACAATAGAAAGTGTCCTTTCATATTGTATCACAGTGTGGTATGCTGCCTCGACAGCCACGGACAGAAAGTCTCTACAGAGGGTGGTGAATACAGCGCATGATATCATGGGCTGTCCCTTGAGTCCGCTAGATGATATCGCAAGGGATCATTGCCTTAGGAGAGCGAGAAAAATTCTCAGGGATGACTCACACCCCGGCCACCACCTCTTTAATCTTCTACCCTCGGGCAGGAGATACAGAAGTATAATCAGTTGTACCAACAGGCTAAAAATAGCTTCTATCCGTGGGCTGTTAGGCTGTTGAATGAAAAATAACACAGCAAAATTGACTTGCAAGGTGGTGTGTTGTTCGATAAGCAATTCAGTGTTTGGGGGCGGGTGAGGTTTGTTTAATTTCATTGTACACAGGTTGACAATAAAGGTATTATTATTATTATTCCTTTATAAGCAGCTCTCTGGAAATTCTCAAGCATACTGCAAGGGCAACTTCCTTTTTCTTCATTTATTTCAAACCAATCCTTGAACATCCTGACCAGAGTTCCCTCTCAAGAGGCATAAGCCAGAAACATGGCTGATGTCCTTCTAACACTTTCAAAAGTGTGGCTAAGAGTAACGGAAAATATAGACCATGCCAACTAGAATCCTAACCCATCCGAACCAGATCATGGGCATCATGCCAGCTGGCAGAAAGGAAAGCAGTGCCACTTGCAATTAGCCAGGTTCCCATAGCAATAACTCAGCAGCCCTCTGTAGTACAGTCATACCTTGGTATGTTTCGGCTCCCGAATGATCAAAACCAGGAAGTTAGTGTTCCGGTTTTCAAACTTTTTTGGGGAAGCCGAACATCTGAGGGGCTTCTGAGGCTTCCAATTGGCTGCAGGAGCTTCCTGCAGCCAATCAGAAGTTACACTTTGGTTTCCGAACGTTTTGGAAGTCAAATGGACTTCCAGAACGGATTCTGTTCGACTTCCAAAGTACGACCGTACTAGAACCCAGCGTCGTATGAAAAAACTGAATGATGGGAGACCGAGGATGAAGAAAAGGAAGCATTACTTCTTCACACATTGCATCATTAATTTATGGAATTTGCTGCCACAAGGATATCAAGATTGCCACTAACCCCGACGGCAACAGACAAATTCATGAAGGTTATGTCTACTAATGGCAACTAGTCATGACACCTTTTTACTATCTCCAGTGTCTGAGGCAGTAAGTGTCTGAATCAGTGTTAGAAATCCCTCAGGCTCCAGGCACATTTTGCAACTAGCATGGGTCCAATTGCGACCACATGGAAGTCTCTGGATGCCAATCTCCATTTGGCTAGCCCTCCAGCTTGCTTAAGCAGGTAAGAAGAGCTATTTATTGCACTTATATCCCACCTTTTCCTCCAAGGAGTACATGGTTCACCTCCCTTCTCAGTTAGTCCCTACAACAACCCTGTGAGGTAGGTTAAGAGACTTTGACTGGCTCACGGTCATCCAGTGAGCTTCATGACTGAGTGGGGATTTGAACTCTGCTCTCCCAGGTCCTAGTGTAACACTCTAACCACCAGCTTCCTAGAATAGTTCTGCTATGGGGCAGCTCTATAAATTAAATAGGTAAATAAATATGAGGAAAGCAAAATGTTACTTAGAGAAGGATCTGGAATATTTTCCTTGAAGCTTGAGTTTATTTTATTCTGGATTGTTTTATGTTTTAATGTGTTGTAAAAAGCTTTGAGATTTCCCCCCCTTTAAAATAAAAAAGTGGTTTAGAAATGAAATTAGTATTATTATTATTATTAACCACAGAAAAGGCACCTAGACATTCCATTGTGGCTACCATAACCCAGGTTTAAGGTTCCATTTGGCGATCAGCTTTTAACGCTGGTCTGAATATGGGCTTTCTGTAGGCGTTTAGTCACTGTGGGAAACTGGATGTCAGGTTAGATGGGCCACTAGCCTGATCCAGCACTTATTAATTTCTCTGAAAAATACCAGGAGTTCATTGCAGAAGACTGTTCCTATGTACTGCTCATGCTCAGGCCGGTTGGAGGTCTGCTGTACAAACTAAGATGGTGCAATAACCATACTCTTGAACGTTAAACTGATATATCCCTGCTATGCTTTCATAACAAAGCTATGTGTATGTCTTGTTTACTCACAAACCAATAGGAACATTATCCCATGATCTTTCGGCTTCTAACATATCCACTGTACAAGGGCTGCCATCATTTTTCAGCGCATTGGTTAATTCGTCAGCAGAAGTCTCCTGAGTCCCTCTTGTCTTCTGAAGTATTAGATCAGTACCCTCATCTGAAATCATTTATTGAAAATAACAATTAAACGCAAGTCACCTTGAATTCACATCTTGTATATACAGTTGTACCTTGGTTGACGAACGCCTTGCAAGTCGAACGTTTTGGCTCCCAAACGCCGCAAACCAAGAAGTGAGTGTTCCGGTTTGTGAGCTTTCTTTGGAACCCGAATATCCATTTCGGCTGTTGGCATTGTTTCTGGGGCCAATCAGCCAATCGGAAGCTGCACCTTGGTTTGTGAACGTTTTGGAAGTCGAACAGACTTCCAGAACAGATTCCGTTCGTCAACCAAGGTATGACTGTACTGCATGTTAATCAAAAGAAACACGCGTATCTAAAGTTATAACAGTTTTGTGTTGAGAAGATCTGCTACAATAAAAAGAAGTATACTGCGTTAAAGTAAGGGCACAGTCCATTCATAACTATGTCTCTTCAGGAGTAAGTCATATTGATTTAAATGGGGCTTACAAGGAAGCAGGGTTAGGCGTGTGTGAAATGTTATCCTCATTTGGCAGACAGAGACAAACACTGGGTAAGAGAGAGAAAATGTAAACAGCAGGACCAAAGGCCATGAAATAAGTGGAATCCAGTAGGCCTTTGACAGTTATGCAAAGGACAAATGTATACAAGATCAGGACCGTGTCCATTCATAACATCAGTAATTAGTGAGACTGCTGTTATGAATGGTCACTGTTCTTATCTTAGGTCAAATGTATAGAAGATAAGAACAGTGATCACTGGCAACAGCAGCCATACTAATTACTGCTGTCATGAATGGCTGCTGCTCTTGTATGCATTTGACAGTGGCACAAAAATGTCACAGACCTCAAGACCCGGAATGGTGTTATGAATATACTTAAGAGGCCTTTTTCAATTAGACTGACCCATCTAATTGACAAAGTAAGTGAGTCTAGCCATAGCCAATTAGAAAATACTGGCTGCTCCTCCAATTTCAGAATGGCATGTCAGAATTTGCAACGTTTCTCTTGCTGACTTACACTGTATCATGCTTTCTGTGATAAAAATCAAACTCTGGGCAGCTTACAGATAAAACTTATAGATCAAATAAGATTAAAAGTACTCCCAACAATAAAACAGTCAACAGTAGAAACTCATTCATAAAAAGCATTGCTATTCCATTAAAATGGATTTATTACAGAATACTTCATTATGAAAAACAAGCTAAAACCATGCAGTTTGCCCAAGTTTTTAAATAATGCATAGCTTTTATTAGTTTCTATCATAATCTCTGCTGCTGTTTTAAGTTCTGATTATTTCTAACCACAGTAAGTCCAAATCACCATTTAGAGATCCACTTAAAATCATGGTTTTAAACTGTGGTTTGGTGCTAACTATGGTTAATGAAAACACAGGCTACACCATATGCTAACTGTGGTTAATTCAGGTATTATAATGGAAGTCAGGAGGAGTATGTGAGCTTACACTACTGACACCCAACCATGGCTAGGAATTGGGAAGTACAGTGGTACCTCAGGTTAAGTACTTAATTCGTTCCGGAGGTCCGTTCTTAACCTGAAACTGTTCTTAATCTGAAGCACCACTTTAGCTAATGGGGCCTCCTGCTGCTGCTGCGCCACCAGAGCACGATTTCTGTTCTCATCCTGAAGCAAAGTTCTTAACCCAAGGTACTATTTCTGGGTTACTGGAGTCTGTAACCTGAAGCGTATGTAACCTGAAGCGTATGTAACCCGAGGTACCACTGTATTGTTTCTGCATCAGGCCAATGGGTATAAGGGTAGCAGAAAGTTGTTTTACTCTCTACGAAAACATGATCACCACATGCTTCAAAAACTTGTTGACCACCAAATGAAGTGCACCTGTGAGTTACCTGTAAATGAATGCCTGTGTTTTAAGCCCTGAGGTGTGAAATAGGCACTTGGAACATCATAGTGGCAGTTTCTCTGAACTTCATGCTCATGTTGTTGGCCCAACAAATCGTTATGTCCAGAACGTCCAGGATGGTTTGACCTTTCCACATCATTTTGACTCCTCATCAGTGTCTTGCTATTTTCCAAAAATGTGGTACCATCCTCTCCACCTGGTGCCCAGGTAGAACTTTCATTGCTTGACTCTGGCAAGAGATTATGACTCTTCAGCCAGACTGGATACTTGAAACTGGGAATGCTGCTTATCCCTGAAACACTTAGGTCAGATTTCTGGCTTGTAAGCCACCTTGGATAGTTCTTATGAAATACAGACTCTGAGTTGTCTTCTTCCATGAGGTGGTCCTTCACAGAATGCCCAGAGTCATATCTGTGAAATCTGTGTTGTGCGTTCACATTTCTGCTAGAGTGCTGATATGAAGGGGAACCTGGATTTTCAGGGAAATTCGATACTTTTTCATTGCCAAAGGATGAAGCCTGATGAGCACAGGAAGCAGATGCTGTTAACGACTTCCTGTTCTGGTTGATACTTTGAGGCACAGGTCTTAAGGCAGCAGCATGGATAAAAGGTAAGGAACCATCTGCAGGGAATGCTAGAAGATCATCAGTAGTGAGACTAAGCATATCTGTATCATAGACATTTTTTCTCCTCAGATGGGGCACAACTGACCCTAATATGGCTTGCTGCTCAAATTTCTCCAAAGCTGAAAAACAAGAAATTAGAGAGAGAGAGAGATGTCACATTAAAAAAACTGTAAAAAACAAAACAAAACCAGCAACATTTAAAAGATGTTAGGTAAAGTAAAGGGACCCCTGACCATTAGGTCCAGTTGTGGCCAACTCTGGGAGTGCAGCGCTCATCTCGCTTTATTGGCCGAGGGAGCCAGCGTACAGCTTCCGGGTCATGTGGCCAGCATGACTAAGCCGCTTCTGGCGAACCAGAGCAGCACACGGAAATGGCGTTTACCTTCCTGCCGGAGTGGTACCCATTTATCTACTTGCACTTCGACGTGCTTTTGAACTGCTAGGTTGGCAGGAGCAGGGACCAAGCAACGGGAGCTCAACCCATCGCAGGGATTCGAACCGCCGACCTTCTGATCGGCAAGTCCTAGGCTCTGTTGTTTAACCCACAGCACCATCCACATCCCTGCTAAAAAGATGTTAGAAAGGTGCAGTTTTACTAGAAATATATTAAGGCTGCTCAATGAACTCTATGGGAAATGGTTATTAGAAGACATGTACAGGATAGTGCTAATAACTGAACACAAGAGTGATCTAATTGAAGGAGTAACATAATGTCCATTAAAATTCTCATGGAAGTTGGAACGGCTGCTTCTTTGAGGGGTGCATGCAGGAAATCCAGGTATCTTTGCTCATAGAAACAGCCACTTCCTATGAAAATGCTTAATCAGACATATTACTCATGTGCAACAAAACTGTTCAGTTTGTATGATCAGTTCTTCACTAACGTTAACTAAAAGCCACATGCATGAAACTTTCTGGCTACAATTCTAAGTTCTGTGTTGTCACTTCCCCCCTCCCACCTGAAAGATCATACAAATCCAGCTGATAGCTGTCCTGGGGCTGTAGGGAAGGGAAGGGAAGGGAAGAAAACACTGGCTTCTGCCTCCAGCAATGTGGCTGAGGAGCACTGGGAGGCTGCCTCCCCGGTATAATATCAAGGCAAGCGAGAGACCAATCTGGTCCCATCCATCACCACAGAAGGAGCAGCTGCAAAGAGCTTGCTTCCTTCTCCTTGCCTGAAAGCATGTTGCTCTTGAATTGCAGAAACAAGGGGAAAGTACAATCTGACCAAGTAATTGCTATTCAAGCATGAGCACCAGCAAGGGAAAATCAACCTGTCCTGGATATAAATGCCCACTTTGTTCTACCCTTGAAGAACTGAGCACCCTCTTCTACCTTTTCCATCCACTCTCTCTTTTTAGCTTGTAAGTCTAATGATGACAGCCCCTCTCTTTTATTACTGATGACAGCCACTTTAAAAGGCAATAATTGTATGAAAAGCAGTTTAAAAATACATCCATTGCTTAAACCAAAACACTTAAGTTAGTCTTAACTAGTTATATCATCTGCTACATTATTCATATCATCTAACATGAACGTACAAAAGAAATGACTTGTAGCTGCTGTAACAGAAATATGGCCCCTTTCTTAAGCAATGTTATAGTTATTAATGTTATTACAATGTTTCTCATTTGTGGAGTGTTATATTTCACTTTAATCCTATATATAAACTTGCCACTTATCTCTCACTGGAAGCCGCCTAAGCATCACAAGATAGGAAATGCAAATAAGATCAAAATTATGTAAGCTAAGCAATAAAAAATGTGCATCATCTGCCACTCTCCAGCGACCCTTAACAGGGGCCAAGGTTTTTCCTGTCACAAATGGAATAACACTCACATACCATATTTGCGCTTGAAACTGTCCTCCGAGGACCTTAGGTCTTTACGAGTACTCTGTGTAATGCAGATTTTTCCAGGTCTTACTTCTGGCGACGCAAGGCTGAGATCGAAATCTTCAATATAGGCCTCCAATGCTTGAGATGCAGACCTATAGAGCCTGTCCTTGTACTGAATTGAACTGTGGGATTTCAAGGAGCAACTACTATTGCTAAGGCTACAATCTGCCAGAAGACAAGAAACAGTTGATTCCGGAGAGTAGGCGCTGCCTTTTTTAATCAAGCAAGCCATTACACATTTCACCGAATTGGATTCCTGGAACCGCTAGACATGTTTCTGAAAAATTACAGCAAGTGAGAAAACCAGTGAGTCAGCCATGCTGAGCATTAATAAATGTCGTGGATTCAGAAGCCAGACCTGTTGCCGGACCGACTCTCTGTTACAAAGCGTGTTTGCAAGTGTGACATGAAGGCTGGCAACATTAACCCCACCATGTGGGAATCCCTTGCAGGATCGTAGTGCCTGGAGACAGACAGGTTTTTTGTGTTTTTTTGGATTTGATATCCCGCTTTATCACTACCCGAAGGAGTCTCAAAGCGGCTAACATTCTCCTTTCCCTTCCTCCCCCACAACAAACACTCTGGGAGGTGAGTGGGGCTGAGAGACTTCAGAGAAGTGTGACTAGCCCAAGGTCACCCAGCAGCTGCATGTGGAGAAGCAGGGACGCGAACCCGGTTCACCAGGTTACGAGTCCACCACTCTTAACCACTACACCACACTGGCTCTCTGTGTATCCACAGCAGTGACCAGAGGACCAAGGAGCGCAGAGAGAAAACCATGGTGCATCTGCAGCAGCAGAACAGGATACTTTCATCTGCCCCAGCTGCAACAAATCATGACTTTCCTGTATCGGTCGTTACAGACACAGCAGATGCTGCAAGCTTGACCTCACCTGCAAAGGCACACTCCTCCATTGTCTCCCGAGACAAACAGACGCCGAAAACATGTTTTGGTTTCTTACAAGCTGGGCACTCTGAACTCAATGTTTGTTGTTGGAGAAGCAGGACACAAATATCAAATCCAATCGAATCCTCCCACGTGAGTGACATGCTATTTAAGTAGGTCCTCCTGCTAAGGCAGCAGCAGCAAAACCCCAGGCACACCTATGCCAAAGCTTTACTTGCTCCCAGATAAGTACAAGAAGCCGGAATCCAACCAAAGTTCACCACTTTATGGCTGTGGTCCTATCCATCCTCCCACCTGGAAGCAACTCGGAATATAGTGGTACCTTGTTTTAAGAACAACTTAGTTTATGAACAACTTGGATTAATAACACTGCAAACCCGGAAGTAGATGTTTTGGTTTGTGAACTTTGCCTTGGAAGTGGAACATGTTCCGCTTCCTGTTGAGTGTGTTTCATTTGTAAATTGAGTCCCCGGTGCTATGGGAAAGCATGCCTTGGTTTAAGAACGCTTTGGTTTAAGAACGGACTTCCGGAACGGATGAAGTTTGTAAACAGAGGTACCACTGTACGCAGAAGGAAGGCAAAAGAGAAGAAGCCAGAGAAGGAGAGGAAGGGAAGCCCTTAGGTGTTTTCTGTTGTGTCCCCTTGGTTTACCATGGTTTTATTTTTTCTCCTTTTATTCTTATTCTTTTTGAACTGTATGTAAAAACACAAATAAAAACACGCATGGGATGGACTGTGCTGTGAATCAGGTCTTCCTTAACGCTGTCACAAGAAGCTTGGCTGCTTCTTATAAGATTTTTCCAATAACTATGTTATTTTATCTATCGCATAATTCCAATAACTATTTTATTTACCATGCTACCTCTAGATGCAAACAGGATCCGTTCCGGAGCCCCGTTCGCCTCTAGAAGCAAATGTAACCAGCGAAGGCACATTTGCACACACATGCGCGTCGCTTTTCGGCGCTTCTGCACATGTCATTTTGCGCGTCTGTGCATGCGCAAGCGGCGAAACCCGGAAGTAACACGCTCCGTTACTTCCGGGTTGCCACGGAGCGCAACTCGAACGGACTCATCCCAAAGCACATTCAACCCAAGGTATGACTGTATTACATTTTTACTTTTTTTTCAATAACTGTTTATTTTACTTATTTTCATTATACACCTTTAAGCGCCAGGCGAAAACGTTCCTTTTTAACCAAGCCTTTGGATGACCTGATTTACATCCCTATGCCCTTTTAAAATGTGTTGGCTTTTTTTGTGGAAGGGGGCGGCGGCTATTGGGTTGTTGTTTTTATTTTTATTATGTATTTTGTGGTTTTATATCGATCTTACTCTGTGAACCGCCCTGAGACCCCCAGGTATAGGGTGGTATATAAATTCAATAAATAATAATAATAATTTATTTTACTTATTGCATGCAACTATTTTATTACATTTTTACTTTTTCCCAATAACTGCTTATTTCACGTATTTCATTTCATTTATATACGTGCTGCCTTTATCTCCCAAGGAGCTCGGGATGGTGCACGTGGTTCTCCTCCTCCCAATGTCACCCTCACAACAGCCCTGTGAGGTAGGCTAGCGGCTAAATTTTAGCCTAGCCCTAGTACGGATTCGGAACCCACATCCATCTCCCCGAAATCTCCCTCAATCCTCCTCAGAGGGTCGAAAGCGGACGCTTCTCGCGCGAGGGGCGCAAGATGCGGGCGCGCACGTCTGAACCCGCGACACGCGTGTTTCCGCGGACCGCCGCGCGTCGCCTCACCGCGTGTGAACCCGCCGCCGGGCAATAACGCGTGTCTGGCGACTCCCCGCCCTCTTCGCCCCGAGGGAGAGAGCCGCTTACCCGCTTCGGTCGGCGCCTCCTCCTCCCGCCCGCAAAACGTTTGAAACGGGAAAAAAAATGCCGCCTCTTCCCAAAATGGCGCCGTTAGCGCTCCACTGCGCATGCTCCATCGCTGAGGCCGGGCGCCACCGCGCATGCCAGTGAGGCTTCTCGGCGTTCGGAGAGCAAGCGCCCCTGCGAACCACAACTCCCGGCACGCCCCGCGAGCGAACGCATCACAATGCTGCTGAGCCACACCGCCCCCCACCGAGGAGAAACGCGAGTTGCAGCCGGGAAGGAGGAGACTAGAAGGGATGCGAGCGACAAGACCCAGGTGAGCGCTTGGTGCGGCTCTGTTGCAGCAGCATCTATACACGCCTCCACGAGGCGAGCCCCGCTCTTGAAGCCGGGAAAGCGATGGGAATTTAGCGCGCACGAGGAACTGGAAGTGACTCATAGATTCAATAGAAGGGACCCTGAGAATCAATGCAGGAAAATGCAGCTGTCCCATACGGGCAGTGCTGGATTTACGTACTGTATAAAGCTAAACAAGCTATAACTTAGCGACCCAGTGGGGCCCCCCAAAAAAATTAAAGGGAAAAAAAGCACATGGATGTACATTTCCAAAATATAAGATAAAAAACAAATAAAACAAAACCTACATACCTATTAGGTCCATCAATTACCATATAGCATATATTCAACACACACAAAAACAGCGACAATTTGTTGTTGACAAAGGACAGCTGAACATATAAAGGGCCCCATTACCCTCAGTAGCTTAAAAGGTAAAGGGACCCCTGACCATTAGGTCCAGTCGTGGCCAACTCTGGGGTTGCGGCGCTCATCTCGCTTTATTGGCCGAGGGAGCTGGCGTTTGTCTGCAGACATGTGGCCAGCATGACTAAGCCGCTTCTGGCGAACCAGAGCAGCGCACGGAAAAGCCATTTACCTTCCCGCCAGAGCGGTACCTATTTATGTACTTGCACTTTGACGTGCTTTCGAACTGCTAGGTTGGCAGGAGCTGGGACCGAGCAACGGGAGCTCACCCCGTCACGGGGATTCGAACCGCCGACCTTCTGATCAACAAGTCCTAGGCTCTGTGGTTTAACCTGCAGCACCACCCACGTCCCTTTATTTCTATATAGAACAGCCTAATTTTTCTAGTGCTGTCACACCCTACACCGTTAAGGTGCTCTGTGGAATGAATAAAACGTGCTGTATCCCCACCCCCTGTCCTTGCGACACTTACTTGTCCTTTGCTTTGCCATTTTCACAGATAGATGGACTATAAGAAACTTTCAGAGGGCCTCTCCATAAAAATTTTCTCGTACCTTCATGATCCAGTGGGATGGAAAGTGGTGAAAAGTGCAGTAAGAACAATGCAGTTCATCTTGTTTTAGCTATTTCTCTCTTGCTGTTAAGCCCCAAACTGTTATTAGCCCATGGCAGGTTTTTCTTTTTTTGTCAGCCTGCTGATAAATAATTGCACCTTTAAAAAGAAGAAGGAAACATCCCAAGATGCCTGGTCGATTTAGAAGCAGCTCTTATTTCTCACAGGCAACCAGAGTATTTAGAACCTGATCTAGAAGTAAAACAATAGGTTTTTTTAAATTGGGGTTTGTTTGTTTTTAAAGTTACAGATATTTCAGAGGTGTTTGATTATTATTTTTTCCTTTCCTTTATTGTCAACCTGAGAAACAAATGTCAGTGTCGGCAAGACCTTCAACAGATTTTCCAGGAACTCTGTAAGTAAACAGGGCTTTGGTTCCTGTGTATTTCCTTCCATGCACTCACTCTGAAAAGCAGCACCAATGGCAAAATCACAGTACAAGGGATTTCCCCATTCCCAGAACTATTAATGATGGACATGTCCATACTGTGGACCTCAAAACTGATTCAGTAGTCACTCCCCCATCCCAGGAACTCCTGAATTTTTCATGCCAGTCAGTTGCCATGTTAAATGCCACATGGATCCCAAAATGCCATGCTGTAATGCCATGCTATAAGGTGGAAGCTTGTGGTTTTTTAAAAATGGATCCCAAAATGCCATGCTATAAGGTGGAAGCTTAGGTTTTTTTTTAAAAAAAAACTAATTTTGTTTCATTATTTATTTAAGCATTTATTTAAACATTTACAAGCCACACTTTTCATAAAAGACACAGCAAGGCAATATGCAACATGCAAGAGTATAGCAATGTTGGTAGAAGCATCAGTAGAAGCTGGTTGTTGGGGGTAGAAAAACATCACGTTCCAAAGGACTGTCTGAATGACACAGTTTTCAACAGACCCTCTGAAAGTAGGCAGGAATCATTCCTGCCGAGCGTTTAGTGGCGGGGAGTTCCACAGGGCAGGACCTTGCATACTAATGGCATGGTCTCTAGTAAAGGCTGACTGGACCCTCAGGGAATCTCAGCGATCAAGATGGACCATAAGGAATCCGGAGGTCCCAAATTATTTAAAACTTTGTGAATTTACACCCAGAGCCTTGAACCTGGAGTGGTAGCTTATTGCAACCAGTGTAGCTCTCTCAACAGAGGCGGATGGCGTGTTGCCTGTAGCCTGCTGCTGTGAACATTCTGGCTGGTAGCTTCCAAATCATGTAAGATTTAGTTGACCTTCCTGCATTGCAGAGGGTTGGACTAGATGGCATTTGTGGTCACTTCCAACTCTACAGTTCTACGATTCTATGAATGAATTATCAGAAACATAGGAAGTTAACTTGTATCAAATCAGACCACGAGTCTACCTAGCCCAATATTGTCCACACTGATTGACAGCAGCTCTCCAGGGTGCCAGGCAGGAGACAAGTCCCAACTAAGGCTGCCTTAGATGTTCTCTCTTTTCATTCATGCAACAGGGCCTTCCTTTCTTCCCCACGCATACCAGCCTAAAATTATACTGCCTTGTTCTACTGCCTCATTCTTCTGTGTGCGTAGAACTGCTCCTCAATTCCCGATACAAACCAAACACCTCTGAAATACCTCTGTTTCTGTATCTAACCTAGATATCGTGCTGAAGCGCTAGTGGAAGTACCGGCTCCTAAACTCTTTCCCTTCATTTTCCGGGCTGAGTACCGCAACAAGTGGGACAGAGCAGTACAGTCGTACAAACTTGTAGATACAATTGACCAGGTGATTCCATAAGTTAATGGGGTTTTGAAGTTCTGGGGTGTGTTTGTGGTTTTTTCCCCCTTAGCCTAGGCATTACTTTGGCTTTTCTGGCAGAGCTGAAATGTGGGACAAACAGGTCTTGTGCCTTGGGCGGCTGTATAAAACTCTGGATTTTCATAGGTGCATCTTTGTACATTATTTGGGGTTGCATCTAAAGAAGTTGTCTCCTTAGTGCAAGGACTTCTACCTGTGTGGCAGGAGTTCCTCTCCCTTCCTCAATACATTTCTGGTTTCCCGCCAACCTCCTGGAGCAGATTGGCGCTGCAGCAAGGCTCCTCATGGGGTCCCTGCCATGGGAGCATATTGACCCAGGGCTTTTCCAGCTGCACTGGCTCCTGGTAGAGTACAGGGTCAGATTTAAGGTGCTGGTTTTGACCTTTAAAGCTCTTCATGGCCTAGGACCCTTGTACTTACGGGACCGCCTCTCCCGGTATGCCCCGTGGAGGACCTTAAGGTCCATAAATAGCAACACCCTAGAGGTCCCGGGCCCTAAGGAAGTCAGATTAGCCTCAACCAGAGCCAGGGCCTTTTCAACACTGGCTCCGGCTTGGTGGAACGCTCTGTCTCATGAGACCAGGGCCCTGCAGGATCTGATTTCTTTCTGCAGTGCCTGTAAGACAGAGTTGTTCCGCCTGGCCTTTGGCTTGGAATCAACTTGATCCCCTCCCCCCTCTTTCCTTTTTCCTTTCTCCTTCTGTGATGGTACTCCTATTTGGGGACTTCCCTGGCTTTTTACTGGCCCACGTAGGACCAGTCTGGATAGTTGGCCTTGGTGAAGATTTGACGTTTTCATCCCCAAAAAGTTTTTGATTTGAGCTTCTACTGAAATGAGGCTGCATTTTAATGTTGTACTTAATCTTGTTTTTAAGTTGTATTTTAATCAATTGTTTTTATACCTGGTGTTAGCTGCCCTGATCCTGGTCTTGGCTGGGGAGGGCGGGGTATAAATAAAATTTATTATTATTATTATTACACAGCGAGAGAAGAGGGAATCCCATTGCACAAGCAGAAGTTATTGCGCTTACAAGATGACTTCATAGGATGCAACCCATAATGCTTAGTGGCATGTAAGGCCATACCTGCCAACTTCTTAAAGACATAGCAAATAAGCTATACACTTCAAAAATAACATACCAATATAGCTACTGTTCTGGAAAGTTAGTGAAAGCAATTCCTTTCTGACTTTAGTATGCTACACACATGGCAATAGCCTACTACTTTGTCCTCAGACATGTGGGAAGGAGGGAACTTATTTTCCCTGGCAGAGCTTTCCTAACTATGGAAAGCCAGCATTTGTTACCTCTATTCCAGATTTCGTTAAAGAAGGATTTGGAGGAATTTGACTTGAACCATCTTTTTTTCCCCTGGTTAAGTTCCGCCGGGTTGCTAGGTCATGTAACTGAGCTGGAAAGGGTTTGGAAGAGGTGTAAGTCTCTATCTGCTTTGCTCCCCCACTTCCCCATAACGCTCCCCTTTGTGGGGGGATTTATGCTAGCTTAGCCCTGGGTGAGAGACTTACACTGCTGTATCATCAGCTCAGCTGGGAAAGCCCAAGATCTGCTGAATCCAAACTCCTTCATCCTGGTGGATCTTCGGGCTGGATTGTACTGTAAGCCATCCCACCCGCACAAAATATCCCCCCCCCCTTGTTTTAATCCATTTTCCTCAAACGTATTAGTGTCCTTCCGTCCAATTGTTCTGAAACTACTTAGAAAGATTGGGGCAGGGGCAACACTTTTAAAAGCCAGGAAAAAAAGCCAGGAAAAAATAAGGTAGAAATGAATAGGAAGGTAAGAACTCTGATGTTTGCAGAAACGGGATGTCTTTAGGAAGTGTTGGGGACACATAGTGTGAGGTTGGTTACCTGTTTTCGATCTCTATCCATTCCATACAGTAATCCATTCCATACATCCCCATCCATTCCATATCTTGCTTCCCAAACTTAATCCGTTCCAAAACCAAAGCGTTCTAAAACCAAGCCGCGCTTTCCCATGGAAATTAATGCAAAATGGATTTATCGGTTCCAGACTTTTAAAACAGCAATTCAACATGAATTTTACTATCTAATGAGACCGTTGATCCATAAAATGAAAACAATAAACAACGTACTGCAGTCACACAATCAATCAATCAATCAATCAATCAGTGGCTGAAGTGGGTTCGACACAGTCACAAAAACAAAAGAGCCGCAAAAACAGACAGACCTCAGCGTAACACTCAAATTGTCAGTGTAACACTCAAAGCAGAAGTGTGGTACTCAAAAGGGAGTACGTTCGGCTTCCAAAAAAAGTTTGTAAACTGGAACACTTGCTGTAGTGTTTGGGTTCCAAGTTGTTTGAGTACCAAGGTGTTTGAGAACCAAGGTACCACTATAATTTATTTAGTTACTGAAAGGATTTCTATTCACCCTTCAGTGAAAAGCAGTGTTTCTATGTTGAACTCTGAGCTGAGCATCAGCAGTGCTTGCCTGCTTGAAAATGCCAGCTTTGCTTTTGGCTGGTGAAGCCTAGCAATTGGTTGACGAAGCACAATATCAAGACTCTTCAACTTGTTTTTTCTGGTAGGCAGGTTACCCTGATGGAGCCAAGGAAGTTTGGGGCCAATTCTTTAACAATTTGTTTGTTTTATATTTGCTACAGGACACTTTCGTTTACCAAAGTATTACACACAGTTACGGCTTGGGGCTGGTTACGCCAAGGGACTTTGTCTACTTGCTGCATGTTAAGACATATGATGGAGATTTATTGACAACAAACTGTAAGTAATATTGCTTGCTCGGAAGGGGTTAAGAAATGGATTTCACACATAACCAGTTTAGAACCTGGTGATTCCCCTCAGTAGAATACACTAGTGGGCAGGGGTACCAACTTGAATAAAATATTGGAGGGGCAGCTAAACTCCACCCCACATAATCACAATTTTTTAAAAAGTTTTTTTTATTCAAAATTAAAACAAGACATATTATCCAAAAACATATCATCCTTGTTTCCCCCCCCCCCATTTTTCCTCCCTCCCCCCACCCTCCCATACAAAAACCCGACTTCCCTCAGTTCCAGTCTTTGGTTTCTCTGAGACTGCTGTTTTCTGCATGTTACAAAGTTGTATAGCTCCTCAAACTATTTAGCTGATTATTATCAATAAAAAAGTTTGTGAATGTTTATTCAAAACCTGCCAGGGAGTCCAGTTCACTTTGTTGCGTCTTCAGATACTTTGTAAAGGGTTCCCATTCATCTTTAAAGTCACAGTTATCCTTGCCCCGTAGCTTAGATGTCAGTCATCACAATATTTTATTTTATTCATTTGACCAAAGAGACCTCAGTCCCTAGGAGTTGGCTCTTAAGCCAGTGGGCTAACCTCCATATGAAGTGTCTTAAGCTCTCTGGAAGAATAGAACTGTAATAAATACTAACTTAGAAAACAAATAGCTCTGCTATCCTCCTACCCCTAAAAACCCCATATTATTTTCCTAGAAAACTATACCCATATCCCTTGAAGTAGGGATGGACAAATCCTGTTTCTCATATTTCCGATCTTATGTCCAGTTCCCCACACTCCTCACCTCATTTTGCTCCTTAGGGAAAAAAAGTCCTAATGAAAATATATCAACATTTTAATGTGAATTTCTCCTAATATATTCTTTTTAAAGTATTTTTGCCCTTACACACTTTGCATGTTATTTTCATGCAATTTAACTTCCTTCCGCAGGGCCTGTAAGACAGAGCTATTCCCCCTGGCTTTCCATTTGAATTTAGCCTGATCTTTTATTCCCCTTCCTTCCCTCTCCCTCCCCTTTTATGAAGATTACCCGCTCTGGGATCCCACAGCTAATTCTCCCCTGGTCTCCTCGCTGGCCCAAACAGGACTAATTTAGCCAGCTAGCGCTAATGTTTATTGGATGGATTTCCCCCCAAATTTATTTTTGAATTCTGAATTTATTGTTATTCACTGTATATTATGTTGCTTTTCATTGCATCAATTAAGCGTTTTAAATTTGTTGCTATCCGCCCTGAGCCCGGTTTCCTGAACCGGGAAGGGCGGGGTATACAGTGGTACCTCGGGTTACATACACTTCAGGTTACATACGCTTCAGGTTACAAACTCCACTAACCCAAAAATAGTGCTTCAGGTTAAGAACTTTGCTTCAGGATGAGAACAGAAATCGTGCTCTGGCGGCGTGGCGGCAGCAGGAGGCCCCATTAGCTAAAGTGGAGCTTCAGGTTAAGAACAGTTTCAGGTTAAGAACGGACCTCTGGAACGAATTAAGTACTTAACCCGAGGTACCACTGTAAATAAAAAAATATTATTAATACACACACAGTATGTTGCTCTTTTATTCTTACTGCCAATAGGTGATTTGTTGCTTGGACGTATGTTTGGGTCACCATGCTTGCTGGTGGAGCAGGTTTTAAATTCTGTTTTGTTCTCCCCCATAGCTGTAAGTGTAGACCACCCAGCCTTTCCTCCAACTCCAAAGTATGTGCGTGGAACAAACTACCCTTCTGGCTATGCGTGCTGTCCCATACCAGGGTAAGTGGTCCTCACAGCCTGTTTATTTTCAGGGAAGGGTAAATCATCATGATGGCTTCCAAGCTGGGAGGCAGAAGAGCTCTTTATAACTTCATTGCATCAGTTGTAGTTTGGTTACATGAATAGGAGCATAGGAAGATGCCCTACCAAATCATAGAAGCATAGAATCATAGAAGAGTTGGAAGGGACCTTGAGTTTCATCTAGGCCAACCCCCTGCATTGCAGGAATCTCAGCTAAAACATCCATGGCAGATGGCCATCCAACCTCTGTTTAAAAACCTCCAAGGAAGGAAAGTCCACAATGTCCCAAGGGAGACTGTTTCCACTGTTGAACAGCTTTTACCACCAGAAAGTTCTTCCTGATGTTCAGTTGGAATCTCCTTTCTTGTAACTTGAAGCCATTGGTTTGAGTCTTTCCCTTCCGGGCAGGAGAAAACAAGCTTGCTCTATCTTCCATGTGACAGCCCTTAAGATATTTGAAAATGGCTATCATATCTCCTCTCAGTCTCCTCCTTTCCAGGCTAAACATACCCAGCTCCTTCAAGCACTCCTCGTAAGGCTTAGTTTCCAGACCCTTGATCATCTTGGTTGCCCTCCTCTGCACACGTTCCAGCTTGTCAACAACCTTCTTAAATGATAGTGCCCAGGATTGGACACATAATTTCAGGTGTGGTCTGGCCATGGCAGGATAGAGTGATACTATTACTTCCCTTGATCTGGACACTATACTTCTGTTAATGCAGCCTAGAATAGCATTGGTCCATCCAGTTCAGTGCCATCTACACTGACTGGCAGAGGATTTCCAGAGTTCAAGGCAGAGGAAAATGATTTAAGTGTATAGCGAAGGGAAGCTTTTTCTGAATTTCCCCTCTTTGGTTCTGTTCTGTGGGTCCCATCACTTGCTGAGTTTGTACTGTTCAGTTCTCACCGTTAACAGTTTAATTTCTTTCCTCCCACCTTCTGATAATCAGAACTGTTTGTTTTCAGAAGGGTATATTTTAATTGTTGTAACTCTCCCTGGGACCTTATGGTGCAGGGTGCATACAAAATCTAATAAAGCAATGCTTTGAGGTTATTGTCTCAGAGAGAAAAACTGTCTCGTTTGCTCGGGTTAGTAGAAATAAGTGCCAAACATAATGATGAAGTAGTAATACAGACTACTGCCAGGTTATAGTGTCATATTTGATTCCTAGAACTGTGTGTAATTTCCAATTTCTTAATGGATAAAAAACAATTCCTCTCTTTCAGCAACCCAGAGCACTCCAAGTTTGTGGCGATTGTCCAGGTGGACTTAGGAGGGAAGTTAATGCCGTCTGTCATAGATTCGGTTATGCCAATGAGCATCATGAACATGATCATGGATTTCAAAGCTGGAATTAAGTCACTGAAGGGAAACACCTTATAAAAGTCTACCAGAGAGTGGATGGAAGGTTCTTTGCAGTGCACAACTGTCACTGAAGTTTGGTTTAATGTAAAGGCTCAGGGAGAGTGCACTCGGTGGGGGTCAGCGTGGACCATTTAGAAGTTGCCATGTTGGGTCAGGCAAAGATCAATCTCATTTAGAGTTGGGTCTCCAGAAGTGGGCAGACACAAGGAAGCTCACAGGTAGTATGTGATGGAAACAACCATCCTCTGCATTAAGAACTGGGAAGAAAACATATAGCTACCTTTAATCACCTTAAGTGAATCTTCATGTTATGGCAAGGGTGAGGAGCGTGAGGTCTTCCAAATGTTGTTGGACTGGTGAATGGGCTTTTGTTACCTGGCCAAGAGAGCTTTGCTGTGACTCCTTCAGAGGTCTGCTGTAACAACCTTGCAAGGCACTTTAGGGACAAAATCACTCAGATCTAGGCAGAGTAGGATGCCACAGTTGGAGCAAGTCCACACTAGAGGAATCCACTGCACCATCTTCTCCTTCTGGACCACTTTATCTTATTGTGGCCTGAGGATGAGGGCAATTTTCTTGGATAAGCGCAGCTGACCACCTGCCCCCTTGACTAATGCCTACCTTGGCTTCTTATAGCTAGCTGTAGGGTGCTGTCTGGGTGGGTCCAGAGAGTGGCCAAGGCTTCATTGGAGAAGGGGGAGGTACCATCTGCCTTCAAGGAGGTGGTGGTGGTGGTGGTGCATCTCTTCCTTAGAGGACCTCTCTGGACCCAGAAGTGTTAGACAACTGTTGCCTAATGGCAAATGTCCCTTTTGGGCAATGTGCTTGAGAACATGGCAGTTGTCCCGCTTCAGGCATGCTTCAAGGAGACTGGAAATGTGGATCCATTTCAGTCTGGCTTCAGGCCTGGTTGATGACATTTGTTAGGAGAGAGATGTGAGGGGTGCAGTTATGCTAATTCCACTTGCGAGACTCAGCAGCCCCAGATTATATCCTGATCTCAATGCTGGGGATACACATACATACATTCACACAATATATATTGACCACAACCACTATGGGCATGAGTTACTTGGGTCCGTGTGACTGTTTGACATGAAGGCTGCATTGACAAAGTCAGCTGTGCTACACAGACTTACCTGAGAGTAAGCCCCCTTGAAAACCATGGCGCTTGCTCCTAAATACACATGCACGGAGTGCCTTTACAGCATAAATGTTAAAATAGGAACACGTGCTCCTGTAAAATTTCTACCAGCTTCCAAGTTCTTTAAGGAACACAAGCTTAGTTCCAGGGAGCTGACAGTATTTAGACATGCTCTACACATAAGAGGGAAGAAGTTGTATGTTTGTCATAAGAATTCAGACTCTTACTCCATGGTTAATAACACACTTTATTGTGTTTATGAACAAAGAATTCTGGTTGTGTTTGTGTCAACTACTCCCACTTTGAGGATGGAAATGGAAAAAAAATGGATTTCTGAATCTCCCTGCCTTACCAGAGGATCTGGGTCCACCAACTTCCATCTGCTCATGTCTGTTGTCTCATGTCTCCTGTTACGTGCTTTTCCTCGCCCATCCCATATTCTCACCTGTCTTTTCAGAGGTCAGAAATCTCATTACCACAATGTGCTTGACGGTGAGAGTAGGGGGAGCAATATTTCCTGGGGCTGTTCCTTTAATATTACCCCCCCCACACACACTTCCCTTTCTTGTACCTCTTCTCCAGAGTTTTAAGCAATTTACATTTCAGAGAAAAGGGATTTTGGATTAGAGCTCACCTGCACAAATCATCAAAATCACATGGGCAGGTTCTTTCCCAATTACAGTATAGCAGATAGCATGTGGGTAGCTGCATTTTCTGAGCACTCCCAACATATTAAAGAAGCAAACCCTTATCATGTAGCAAAGTAGCACATCGGGGAGAAAGCCAGACAAGAGCTAGTTGTCCATGTGCAGGGAGGTTACATATATATTTAACTTGAGGGTGCACTAAAACCAAACCAAACCAAAACAAAACAAGCCCTCTTCTCCAGTTGCTGTCAGAAATGGCACCATCCTAGAATTCAGCCATGTGATTTTCTTTAGTTTCAGCACTGCATTGATAACCCAGTGTATTTGGTGATCATTTGGGTTTAAAATATCTTAATAAACTGTTTGAGTGGGGGGCTGAAGGAAGCCCTTTCCATTCCCTTTTGAGCCTGTTTTGAGTTTTGCCAGCTGGCAGCTTGGAGGCAGGCTCCTGGCTCTTCCACTCCACCAACAGTTCCTTCTGCATCTCTGTAGGCAACTCGGAAAAGGTTTGGGGATCAATATTGGGAGGGAGGACGAGTTTTGAACCGTCTTTCCAACCTTCGTTGCTGGCTTCTTTGTCTGGGTGTTTCTGCCCCTCTGGAATACAAAGCTGCAGAATAGAAGGCTGAGATGGAATAGGAGGCGAGCTTTTAACACGCACAGTAGCGTCAGCAATTGAGGCATTTTCACCAGTCTCTAGAAGGCAGCTGGGAGCACAAGTGTTTACAGCTAGCGGTGGCTTGTCATTGGTGGATGCCATGCCCCCACATGCCAAAGAGCTTATGTCCTGTTGGATGCTTCCAGAAATCAAAGACGCATGGCTTGTTTGGTCTTGTGCCTTAGCCGGAATTCCTTCCCTCGGGACCCATAATGTTCGTTCCTGTAGAGAGGCTGTAGAATCTCCTCTCATTTGGCTAGAAATAATCTCCTCCTTAATGTCTGCTGGAAGCTGCTTAAACACGTTGCAGTCAATGCCATCAGGAAGTAAATGAAGCGGAAACTCAAGAAGGCCAGTATCTTTCGGGAGGTCTGGGGACTCCAGTTGACTTTTTATAGCATCCCTCACCTCTGATGAAGCTTCACAGCAGTCCAGCTTATCTCCTGAAGTTATTCGTCCTGCACCCATACCTTCTGTTTCCTGCAACACAAATGGCACAATTTTTTGTGCAAGAACATTATTTGCCAACCTGGTGCTCTGAGCAGATATTTCAGACTACAGCTTCCACCAGCCCCAGCCTGGCTGCTGCAGAGTTAGTCAGTAAATAACACAGTTTAAAGCTGGGGCTAACTCTTTATTAGCGAAGCACGATACTCAAGAGACTTGGCTGGGTTTCGGGCCTAATGAGAACAGCGGCTCATACCCTGTAGTAGGGCCTAATCCATGAAATAAGTTGCCATGACTAAAGCTCCCCACCTTCCCCTCTCCAGCGCTTCTTGCAAGCAATCAGAGACTGCGCCTGTGTGGGGTCTGTATTTGCTCCTCCCGTTTCACATCTCTCCTGGTTCTGCAAGTCAGTGTCGGAGTACTGCTCTGATGAGAAATGGTGGGAGCTTCCCCCTCCCCCTGACCAGGATCCTGAAGCTGCCCAGGAGCAGTGGAGCAGTATAGATTTGGAACAGTGGTTTGCAGAGGGACATAGTTTGGAAAACAACAGCTGGGCAGAACTAAGTGGGGGACAGCTAGGAGGAGAAGAACTGGAAGAGAGAGAGAGCTAATAGACTCTCTCTTGCTGGGAAGTGTCCAGCCTATCAGCCCAAGGCCACATAGATAAGGCCAGCAGATAAGGTGGCTACGCAAAAAGCATGGTGGCTATGAGATCAGATTGCAGGGCGGCAAAGTGACTAGGGGGGAAGTGGGTGGAAACCTTAATTGGGAGCACTTTCATTCTGAGAATCAATGCTTTGTTCTTTTGCTGTGATCATTAAAAACTCTTTAAATGGTAAGAGACTCTTTTTGCTGTGTCCTGCTTATCTACAGCCTGGGGGGGGGGGTGAGTTCCCAAAGCCTGACAGTTGGGGAGAGGGGAGCTTGTCACAGCAGGGAGGGGGTGAGACACCTATAACTTCACCAGCCTGACTCATCTCTGCCTCTTGACTTCCCTCCTTCCACTCTCCTGCTTCAGCTTCTGCCTCTCATTCTTGACTTCTCTCTGCTACAGACTGTCCCAACTCACTGAGCCCTGTTGCTGGCTCCCCAGCCAGTTCCTCCCACCATTCCTCTGCATCCAACCAGTCCATTACATTGGCTAGAGCTGATGGGAGTTGTAGTCTAAAACATTTGCAGACAGCATTAGCTTGGCAAAGGTAGATTGAGATACCCAACAAGCATCATTCAGTTGACTGTCAATCTCTTCTAATTGCTCCTTGAACTGTACTCTTGTGAGTAAGTCCAGAAATATTTTCACTAGTCTGCCTCCTCTACACATATGTTACATATATATCTGCTGTTGAGATCTGTGCCAGAATTCTGATAGGGACCAGGGTTAGCCAACCTGGTGCCCTCCATATGCTGTTGGATTCAACTACCATCAGTCCCAGCCAACATGGCCAATGGTCAGGAGATTGTGAAGTTGTAATCCAGTGGGCACCAGGTTGGCCACCACTGACCTATACTGTATTTGTGGTGGCGACACATCCAGTACCAGCAGGCAGAACTGGTGTACTAGATGAGATTCTTATTTACAAAGTATAGGTGAGGAGCTCAGCTCTTTTTTGGTGAATTTAAGTAAACATTTCTTTGGGACAGGGCAGGCAACATATCTCTCTCTATATTTTTACAAAAAGAAATACAGTTATGAACTTACATGAATGACTTTGCTGCAGCTGGAAGAGGGTGATGAACGAGTTAAATAAAACCCAATAGTCTGCTTGGCGGAAGCAGGAGGGGCCTTGAGGCTGGAGAAGCAGACGTTCAGAAGCGTCAGATGAAATGGAAGTTGCACGTTTATCATCTTATGAAACAGTTTCATCAGGAGAGCAACCAGGTGTGTCTTGACTTTGGAGTCACCTGGATGTGAACATTTAAGCAGGAGAAACCCACCCTGAAGTTACACACGTTTTACAGGGCCGAACAAGATATGCACCAGAATTCCAGTAAAGATAATCTATACTGGGGGAGACGGCATGGTACCCTCTGGATGTTGGGACTCCCACCACCCCTGGCCAGCATAACAAATGGTCAGGGACCATGAGAGTGGAGGACACCAGACTGGCTAATGCCAATTTATAATGTATGGTACTTGTAACAATGATGCCTGCAATATCCGTTGCCAGAGCTGGCACGCTGGCACCCAATGCTCAGTTCCACGTTTCTATGAGGGAAGGGAAGTTCTTTGCTTGGATGGGATACAGGGGTGGTCTGAAGCCCAGGATGCAGAGAAGCAAAAAATTGAAAACAATATATAGGGAGCCTGGATGCAAGGCAACTGATAGGTGGGTGGGTGTTCAGTAGGGAAAGGGTTAGGCAGATGTTGTTGTGGACACTCCTAGTCACCAGAAGAGAGTATACTTAGTAGCAACTGGGAGAACCTAAAGCTATCTCTGCCTTATCCCTGCCCCCAAAGTAAATTGAGGAGGGCACCTTGGAGCAGGGAGCATCAGGCTTTTCCCAAAATAATTGTACAGCAGGCTTGCAAAGAACTTGGGCCTTTGCAAGCAGTGACGTCAGACACTTGAAGGCTTGATCTCTTTTGGGGACAGGCCGAGCGATGCTTTCTCATCTCTAGTGCAAAGAGCTGAGACAGAGGAGCAAGGAAGCTGAAGCTGAAGGAGAAGAGACAGGGCACTGAGGCAAAGAAGGGCTCATAAGAGAAGAAGAAGAGTCTGGATTTGATATCCCGCTTTATCACTACCCTAAGGAGTCTCAAAGTGGCTAACAATCTCCTTTCCCTTCCTCCCCCACAACAAACACTCTGTGAGGTGAGTGAGGCTGAGAAACTTTAGAGAAGTGTGACTAGCCCAAGGTCACTCAGCAGCCAGCTGCATGTGGAGGAGCGGGGAAGTGAACCCGGTTCACCAGATTACGAGTCAACTACTCTTAACCACTACACCACACTGGCTCAGAGGGGACTCTGAAGATACTTCCCAGTCTTTACAGCCGGGAGAGTCTGTATGTTATGATGGAGGGAGGGAGGGAGGGAAGGGTGCTAGGAACAAAGAGACAAGGTAGGTAAAAAATGGTTGCTACCAGTAGGCCTGGGATGAAGAAGATACTGAACTTACTCCCAAAGAAACATCATGACTGCAATCCTAACACATTGTCTGTCATGCCTAGGTAATTGCTGTTCTTTGCTGTAGGGAGACTGGATGCTTTTCTCCTTAGCTGGGGTTCCTCAAGTGGTTTAAATGACCGCACTTCATTGCATAATAGTGCTTGATTAGAATGAAATGCAAAATGAATGTTGATCTGGGTCACGTACACTGCTCTCCCCAGTGCAAGGCCAACATGTGAACCACTACACCACCCTTTTCCAGCTCACTGTCAGCTAATACTGGTAAACAGGGTATTGTGCTATGTGCTGGTGCCTGTGTGTGTGTGTGTGTGTGTGTGTGTGTGTGTAGGGAGGCATTATGTAATGGATCAAGATGCAGGCAGTTTTCTGCTTTCCTTGGAGGAATTGCTATGGCTAGTGTGATGATCCTCTGCAACTCAGTTGTACCCAGTGTTAGCGCTACTCAGAGAAGACCCATATAAATTAATGGGCCCAACTAACCTAGCTCCATTAATTTTAATGAGCCTACTCGAAGTACAATTTCGTTGGACACAATTCTTCTGATTGGTTATTTGCACTTAAAAGCCTTAATGAAACAGTCCCAGGTCAGGATACAAAAATCTCGCAACTGCAACAAGCACAAAATCATAATAATCAGAAAATAAAGCCACAAAACTAACTGGTTACAAAACCAAACCAGGCAGAACAGAAAAGCAACCCAGCAAGGAGGGAAGGGGCTCAATTCAACTGAAGCTCCAAGGAATGTATCTTGATCAATCGATGAAAAGCATGCAATGGTGGCACAAGACACATCTTGAAGGAGAAGTCCCCCCCCCCCACAAAGGCAAGTTACCTGTTCCGATCCTCTGGACCACATGCGATGGAATGGGGCACTGGCGGCTCTCCCGATTAAACCATTTATTGGTAGGGGAAAACTGCCGGATTGTTAATCTTATGGTATGTGGCTTTCTTCCATCCTTGTATAACCTAACCAAAATGAACAAACAAACAAACATGGAGAAGCGGACAGAGGTTGACATGCCCACCATTTCCCAAACATCTCAGTTTCGCCTGGCTCAAGAAAACTAAACCCTATCAAGCATTTTTACAGCATGGCAGGAATATTCCAAGAGCTTCAGCTACGTGGATAGGTGGGTGACACCCCCACCCCATCAAGGGCCACATTGTTTTGGGAGGTAATTTTATGGGGGCCACAAACTGTGTGTGTGTGTGTGTGTGTGTGTGTGTGTGTGTGTCTCAGTATCAGGGCTGGGGAAGTTTCTTCAGCCAAATGAGAGAAAGCAACACTTTATCGACACTACTAAACAAAGTGCTTTGGATTATGGCTGAGATTCAAATTTAGGTTCTACTGGCCAGAGCATCTTGTGCAGGCTTCCTCAACCTCAGCCCTCCAGATGTTTTTGGCCTACAACTCCCATGATCCCTAGCTAGCAAAATCAGTGGTCAGGTATGATGGGAATTGTCGTCTCAAAACATCTGGAGGGCTGAGTTTATGAGGAAGCCTGATCTTGTGAGTGGCTCCTGCTGGCAAAAAGAGGGGGTGGGATGACTTTTGCCAATCACCCTTTCCTCCTGTAGGTCCTTTGCCCCTAGAAAACCTGTTCTGGAGTGAAAAGCTTCTGGGAAATGATATACAATGAGATGAAAAAGATGTTGAAATATACATTTATTAAGAAACCAGAAGCATTTTTACTTGGCATTGTAGGAGATGATATTAATAGAAAGGATTGTAAGTTGTTTTTATATGCAACGACAGCAGCAAGAATATTATTGGCACAAAAATGGAAGCAAGAAGAACTACTGACGAAAGAAGAATGGAGGATGAAGTTGATGGACTATGCAGAATTAGATAAATTAACAGGAAGGATTCAAAACCTGCAGGATCAGAGATTCTTAGAAGACTGGAGTAAATATATGAACTATCTGAAAAGTAACTGTGATGAACAGATTATGCTAGTAGGACTGCGAGAAGTTTTGTAAGGTGAATTATTTGAAATATTGCAAGAAAGACTATGAAGAGAATTATTAGTTAAGGATAATTAAATGTAATATAGAAATTAAGAAATGCATAATAAGTGATAAAGAACGGAAAATCATCAGAGGTGTTGATGGAAGTCTAAAAACATTATATAAGATGAGAAGTTATGTTGTATGACTGTTGGAACTGATATGTTAAAATATGTGGGTGTGGGTGTGTGTACACACACACACACACACACACACATATATATATAACCTGTTCTGGAGGACTGGGGGACAGCATAAGAGGTCATGCAGAAGGCTGCTCAAGGGACATTGGTGGAAATGCCACATCACCTCTGATTCCAGTGGAATCCTCCACTGGCCTCCAGTTCCCTCTGTGAATGGAAGTAGTCCATTCCCTCCTGGGTGACCTTCGGGGGGGGGGCAAGTGTCAAGTGCCAGTGGTGGGCGGAGCAACAGAACCGACTCTTGATTTGACCACACAAAAGCCAATAGCTTCTGCATGGACACACGCCAATCTCCATTTTCCATCCTGGCAGGGAAAAAGCATGATCACAGCACAGGGAGATGTTCCAGCCACGCAACAGCATTCGAGGAGACTGTTGAGAGGCAAGACCTGGGGAGAGGAAGCCTGGCCTGGCAAGAGGCCCAGACAGAGAGAGGCTTGGAGGGGTGGCATTTAGGCCCTGTGCTTGCAGGTCCCCAGTCCTGCTTGATTTGAATGCAAGAACCATTGGCAGGACAAATGACACACACATGCATGATGATAGCCAAGTCAAATATACCGTATTTTTCGCCCTATAGGGCGCATCGGCCCATAGGGTGCATCTAGGTTTTTTTTGGGGGGGGAATAAAGAAAAAAAAATTTCCCCAGGTGCGGGGCTGGGGCGGGGGAAGCCCAAGCTTCCCCGACCCCAGCCCCCAGAACAGGCTGCTACCCGCAAGCCTGGGGAGCCCGCGGGAACTCCCATGGGCTCCCAAGGCTTGCGGAGAGCTGCCCGAAGCCCGGGGTGCGCTCCCCGCGTTTCGGGCTGCAGGCTGCTGTCCGCAAGCCTTGGGAGCCCGGCGGGAACTCCCGCGGGCGCCCAAGGCTTGCGGATAGCTTCCTGAAGCCTAGAGAGCGAGAGGGGTCGACCCTCTAGGCTTCAGCGAAAGCCTGCATTCGCCCCATAGGACACAAAATACGGTGCATATTTTATAAGAGATATTTCAGCTTATGCCTAGGCGCATCTCTTCTGATAAGATATTCCACAGTAAGGTCACCTGTCCAGAAGACTAGCGAGCAGCTCTTCAATTTTCTTTTTCACTTCGGCTTCGGAAGAGCACTTTCTAAAGGAGTCTTCATCACTGAGAGACTGCAGAACATTAAAAAAAAATATTACTGTAATTGTTTATACCGCAGCAACAACAAATGGGGCGGGGAAAAATTTGAAGGTCTTAATTGGAGGAAACCATGGATCTGTACATTCTGCATGGGCTGATTTTTCACCCAACTGTCTTTGTTCTTTAAGATTTTGCATGCTGTGAAATCACCTTTGAGATACTGCGTTTGGGGAAACCAAATACGGTAAGTCAAACTTCTGATGAATCACAGCCAAGCTAGTACCAAACGTATTGCTCTGCTTTCCTTTGGACCACATCAGTGAGGCCGAGAGGGGGGTCTTGTCATCTGGGCAGCCCAGGACCTCCAGACACACTACCCAGGCTTGTGCCCTGAGGAGGTCATTTTGTTGCTGCTAACGCAATGGTTTGACTTCACCCCCGACGGCACACTCCATTGTCTCTTGAGACAGACAGATCCCAACAACAAGAAAACTCAGGCAGGGAGGTAGGGAGAGTCACTCTCTCCAGATATCTCTGTCTGGCCCTCAGGACTCTTCTTGGGCCACAACCCTCAACATCCCTACTGAATGTCCATTTCAAAGCTTTTGTCGGGATGGAAATTATTTAATCTGTGATAATGCCTCTTGGGGACGCAGGTGGTGCTGTGGGTTAAACCACAGAGCCTAGGGCTTGCCAATCAGAAGGTTGGTGGTTCAAATCCCCGTGACGGGGTGAGCTCCCATTGCTTGGTCCCTGCTCCTGCCAACCTAGCAGTTCGAAAGCACCTCAAAGTGCAAGCAAATCAATAGGTACCGCTCCGGCGGGAAGATAAACGGCGTTTCCGTGTGCTGCTCTGGTTCACCAGAAGCAGCTTAGTCATGCTGGCCACATGACCCAGAAGCTGGACGCCGGCTCCCTCGGCCAATAAAGCGAGATGAGCGCCACAACCCCAGAGTCGGTCACGACTGGACCTAATGGTCTGGGGTCCCTTTACCTTTACTTTTTAATGCCTCTTGGGGAGAGGTAGGTCTGTATTGAAACAGCTGGTGTGTGTGTGGATGGAATAGAACCTATGACACAGAATCTAGATTTGCATCCATCTTTGCCTCTGGCCTTTGTCCGCCATGAGGGAATGTGGGACCTGGCCTGAGAAAGTATTATCCACCCCCAGTGACTAGGGCATGGCAGAATGTTGAGAATGGAGGCAGAGAAGAAGAAGAAGAAGAAGAAGAAGAAGAGGAGGAGGAGGAGGAGGAGGAGGAGGAGGAGAAGAAGAAGTTTGGATTTGATATCCCGCTTTATCACTATCCGAAGGAGTCTCAAAGCGGCTAACATTCTCCTTTCCCTTCCTCCCCCACAACAAACACTCTGTGAGGTGAGTGCGGCTGAGAGACTTCAGAGAAACGTGACAAGCCCAAGGTCACCCAGCAGCTGCATGTGGAGGAGCAGAGACGCGAACCCGGTTCACCAGATTACAAGTCTACCGCTCTTAAACACTACACCACACTGGCTCTTGTGAAGACCTTGAGCACCTGCGTTTTCCTCTATACCTGAGGGAGCCCCGATGGGCTGACTGGGGAATCATCTTCTCCCCAGCTGAGCTTCTGAATATGTTGGGCAACTGAAGATCCCAGTTCTCTCTCTAGGATTGCAGTCGGGCACGTCTGAAGGTCACGCACCGTGGTGATTCCCAGCGTCGCAAGGCGCTTTGCTGTTTTATAGCCGATACCTGCACAAGAGAAATTGTTCACTCTACAAGCACAGGGGAGTGAAAATCTCTCAGCGGACTGGCATGAAATGGAATGGAATGCTGGCCTTGAACTAGGAAGTCCTCAATTCAAAGACAGCAGGAGGCTTCAGGCATGTCCACAAGCATATTTCTTTATTTGAAAGCAAACCCAGGAAGTCCCCTTAGTATGTAAAAACTGGTCCCTTATTTCTGAACGGCCTTTTTTGCTTCCAGATTGATAGGTATTCGGCCACTAAGAAAGGTAACAATGTGTGTACAGAATAGGACCTGTAAAAGGGTAAAAAAGTATTGGGAAATAATTCATAATGAATTTATAAAAAAGTTTAAAAGTGTTTTTCCAAAATAAAACAAACCAGAGTCGTTTTGGTTGGGCTTAATTCAGACTGAAATTCCCAGGGGTCCAAAAAGGTTATTTATGTATGCCACGACTGCGGCCTGTGTTTTGTTAGCCCCAGAATGGAAAGCAAGCGAGGTCCCAATTAAAGAAGAACGGCAACTTAAACTGATGGAATATACGCAGCTTGCAAACCTAACATATAGAATAGAGAACAAGAAGAACATATGTTTAAAGAATATTGGAAAATGTTTATTGAGTATGGGGGAGGCGGGATTGTGTACACTTGAAAACATTGACAGAATTATAATAAATTCAACAGTGTAAATAAGTTTTGATGGATGTAATAATGGAATACTGAATGGTTTTGTTTATGTAAAATATGCAGAGATTTATGATATGAAAAATGAACTATGGAAAGAGAAGAAGAGGAATCATTGACATTTTGAAGTTGTTTAAATGAATACCGTATTTTTCGTTCTATAGGGCGCACCGGCCCATAGGACGCACCTCGTTTTTTGGGGGGGGAAATGAATAAAAAAAATTATTCCCCCCCCCGCCGCGGCTGCCGCCCCAAGCCTTGTGCACACCTGCAAGAAGCACGGGGCACCCTCCGGAGGGCTCCGCGTGCTTCGGGCTGCAGGCTACCGCCCCAAGCCTCGCGCGCTCGGCGGGACCTCCTGCCGGGCGCGCAAGGCTTGCAGACACTCGCCCGCCTTCGGGCGACAGGCTGCCGCCCCCCGCCTCGCTCGCGGTGCGGGTCCTCGGGCCGGGCGCGCAAGGCTTGCCGACAGGGGCCCGAAGCACGGGGAGCCCGTGCTTCGGGCGACAGGCTGCCGCCCCAAGCCTCGCACGCTCGGCGGGACCTCCTGCGGGGCGCGCAAGGCTTGCATACACGCCCCCGAAGCACGGGGCGCCCGTGCTTCGGGCGACAGGCTGCCGCCCCAAGCCTCGCGCGCTCGGCGGGACCTCCTGCCGGGCGCGCAAGGCTTGCAGACACTCGCCCGAAGCACGGGAGCCCTCCGGAGGGCTCCCGTGCTTCGGGCGACAGGCTGCCGCCCAAGCCTCGCGCGCTCGGCGGGACCTCCTGCCGGGCGCGCAAGGCTTGCAGACACTCGCCCGAAGCACGGGAGCCCTCCGGAGGGCTCCCCGTGCTTCGGGCTGCAGGCTACCGCCCCAAGCCTCGCGCGCGCGGCGGGGCCGCCCACCGGGCGCGCGCGGCTTGCAGACACTCGCCCGAGCACGGGAGCCCTCCGGAGGGCTCCCGTGCTTCGGGCGACAGGCTGCCGCCCCAAGCCTCGCGCGCTCGGCGGGACCTCCTGCCGGGCGCGCAAGGCTTGCAGACACTCGCCCGAAGCACGGGGAGCCCTCCGGAGGGCTCCCGTGCTTGGGCGACAGGCTGCCGCCCCAAGCCTCGCGCGCTCGGCGGGACCTCCTGCCAGGCGCGCAAGGCTTGCAGACACTCGCCCGAGCACGGGAGCCCTCCGGAGGGCTCCCCGTGCTTCGGGCGACAGGCTGCCGCCCAAGCCTCGCGCGCTCGGCGGGACCTCCAGCCGGGCGCGCAAGGCTTGCAGACACTCGCCCGAAGCACGGGGAGACCTCCGGAGGGCTCCCCGTGCTTCGGGGGACAGGCTGCCGCCCCAAGCCTCACGCGCTCGGCGGGACCTCTAGCCGGGCGCGCAAGGCTTGCGGACACTCGCCGGGGCTGCAGGCTGCTGCCTGCAAGCCTTGTGAGCCCGCGGGAACTCCCACCGGGCTTGCAAGGCTTGCGGATAGCTTCCTGAAGCCTGGAGAGCGAGAGGGGTCGGTGCGCACCGATGCCTCTCGCTCTCCAGGCTTCAGCGAAGCTCTGCATTCGCCCCATAGGACGCACACACATTTCCCCTTCATTTTTTGGAGGGGAAAAAGTGCGTCCTATGGAGCGAAAAATACGGTATTTTAAATTGTAAAACAGAAAATTTAATAAAAAATTATACACAAAAAACACACAATGTGTGTACAGAATAAACCAAGGTAGAATTTCTCTTTTCCCGCCACCCATTCAAAAGAAGAAACCTCTTCCCCAATCCCCCTCCTCTTAAACCTAACCTATACAGGTGAGTGCACCTGTGTAACTGGAGCAGAGGAATCTCCCCATCTTACCAGGCACTTTCATGACGTTGTCAAGGCTGTTCATGAGGTCCTGCTGACCCTCCGGCAACAGAACAGTTTGCTGGTTTGGTTTAAAGGTCCCGGACACCAACTTGGAGAGTAATTTGTTAGTTGCCACTCCTGCACAGCCTGTGAGGCCCAGCCTGGTGTGCATGGCTGCTCTCAACTCTTCTGCCACCTGAGACCCCACAGCCAATCGTATGTGCACTGGATCATGTAAATCGACAGCTGAGAAGCAAACAGAAAGAGTTATGAAGAGGTGCACCTAACAGGCCAAGCAACCTCGCTTAGGAAGGGCAAGGTACTTACTCTGATTGTTATATACATGGCCTGAGACAGAGATTTGAGAAAAGGCATCTTTTTTCCATTGTCCCAGCCTTTTTTCGACCATCTCAGTGATGTCTACAAAATTTTCATCCAATCCAAGCCTTTCCACCAGGGGAGTAAATTCTTCCAACAGTGCTGTAAACAAAACAACAAAGTGTTTAACTGAGCTAGTGGAGGCGAGACGCGGGTGGCTAAACCACTGAGCCTCTTGACCTTGCTGATTGGAAGGTCGGCAGTTCGAATCTCCGCAACGGGGTGAGCTCCTGTTGCTCTGTCCCAGCTCCTGCCTACCTAGCAGTTCGATATCATGCCAGTGCAAGTAGTTAAACAGGTACCACTGCGGCGGGAAGATAAACGGCGTTTCCGTGTGCTCTGGCATTCATCACGGTGTCCCGTTGCGCCAGAAGCGGTTTAGTCCTGCTGGCCACATGACCTGGAAAACTGTCTGTGGACAAATGCTGGCTCCTTTGGCCTGAAAGTGAGATGAGCGCCGCAAACCCTTTGACTGGACTTAACTGTCCAGGGGTCCTTTACCTTTACCTTACAGGGAGAAGAAGAAAATTAATACCTTCTTAATAGAAAAATCCAAGGCTCATCACAGACTGCTGCCCATAGCCTAGGCCTGACACTTTTTGACAAGGTTGTCTAATATTTCTGAACTGCTCATTTGAGGAACCCTTAATCACCTTCTCTTTGACTGAACAAGAATAGAGGCAGATGGGTCCAAGTCCAGACCTGAGGGATGCACTTTCAGCTGGGGGTCCCCACACTCAGCAGCCTGGGTTGGAAGCTAAACATAAACACAGGAATGCATTGCTCCGTTGATGTAAGGAAAGTCAGAAGGCCAGCCCACCATAATGTCTACCATACCTGATCAATCCAGATCAAAATTATTTTTCTAATAAAATAATTATTCTATTTGTTTTTCATTCTGCCCATTCTCGCAGAAACCATGTTACTGTATTGATCCGAATATAAGCCACACTCCCCCCCAAAAAAATTCCCACCATGAAAAGTTAAAGTGCGGCTCAAATTCACAACCTTACAAAAATGAGCTTTTACGATATTGCTGCTGAAACAGACATACGGCAGAACGGAACGGGTGTGAGTGCCTGCGGAATTTTAAGGGAGCGGCTTATATTCAGATATTGTCTTTTTTCTGTTCCCCCCTTGAATTTTAAAGATGCGGCTTATTTGTGGGTGTGGCTTATATTCGGGCCAAACGGTATATGGAGCACTTTAGACTGGAAGCAACAGTGAGACAATGCCTCTTGCTTAAGGAGACCTGGGGGAGTTGATACGAGTTGGCACTTCCACCCACAGTTTTCAAGTCCAAAGCCAACGCAATAAACATCTCCTTTGCAAGGCTGATTGAAACCAACAAGATTTTGGTGGCAGCTGAATGCTCAGGCCCTAATCCCAACCCCACTGCATTACTTCTGAGTAGACATGGGCAGGCTTGAGCTGCGACTTATTTCCCCAGGCTTTGAGGAGAGGATCGCTGCCATGATTCTGCAGGTTGTATGTTATTCCACAAATGACAACATTCTGGAGGTCCCAAGTCGCAAGGTGGTTAGATTGGTCTCAACTAGGGCCAGGGCCTTTTCAGTACTGGCCCCGACTTGGTGGAATGCTCTGTTACAAGAGACTAGGGCCCTGCAGGGCTTGACATCTTTCCACAGGGCCTGCAAGACAGAGCTGTTCCGCCTGGCCTTTGGTTTGGACTCAGTCTGCCCCTTATGTTTCCCTCCCCTTATGGTTTTGCTCTATGGGCTACTTTTAAATGAGGCTGCATTTTAAATTGTATTTTAACCTGTATTTTAAATTGGGTGTTTTTTTCCCTATTATGTTTTTACTGTAATTTTACTGGTGTTAGCTGCCCTGAGCCCGGCTCTGGCCGGGGAGGGCGGGGTATAAATAAAATTTATTATTATTATTATTATTATTATTATTCCCTCCCTCCACCCAACCTGTTTTCACTGTGCATTGATTTCAATGTAACCCACTCTGGGACTGCTTCAGCCATGAAGAGACAGAAAGAAATACTTTAAATGCAATAAAAGAGAAAGTTTTGTTAAGTTTCAGGCCCTTTATTACTCCAACTTTATATTTCAAGGGAGTAAGCTGTCGATGAGGGATGCACATGCTTCCAGGAGATGCACACATCACAAGGCAACTTTATGACATCACCACGACAGGACCTTGGGAAGATTCCTCAAGTCCCGAGGTCCCCAGCCAATGTCCACACATTACAACAAAAGTAGGAGGAGCAAGAGGGGAAGTTCTGGAGGTGTGAGACACAAGCTGTTTCCACAGCTGAAGCCTATGCACCTCATCTTTTCCCTGCTTGTGCATGACTCCTGAAGCCCCTTCAGAGCTCGCATCCTTTCCTTATCTGCTCTTGCCTGCTCTTGCCTAGTGGGCTTCACATCTCCTGACCACCTTGCTCTCAATACTGTTTGCACCTGCAAAGGTTTTGGGGCCGTCACACTGCTTCATTTCCAATTGGTACACATTTCATAATATTCCAGTATATCTGAAGGAGTGTCTCCACCCCCATTGTTCTGCCCGGACACTGAGATCCAGCACCGAGGGCCTTCTGGCGGTTCCCTCACTGCAAGAAGCCAAGTTACAGGGAACCAGGCAGAGGGCTTTCTCGGTAGTGGCGCCCATCCTGTGGAACACCCTCCCACCAGATGTCAAAGAGAACAACAACTACCAGACTTTTAGAAGACATCTGAAGGCAGCCCTGGTTTAGGGAAGCTTTTAATGTTTGATGTATTAGAGTATTTTAATATTTTTTTGGAAGCCACCCAGAGTGGCTGGGCAAGCCAAGCCAAATGGGCGGGGTATAAATAAAAAATTACTATTATTATTATTATTATTATTATTATTATTACTTCCTAGTGAAATTACTCAATCTGTCATACTACGCACAAATCTTCTGGTTTATTTTTCTTGCTGTGCTTTCGCCCCTCTGGACAGCAATAACATGGCAGTGTCAGGGGAAGCATTTCAGAGCAACTAGGAAAGCAGAGTAAATCCACCACTAACCCAACCTCGTGTCCAGCACATGTTACAAAATAAACCTGCAATAGAAACCTAGTCTGCAGGGGTCCTATAAAAGGAAGCTATGAAGCTATCCTATGACAGCTCAGATTATTTGCCCTTACGGCCCAGTATTTTCTACTCTGATTGGGAGTGGCTCTTCAGGGTCTCAGGAAGAGAACATTTTACATCACTAACTATTGGATCCTTTTAACTGGAGAGGCCAAATACTGAGCCTGGGACCTTCTGCAGGTAGAGCACATTATTATTATTATTATTATTATTATTATTATTTACACCCGGCCCATCTTGCTGGGTTTCCCCAGCCACTCTGGGTGGCTCCCAACAGAATAAAAGCACAATAAAACATCAAACATTAAAAACTTCCCAAAGCAGGGCTGCCTTCAGATGTCTTCTAAAAGTCAGATAGTTGTTTATTTCCTTGACATCAGATGGGAGGGTGTTCCACAGGGCAGGCACCACCACCGAGAAGGCCCTCCGCCTGGTTCCCTGTAACCTAAGGTTACCAGACATCCCCGTTTCCCGGGGACAGTCCCCGGATTTACAAATCAGTCCCCATACAAAATCCATTGAAGTTGAAAAGTGTCCCTGGATTCACTGAAAAAAATCTGGTAACCTTACTGTAACCTCACTTCTCACAGAGAGGGAATTGCCAGAAGACCCTCAGGGTTGGACCTAAGTGTCCTTGCTGAACGATGGAGCTGGAGACACTCCTTCAGATATACTGGGCCGAGGCTGTTTTTAGGGCTTAAAAGGTCAGCACCAACACGTTGAATTGTGCTTGGAACCATACTCTCCTAATTGGATATAGTCCCTTCCCCAGGTCATAAGAGGTGAGATCTGTACTCGGCTGAACCCCTGGGATGGGGAAGGATATAAATCCAAACCTAGAAAGTTAGGACAAAGTTTGCCAATTCCACATTGTTAAAAATCTTTTTATATGCGACAGCGGCAGCAAGAGTTCTGATCGCGGCAAAATGGAAGAGTAATGAAATCCCCTCAATACAAGATTGGCTCCGAAAGCTGACAGAATATGCCGAATTAGACGGTCTATCAGAAAAAATAAAGAATAAATCAAAACAGGAACTTGTTTCAAAATGGGAGGTTTTCAAAGATTATTGGAAAAATAAATATAGTAGTTTAAATTCTGTTGCAGCATTCAAGGAACTTCAGTAATAGTTGCAAGGTAGATATAAGAAATTAGATATATTAAGAAAAAGTTTAATTATGATAAAAGTCTGTATTGGCAATAAGTAATATGAAATCAAAATATGGGATAGACAGAGGTTGGGTCTTTAGTGTTAAGACCAATATATGTTTTATTGTTTGTTAAGAAAATTATGTGTCTATGATTATTCCTGTGTGTAATTTGGTATTTGTGTTTTTTCTTTTTTCTTGCTGTATCAATAAAAATTAAAAAAAAAAAACTGTCAAGGTGATGTTACCTGTAAACTTATAAGACATTTCCCGGTATTTTGTCAGATCCTCTCCATTAACCAGCACCAGTTCTGGACACTTTTCTTTGGCTTCTTTCACAGACATGCACTTCTTGACTCCAGCATTCCTGGCTTCATAATTGCAGGTGACCATCAGGTATTTCTGTTGCACACCTGGAAAAGGAAGAAATGAAGCAGCTGAAATGAACAATCCGTTTGGAGTTTTCAACATGCCAAAGTATATTTCAGTAACTCGCACAGTACTGATTTTCTCCTTTTTTTTTAATTTCCAAGATTAATATCCAACACAAATCAATGCATAGTTAAGCAGAAGCAAGTTGCACTGTGTTCAGTGGGTCTTATTCCCTAGCAAGTGCAACCTTAGGCACGCACTCTTGAGACTGTAGTCAAGGACTGCATTTTTGGCAAATGGAAGCTTAACTGCACAACCTTTGACATATTTTGAGAAGCTAAAACACAAATATATTAAAAGTCGGTTCATGAGAAACATTTAAGAAAAACAAAATATTTATTTGGGCTTCCATCAGAGCAGAGTTACAGGTAATACTTACTTGGGGGACATGAAAAATGCAGGCATACCCTGATTTTCAATGTGCACACAGAAGAGCAGTCAAGTATGAGATTACCTAAAGGTTTGCTTCTTAATTCAGGATTGCAGATCATTTCCACCTGCGCATAAAAACAATCCAGGTCAAGGTGCACAATGATTCGGTGCTGAGAGCTTCCCGCTGATACTACTTTGCCATGGCAAGCTGCAGTGAAAGGTCAAAACAGAGATTAATTCATTTTTCATGTTTTTGCCACCAAGTGCTAAAGCATGTTAACATTTTACCAGCTGTAACTACAGTTACCAGTGTTCTATTGGCCCTGCTCCTGCAATTCTAACAACAGCCTTCTAAGCAACAGATATTTGGAAAGGAAGCTTCTCTTACTATAGGGACAAGAACATCTTCCTGCTAAATTTTGGGGCCTCAGGCTGCTGTTTTAAGGGAGCAGCAAGGAGAAGAAGTGTTAATCTATGATGCAAAGAATTCACAGACATTCAGATTCAAGCAAACTTGTTAACAACAACAACAACTTATACCCCACCCATCAGGCTGGGCCTCCCCAGTCACTCTGGGCGGCTTCCAAAAGGAACACAATAAAACATCAGACATTAAAAACTTCCCCAAGCAGGGCTGCCTTCAGATGTCTTCTAAAAGTCAGGTAGTTGTTTATTTCCTTGACATCTGGTGGGAGGGCGTTCCACAAGGTGGGCGCCACTACCGAGAAGGCCCTCTGCCTGGCTCCCTGTAACCTCACTTCTCACAGGGAGGGAACCGCCAGAAGGACCTCGGCGCTGGACATCAGTGTTCAGGCTGAACGATGGGGGTTGGGGACGCTCCTTCAGGAATACTGGGCTGAGGTCAAGGGGTCTCCTCCTTGCATCTCACAGAGGATACAGCACCATTGACCCTTACTTGCCATTTTTGTTAGGGGGCACATCCTGCAACCTGTACACCGATTCTCATAAGAGCACAGCACCATCTTTGCATGGGGGGGCACTCAAAGTGGGGTCCAAAGTTCAAGAGAGAGAGAGAGAGAGACAGGATGCTGAGGAGGTAACATCCTCCTCCATCCCTAGCCAAGATACATTGATGGGGCAAATGCCTCCCAGCAAAGGATCCTCAATGGTAATATTGTGAGAAGTAGGCTGCTCCCTCCTTCGCCCCAACCAGACTTGGGGGAAGCTTGGTGCTCCCACCCCCCCTTATAGCAGTGGTTCGCAAAGGGTGTGGCAGGAAAGGATGACAGGTGTGCTGGGGAAGATTCAAGGACAAGGAAACATTTAAACTTTTCATTGTAGTGTTGTATAGTATCTATCTGTAGATATTATTTGCAGACTATGGATGGGTATCTTTTGAAAAATGAAAGCAAGAGCATCAAGTCATACCGAGGGCAATCCTAGTTGTGGTCCTTTTCTTTTCCAATGTATTTCTTATTAAAAATAAATAAATCAGTGTGGCATGAGCAATTTCTTATTGTTAAAAGTGTGGCCCAGAAAAGAAAAGGTGGAGAGCTGCTGGCTAATGGCACCTCTCTCTGTGTGTGCTCCCAGAAGGGATGCAATACATTTCCTTCTCCACCTCTTTTCTAACGCTGTTCTTCGAGGGAGGGCAATAAAATCCAATTAATAATAAAGAAAGAATTAGCACGCCAGTCCGCAGATCTCTTGCACACAGCAGCAGCTTGCACCCATGCATGCACCCCGATGACTGTCCACAGCAGTTTGCAAGCGTGCAGAATTACACTGGTGTTAGTAAACCATTAAGTATTCCTTATTCCATTCTCTCATACTGTTCTCAGCCTGCTTTCTCGAAGGTTAGCAGCGACACTCCCACTCTCACACTTTATTCCCCTCTAGCTATGCTTTTCTCTTTCTGCAATGAACTCCCTATATTTTTGAGAGGGCATCAGAAGAGCCTTGCAGGATCAGGCCAGGAGCCCATCTAGTCCCAGGCGCCTATGGGAAGCAGCAGGACCTCTCCATCCCATCGGATCATTTTTCGTTTGCCCTTTTCTGAACCGCTCCCAGTTCTACAATGCCCCGTTTGGGAAGCGAGGCGACCACAACTGCTCCCAATATCCTTGGGAGAGGCGCCAGCTTTCCAGCTCCCCGGCAGACTAAAGAGGAGCGGGTCCCAATTCTGAATTCGCTTCCCACGCCGCTTTGTACCGAGCTGGGTAGATGGCGCAGGGGAAGCAAAGCAGCAAACCCCCGCCCCCCAACTGTTCGCCCCTGTTTACATGGGACTCTTCCTCCAGCAGCAAGAGGATCTCTCCCAGGGCTGCCGGCGGGCTCCGGCAGAAGCCAATCCGGTTCCTCGTCGTCTCCGGACCCCTCCATTAGATGCAAGCGGCGTCTGCGCGGCCGCGGCAAACGGGCGCCACCTTCGCCCGAGCCCGCTGCGCATGGCCGGCCAGCTGGGAAGGCGGAGTTACGCGAAGAGACTCCCTTCCTTCCTTCCTCGTTCCGGCGTCTGGTCTCTCTGAGGTCGGCATCGCTTAATCCGGATCTGGCTAAAGTTCAAGGTCCTCCCTTTGCCCCGCATCCCTTCATTCCTGTAGGGGAGGCGGAGGGCCAGAACATTGCACGCCCGAGAGAGAAGTCCCGTTGGATGGAATGGCGCTGCTTTACTTCCGAGTAAGGCGTGCGTGCAACAATGGATAATCGCCCATGGATGAACCGCTTGCTTCCCAGGGGAAAAAAATATCCCGAAGCGATTTCACAGCAAACAAAGCAAGTCCACACGTGAAAACACAATAATATATTTCAAGACAACTTCATATGCTCAGCAGTTTCAAATCCAATACCGATCAAGTAGGCGTCGCGTGGGAATTCTAATTTATGATTATTAGGGCAAGTGTCAATTCGAAAGCGCGTTGAGTCAGGATCAAGCTTCGGTGCTTTATAGGGCAGGTCCACACAAAACATTTAAAGCATATTCAATGCACAATTAAAGCAGGTGACTTCAAAAGAATCCTGGGAACTATAGTTTGCCCCTCAAGAGAAGGAGAGTTACCAGTACCCTTAATAGGATTCTTGGGGGGGGGGGGGACATAGCCCTTTAAATATATGTGATGGGTCTCATATAATCATAAAATCAAAGAGTTGGAAGGGATCGTGAGGGTCATCTATTGTAGCCCAACCAGGAATCTCATGGCAAGTGTATTTAGGATAGCAAGACGTGAGAGCAATTAAGCTTGTGTAACAGGTTGTGAGCTTGTTTATGGGGCCTCAAGGTGGATCCAGCACCTCAGCCTTTGCACATTTATATAATCACTTTAAAAAAATTACAGTAAGGCTGGATCAGACCGGATCCACCTAGTATTCTGTCCCCAGCTGCAGACAAGCAAATGCTTCTGGAAACTCACATCACATAAAGCAGGGCATGGTTTAGGGTGAAGATGGTGCCACCCACTTCTGTTTTATTCCCAATACCAGAGACACCTTCCCTTTGTCTCCACCAGAGACCTCAAAGCCTCCAGTTCCCTTAGTAGGCCAAATTGTGTGGGTTTTGCTTAGAAACAGGATGGCAAATCCTAGAGGAGTCTAGAGGTCATCACAAACAGCTTTTAAGAATCTGCATTGTTGTTGTTTAGTTGTTTAGTCGTGTCCGACTCTTCGTGACCCCATGGACCAGAGCACGCCAGGCATTCCTGTCTTCCACTGCCTCCTGCAGTTTGGTCAAACTCATGCTGGTAGCTTCGAGAACACTGTCCAACCATCTCGTCCTCTGTCGTCCCCTTCTCCTTGTGCCCTCAATCTTTCCCAGCATCAGGGTCTTTTCCAGGAGTCTTCTCTTCTCATGAGGTGGCCAAAGTATTGGAGCCTCAGCTTCACGATCTGTCCTTCCAGTGAGCACTCAGGGCTGATTTCCTTCAGAATGGATAGGTTTGATCTTCTTGCAGTCCATGGGACTCTCAAGAGTCTCCTCCAGCACCATAATTCAAAAGCATCCATTCTTCGGCGATCAGCCTTCTTAATCTGCATTATATTTCCCCAAATTATAAACCAGGGCCATGCAGAAAGGTGTGTTTGGAAGGGAATTCAGAGTTCACTGGCAGGCGGAGATAATTCATTTTTAAAATTGCCTTGCACTTCTCCCTGACCCTGTGTATAGGGAAGTCACACACTGGTTGACCCAGCTGGGTGGGGCTTTCTCAAACCACTCTGTGTGCCTTTTGCATCAAGCCTTGCGAAAGATTTTCGTCCTGTGTGCCGTGCGCCCATTGGGTAAGGGCTGTAGCTCAGTGGCAGGGCACATCTGCCTTGGTAGCTCAGTCGATAGGGCATGAGACTCTTAATCTCAGGGTCGTGGGTTCAAGCCCTATGTTGGACAAAATATTCCTGCATTGCAGGGGGTCAGACTAGATGACCCTTGGTATCCCTTCCACCTCCACAATTTTATGCTATGCATGCAAAGGGTCCCAGGTCCAGTCCCTAGCATATCACCGTAGGGCTGGCATTGACCCCAGCCTGGTACACTGGAAAACCACTGCAAGACAGTGAGCTACGTCGACTGATTCGGTATAAGGCAGTTTCCTATGCTGGCACCTGCTTGCTCACCAGAAAGCCTTACGTTCAAATAATAAACAACCTGAGGTCTTGCATGTTTATGCTCAAGTAGCTTTCACTGCAGCCTTAAAGCATTTGCAATGAGGGCAAGCCTTGCAGCCGAAGTAACTTTGCTCTTGTTTCTGTTTTGCATTCGCTGTATGGCAAATAAACCCCACTGATGCTGTTTTAAGCCTCAGAAGGGCGAAGGGGCCCAGTTCTCTCTTGTAGGTATCTACACGTGGCTGGCACAGAAGGAAGCCTCTCCCCTCTCCCCGCCTTGGCTTTTCCACGTAGGCAACGCCTAAGATTTGAACCCGCTCCGAGTCCCCGTCTCCTCCGCGCCCAACTGCAGGCTCAGAGAACCCGGCGGGCTCCGCCCAGGCAGACAATTCCCCGTCTCTAAAATTAAAGATGTCCGGAATCCGGACGGCTCGTTTTCCCGAAAGTTCCCGCTTTCGGAGATGAACAACCTCGCCCACAATTTCCGGTGTGTGATGGATCCGCTCAGGAGCCGGGGGGGGGACGGGACGGCGCTCTGCACATGCTCAGAAGTATTGCCTGAAAGTTAGAACTCTTTCTGTCCTCGAACCTCGCTAGTAAACCTAGAGTTTTGGAAACTGGAGCGCCTCAATAGCTGTGTATTTGTGTGTGTGTGGAAATCCACTTTACAAAAGTATGCAGACGTCCCATATGGGGATCGAACCTACAACTTTGGCGTTATCAGCACCACGCTCTAACTAACAGGGGGTTGGACTAAACGATCCTCAGGGTCCCTTCCAATTTTGTGATTCTATACACTTGCTCAGAAGCGCTGCCTAAAAGTTTAAACTTTTACCGAGGAAGCCCTCGACCAGATGTTTGGGATCTGTGCGTCTCCGTTTGCCACGGGGAAAGCGACCTACGTGCTTTCAAAAATGTTAAATGTCTTTATCCGAGAAAACCCCCACTTTTTAAGTCCAGATGTGTGGGATTTGGAGCTCCTCACTTTGCACACGCTCAGAGGCGCTTCCTACAAATTGAAACTCTTTTTCGGAGTAAGCCCTTACCCTATACTGAGGGATCTAGCCCTTCGCGGTAGCCACTGGGAAGGCCATTCTGCACATGCTCAAGGGCGCTCTCTAAAATGGTAAACTCAGTAAAAACTCTCGGCTCCAGATTCCAAATGTGCGGGAACTGGAGCGCCGGGCTACAATCCTAAATCAGCTCCTTTGGAAATTAGAGACACTTACCTAGGAGTAAAGCTCCATTGGAAACAGCGAAAGTCTTACGGCACGTATATCAATACATTCTTTTATTGAGTATAGTTACATTTTGTATCACGCGCGCTTTCAGAACTGCAAGTGGCTTTGAGACATTTTTGCAGCGACACAAATAAATGCAACTAATGATAACGATAATACGAAACCATCGCAGTTCGATCCCGCGTTTCCCTCCGGCTCACACGGTCCTCCCTCTGCTCACTTCACCCTCACGACAACCCTGCGGGGTAGGTCGGGCTGACGAGCAGCGACTGTCCCCGGGGCAGCCCCGTGAGCGGGGAATCGAACCCTGTTCTCCCAGGTCAGAGTCATAGAGAACCCTAGAGACCACGAGGGTCATCTAGTCCAACCCCGTGCCGTGCAGGGCTACTCTAACCACTGCACCGCACCGCACCGCCCTCTAACACACACTAGTCCCGCCCTCTAACAACCGGGGGACCCTGTGTCCCACCAGGCGTCGACGTTAACCATTGGTCGCGCTGGCCGGCGCTGATGGGAGTTGGAGGAGCCTACCAAGATATGGGGAGGGGGGTGTTAGAGACGCAGCCCGGCCGCCTCTAACACTACTCGGAGGGCGGCGCTGCGCAGCCCATTCGCCTCCTCTGTGCAGTCCGCGGCGAGGGGCGCGCGTAAAGTTGGAGCGCGGAGGGAAGGGGAGGCGGTCTTCCGGGCCGAGCCGGGTGCGTGTGCCCGGCTGGCTCGACTGGGGGGCGGGCGCTTGGCTGGCTGGCTGGCGTGCCGCCCCCCTCCCCGCCCTCTTTGGCTGCGCCGCGCGGGCTCTATGACCCCGAGGTTCCGAGCGCCGATGACACGGATTCCGAGGCTCAGTTACGGAAGCAGCAGCAAGAGGAGGCGGAGAGGCAGGCGCTCCCGCGGCCGCCGCCGCCGCCGCCGCCGCCACCGGGCAAGAGGAGAGCGCTGCGCGCGCAGCAGCCCCAACTCTGCCTCCCAGCTCTGGCCGACGGAGTTCAGCGGAGCAGGAGGAGCAGGAGCAGCAGGCGCGGAGCGTCGCCGCCGCTGGACAGGCGCCTCGACGGGCAGCCGCTGAGCGGGTCTCTCCGGCGCCCCTCGCTTGCCCAGCCTCCGGCCGGCCGGCCTCCTCTGCCGGCCAAGGGGCCGCCGAACGAGCCGGCCAGCAGGCCTCGCTTGCTCCGGAGCAACTCTCTTCTTGGGCTCCGTCGGAGGGGCGCCGCCGCCCAGCCCCGCGCATGGAGAAGCGGGGGAAGCGGGTGGACTGCCCGGCGCTGCCTCCCGGGTGGAAGAAGGAGGAGGTCATCCGGAAATCGGGGCTCAGCGCCGGCAAGAGCGATGTCTACTATTTCAGGTAAAGCCTCTCCATCGGAAGCGCCAGCCGCCCAGCTCGAGTCAGGGCGTGACCCCAGAGGCGGTTTCGTCATGGCCGGGTTCAAAACGCGCAGCAGGAGAAGCGCCGCCGCCCTCTGAGCATGGGCAGAGTGAGGGGCTCCCGGGGAGTTCGCGCTTGGGAGTGGCGCTGAAGAGGGCAGGAGGAGTCGTGGCTTTCTGGCAGCGCCTCCTGAGCATGTGCAGAGTGAGGGGCTTCCCTCCTCAGGTGTTCTAGATTCCACACAGGATATTAGGATAGAAAAGGGCGCAACTTTCAGGCGGTTCCTCTGAACGTAGTAGACTCAGTTACTCTCCTGCCTCCCAAGTTTCTAGGGAGCTCCAGGTTCCACGTGTCTTAAGTTTTAGGAGTGATTCCCACCCTTTGTGGTGGGAAATTGAAACTTTCTCAGGAATTGGCAACCTGACGCATTTAGTTTTTGAAACAAAGTCTGGTCTGCGTAACTTTGAGTGGCTTTGGGAGATGAACCAATCTGTGCGTTGGTGGCATTCTCTTTTCCTCTTTCCTCCCATTTGCTTCCCTGCGGATGAGTTTGACCAAACTGCGGGAGGCAGTGGAAGACAGGAGTGCCTGGCATGCTCTGGTCCATGGGGTCACGAAGAGTCGGACACGACTAAACAATAACAACCATTCCAATAAAGCTTCTTTCCCTCTCTTATTTTCTATCAGTGTCACCGAACCCACAAAAGGGACTGCTGACTGGTGGAGCCAGGCTAGGCTCTAAACCGGCCTTATGCGGCCTCTGGTGGCCCTACTTTTTATACTTTGCTACTCTGGTCTCTTGGCCTCCCTTTCTGGGGTTCAGAGCAGCAGTTCAGCCTCCGTGCAGCCCTGTGGAGGTATGATAAAACTTCTGCCTGCAGTTTCGCTTGCAAGGGAAAGAGAACCTTTTCTCAAAGTTTCTAGGTAGGAAAAACAAGCCTCGCTTCAACAGTAATATCTTTTCTTCCCCCTTTCTCCCCCTTCCGGCTTTGTGCAACACATGCATATCCATAATTGCCAGGCGGAAAGCCCGGATCCTGCAGCCTGGCCAGTTGGAAGGGTTTGGTTTGTTTGGCAAGATCCATTTACGTCCTCCAGACTGCTGCCTGGAAAAGTGACCCCCCCCCCCGAAAGCAAAGAAGTCTGCTTTCTCTGCCCTGCCCTGGGTGTGTCTGGACAGCAGGGGCGTAGCCAACTTACTGCTTTTCAGATGTTACGGACTACAACGCCCACCACTCTTGACCACTGGCTGCACTGGCTGGGCAAGATGGGAGCTGTAGTTCAAAACATCTGGAGGGCACCACATTGCCTACATCTGTTGTATGGAGTGGCATTGTCAGGGCTGGAGTCAGGCATAGGTCAGCAACGAAAACAACAAATTGCCCGAGACCAGTGCCTAGTGCTCTCAGCAACTTTTTCTAGGAGGTCTTGTCCCAATGAAGCATTTGCGAGGACTGAAGGTCCCAGCCTTCCCAGTGCCCACTAGGACTCCTCCTCTGCAGGGTATTTCTCGCACTATCTCAGGCTCCGCCTGTGCACAACCACCCTCTACTCTGTTTCGTTTCTCCGAGAGACCTGGGGGGAGGGAGCTGGCCACAGCAGCAGCGGGAGACTCCCTGGCTTCTTCAGCAGCCTGTCATCTCTGCTGCTTGCTCCCGCTCTTCTCCAGCCTCTGCTTCTGCCTTGGACTCTGGACTGCTCTCTGCCACAGCCTCTTCCTGCTCACTAAACCCTGTTCCCTCTTCAGCTTCTGAGGCCGCCTCCTCCCAGTCTGATCCCTCTTCTCCCTCTTGACCAGTGACAGAGGAAGGGGGATGCGGAGGGTGCAGATCACCCTGGGTGTCATCACGGGTGTGGGTGTGGGTGTGAGACAAAATGACAAAAATATGAGGTTTTTTTTTTTAATGGGCTCACGAAACTTTTTAGTTCAGTCAACAAATCTAACGAAATGTGGCTGACACTGGGTGCCACACCGCAGGGGCCAGCACTTACCACGGGGCCTGCAGCGTGCCCGAGCCACGCTTCTCTCCTGGGAGTGGCGTAGTGGCTTGGGTGCCTGCAGGCTCCGCGCTGCCTGAAACGGCAGCATGGGGCTTGTGTCTGCCCACCGCCTCTCCCTCAGCCGCCCTACAGCTGAGGGGGAGGCGGCAGAGAGGCTTCACACAGCGCCTTCTCACCCATGCGCGGCTCGCCCAGCCCCTGGCTGCAGGACGCGTGCACCGCACCCGGCACCCGAGTGGCTAGTTACGCCGCTGCTCTTGACCACTCATTGTCGTCCCACCACCAATCCCCTGACTCGTCTTCCCCTGGGGATTCCCCATCACCCCTCTGCGTCCATCCAGTCCTTGACAGACATTTATGTTCCTTCCTGCTGCATGCATGTATCACCCACCCAGGTGACACTTGCTCTTGCTGCTCCTTTGGAACTGTTTGCCTCAACAGTGTGTGCTCCTTGAATGGGGTCCCCTCCTTGTGACCCCTGCTTGCCACGATATGCACCACTGCCTTGAAGCAGCAAGTACAGCTTTCGCTTGCTCTTGCTTTGAGAAGTCAAGCGAACACACAGCAAGAGTAAGCGAGTGGGTACTGGGGTTCAGCAGGGACCCCTGACCATCCACTGGACTTTAATTTCTCTCGATATGTTCTGTTTGCCTGATGTGTTGGTCTATGGAATTACACTTTGTGAGATGTTATATGTTGAATTGTGTTTGAAATAGAAGTTACCTAGTCAAAAACAGCCTGTTACGTTGTGTGTGTTGTTACCGGGGTTGAGGGCTTTGGCATGTGTCTCACAATACTGACCCCTGGCACCGGCCATGGCCTTATATATCTGTGTTATGTTACTTGAGCCATCGTCTGGTGGCATCTTGCCTTGCAGAGAAGGCTACACAGACCAGTGTTCGAAATTCCCCAGGTGTCAGGCGCATTTTGCAACCAAGTGAAGATGTTTTTTCTTCAGGTTTGGTGCCTGGCATCTGTACCATCTGGCTGGCGTGCAGAGAAATCTCTAGAGATTTCTTGTTGCTGGTTGTTTTTTTTTTAATGTTTCAATGTGTTGTAAGCCGCTTTGAGATTTTTTCCCCTTTAAAAATAAAGTGGTATAGAAAAGAAAGGAAGAATAAGAACGATCAATTTCACTGCAAAAAAAAAAAAAAAGGTGATTAGACAATCTGTTGTGCTGACTGTAAAAAAGAAAAAGAAAAAAGGGTAAAGGTAAAGGACCCCTGGACAGTTAAGTCCAGCCAAAGGTGACTATGGGGTTGTGGCACTCATCTTGCTTTCAGGCCGAGGGAGCCGGCATTTGTCCACAGACAGCTTTCCGGGTCATGTGGCCAGCATGACTAAACTGCTTCTGGCACAACGGAACACTGTGACGGAAACCAGAGTGCACGGAAACGCCATTTACCTTCCTGCCACAGTGGAACCTATTTATCTACTTGCACTGGTGTGCTTTCAAACTGCTAGGTTAGCTGGGACCGAGCAATGGGAGCTCGCCCAACCATGGGGATTCGAACTGTTGGCCTTCCGATCGGCAAGCCCAAGAGGCTCAGTGGTTTAGACCACAGCGCCACCCGCGTCCCAATATGTGGTGACTGTAACCTAGGTTTAAGGTGCTGTTTGGTGATCAGCTTATATATCCGAGCTACTTACACTGCTACAGAAACACACCTGCCTGCCCAGTGCAAAAGGATAACTTAGGATGTGGCGTTCCAAAAGTAGTGTTACCCACTTATTCCCTGGTTGTGGAGGGCAAAGGGCTTCGTCCTCATGTCCAATTCTGCACCTCAAAACAGCGAGTACCTTGCATCCTAGAACCTTGCAGCTTTACCCACTCAGTCTGCTGTCCCAGGCAGGGACACAAGGGGCATTGGTGGCCACCAGCTCGCATGGTTTTAAAAGCAGGCTAGACCAAAGCTATCAGTGGCTACTAGCCACAGTGTCCATGTTCTCCTGACAGCTGCTGGGAGTGACAGATGGGGACAGGGTTCTTGCACTCAGGTCCTGTTTGCAGGCTTCCCATGGGCATCTGACTCACCCTGGTGAGAACAGGGTGCTGGGCCAGATGTTCCTTTGGCCTGATCCAGCGGGGCTTTCCTTAATAATAATAATAATAATTTATTATTTATACCCTGCCCATCTGGCTGGGCCTCCCCGGCCACTCTGGGTGGCTTCCATAGAAACCAAAAATACAGTAAAATATCACACGTTAAAAACTTCCCTGAACAGGGTTGCCTTAAGATGTCTTCTGAATGTCAGGTAGTTGTTTATCGCTTCGACATCTGCTGGAAGGGTGTTCCACAGGGCGGGCACCACTACCGAGAAGGCCCTCTGCCTGGTTCCCTGTAGCTTTGCTTCTTGCAATGAGGGAACCGCCAGAAGGCCCTCGGCGCTGGACCTCAGCATCCGGGCAGAACGATGGGGGTGGAGACGCTCCTTCAGGTATACGGGACCGAGGCCGTTTAGGGCTTTAAAGGTCAGCACCAACACTTTGAATTGTGCTCGGAAACGTACTGGGAGCCAGTGTAGGACTTTCAAGACCGGTGTTATATGGTCTCGGCGGCTGCCCCCAGTCATCAGTCTAGCTGCCGCATTCTGGATTAATTGTAGTTTCCGAGTCACCTTCAAAGGTAGCCCCACGTAGAGTGCATTGCAGTAGTCCAAACAGGAGATAACCAGAGCATGCACCACTCTGGCGAGACAGTCTGCAGGCAGATAGGGTCTCAGCCTACGTACCAGATGGAGCTGGTAAACAGCTGCCCTGGACACAGATTTGACCTGTGCCTCCATGGACAGCTGTGAGTCCAAAATGACTCCCAGGCTGCGCACCTGGTCCTTCAGGGGCAAAGTTACCCCATTCAGGACCAGGGAATCCTGCCCGCCTCCTGTCCCCCAAAAACAGTACTTCTGTCTTGTCAGGATTCAACCTCAATCTGTTAGCCGCCATCCATCCTCCAACCGCCTCCAGACACTCACACAGGACCTTCACTGGTTCTGATTTAAAAGAGAGGTAGAGCTTAACTCCTTAACTCCTTAGGTTAAGCTGGCACACTCCAGTTTGGAGCAGTGGTGTTGCGTTTGGAGCTGTCCTTTTCAGGCCTGGCGAAAGCAGGCAGCCTGTCTTCTCTCGTTTCCTTCAGAGTCAGAGAGAATGACACCTGGGCTTCTGTGATTCCCTTGTTGGCTTCTGTGGGCCAGACAGACTGGGCAGGCGGTTCCCCCATTTATACTGCCAGCCAGGAAAATGCCCCTAGAGACCATCTCCCTTGGAGCAGCAGGATTTCGACTTTCCGTGAATCTTCTTCCCCTTCCTGTAAGTCACCAGGTGACTTTCATAACCATTCCTGCCACACCCTTTTCTTACTTCTGCAGCTGCAGCAACTTTTCCTTTCTTTTCTGCTACTGTTACGCCTGTTATTTCTACTACTACTACTACTACTACTACTACTACTACTTGTTACAGCTGCTGCATCATCGGCCTGCAGTATGTTTTAAAAACTTTTTATAATAATAATAATAATAATAATGTCATACCTCGGGTTGAATGCGCTTCAGGTTGAGCGTGTTCGAGTTGCGCTCCGCGGCAACCCAGAAGTAATGGAGCGCGTTACTTCCGGGTTTCGCCGCTTGTGCATGCGCAGATGCTCAAAATGACGTCATGCGCATGCGCAGAAGCAGCAGAAAGCGACGCGCGTGTGCACAGACATGCCGTCACTAGTTACGTTTGCTTCTAGATGCGAACGGGGCTCCGGAACGGATCCCGTTCGTATCTAAAGGTACCACTGTAATAATAATAAGATTATTGAGGCTGTGAGTTTTTAAGCACCATGCTACAAGTTGCACAGAGCTTCACGTAACACTTTTTTGAAGGAAGGTCTTGGGGATTTGGTGGGGAGGAGATGCTTTAACCCAGGCATAGGCAAACTCGGCCCTCCAGATGTTTTGGGACTACAGTTCCCATCATCCCTGCCCACTGGTCCTGTTAGCCAGGGATCATGGGAGTGGTAGTCCCAAAACATCTGGAGGGCCGAGTTTGCCTATGCCTGCTTTAATCCTTGCCAGTTGTCCTTTCATCTCTCTGTTCCCCAGTTTTTCTCCAAAGAGGGAAAAAATAAGGTGGTAGGTGGGGGCACTTCCTCCCCATGGGAGGAAAAGCTTATGATGGGGGCGCCTAATGTTTACAGCAGGGGTTGGGTATTGTTCATCCGTAAGCCAGGGGCAGCCCATGGTTGTTTGGAGTCCAGCCTGTGACGTCTCCTTCAGCCCCTATATAAAAAAGCTCACATGCAAATTGAGTCTTTCCCACACTAACTGCTGCACAGTGGGGATTTTCTGCAGGAAGGGAAAAGGGGAGACACAACATTGGGGAGGGAGAAGGGAGAGAAAATGGGTGACCCACCACCAGCTCCATCCTGGCCCACTTCTGGCTTTTGCCCTGCCTCTTGGAAGGTCTTGTCTCTCTACATTTTACACACACACTTCCCCCTGAAGTACCATGTAACATCCAGTTTGACCTGAATGCAGGGAATGTGTCAGAGTATTGTAAGCAGATGGCCAACTATGGTCTACTCCAGAGGTGGAGAACAGTTTTCTAGTCACAGGCTGCTCCCGCTGGTAGAAGCATCAATTATATCATTCCCATATTACACCACTTACATTATTCCCATTTTACACCAAGAGAAAATGACTTACCAGAGGTCACACGAGGAATCGATGGCGGAGGCGAAACCTGAACTCAGGCCACCAAATTCAAGTCCGTTTCTTGCTGTCTCTCTTGTTCCCCATTGTCCGGCAGGGGTAGGGAACCTCAGGCCTGGGTGGGTAGGCCAGAAAACATCCCTCCAGATGTCCCTATTTGCCCTTTTTGGAGTTTCTGCAGGCCACGCCCCTCACCTTCCTTGCTCCACACCTTCCTTGAGTGTTTTGGGCAGACTGCGATGCATCTCTGAACTCTGATACTGACTTTTGCTTGCTTGCTTGGACGGAGAAGTGTGTATGTGTGTGTGTGTGTGTGTGTGTGTGAGAGAGAGAGAGAGAGAGAGAGAGCGTGCGCATGCATAGAAACTAGCCAAAAAACATGCAAAGGTAGCATTTACACCCAGTGCTCTGCCAAGAACTGGCCTTTGCTCCCCAGGAGGGACTGTGGTCTACCACTGCTGTACAGTTAGGGGAAGGGGAATGCTTTAATAGGATTCCCTCCAGCCAAAGTTGCTCTGAAATTCTTTCCTTTCCTTGGTGTAAGCACTAAGCTTATTAGCTGTTTTTGTGTGTTAAACTTCCCCCCTCATGCTTTGGGCTTTTGCAAATTTTTGGAGTTTATGGCATGCACCTTGGACTTCATCTTAGCACACCAGGGTTTTCTGCTGCTGCTGCTTTGCTTTTTATTTACTAATTAAAATGGTTAGTTGCTTTATCCTTGACAAAGGCGGCGACTTACAAAATCGGCCATACACTCTTGCCTTGCAACCAACCCAGCTCCAACCCCTTCCTTGCATTGCAGGGGGTTGGATATAGACAACCCTTGGGGTCGTTGCCAACTCTACAATTTGTGATTCTATGATTCTGATCTTTCCCTGTGGTCTTGTACTCGCTGGTCTCATTCTCTTCTCTGTGTGCGTGGGGGTGGGGGTGGGAAGTAAATGTATCAGGCCACTTTATTTTATTTTTAAGAGATGCTTTCAGGTCTGTCGCTTGTCACTAAGAGGAAGCCGTGAAGGCAGGTGATAGCCGCAAGCCCATGCGCCCCTAGGCTGCTTTGCATGTACAGCAGGCCTATATGGCTGATGTAACGGCAGCTGTCTTTCCTGTGCATGGCAGGATATGACCACTCCAGGTTCAGTACTCGAGTAGTTAAGAGTTTCAGCGTAAATAGGTTGCAGTAAATCAGAAAGGACTATGTGGCAGCAGCTAATCTGTCCTCCTCGCCTAGACACGGCAGCCAGCTCTGCTAGTGGATCTGATCTTGGTGAAAAGCACCCCAGGGGAGGGCCTGCTCTTTATCAAGGACAAGGCCTTTGGAACCACCACTGACATCGCCTGTAACTTTTCGAAGTGCAACTTTCCAAACTTGTGCTTGAACTTTGCATTTCCCTCCTCCTTCCCATTACTTTTTCCTTGTGTGCTGTGTCTTAGGTTGTAAGTCTGAGGTCAGGAACCATCTAAATACCAGGTTTTTTTGGTAAGCCATTCCAAGAGTCTTGCAATTTGAAACTGGTATTGCTATTAGTATAAAGGTAAAGGGACCCCTGACCATTAGGTCCAGTCGTGACCGACTCTGGGGTTCCACGCTCATCTCACTCTATAGGCCGAGGGAGCCAGCGTACAGCTTCCGGGTCATGTGGCCAGCATGACTAAGCCACTTCTGGCGAACCAGAGCAGCACACGGAAACGCCGTTTACCTTCCCGCCAGAGTGGTACCTATTTATCTGCTTGCACTTTGACGTGCTTTCGAACTGCTAGGTTGGCAGGAGCAGGGACCGAGCAACGGGAGCTCACCCTGCCATGGGGATTCGAACTGCCAACCTTCTGATCAGCAAGTCCTAGGCTCTGTGGTTTAACCCACAGCACCACCCGCGTCCCATTGCTCTTAGTATATAAAGCCCTTAACAACTTGGGACCGTTTACCTACGAGATCTCTTTTCCCCACAAGGGCCCACTTGACTGCCTTGATCTGTGCAATTGGCACTACTGCAGGTGACACACAATACCTGTCAGGGAACTGCCATCGGAGCTAGAGGCGGAGGGAAGGCTCCAGAGGGATGCCGGTGAGGGTCCCAGTAGGGAGAGAGGCAGCCCGTCCGCTGGGGAAGGAAATCAGCGTAACACCAGTAGAGAAGGGGGGCAGATGGGGGAATCGGAGAGGAGGCTCCAAGACTCCTCGCCGGAGACCAGCGGAGAGAGTACGGGTCCTCCGCTGCCCACACCCTCCCTGCGCAGAAGGCTTCCGTGCAGGGAGACTAGGCGGAGACTAGGCGTCAAAGAGCTTTTGTGCTGGAAAAAGTTTAAGAAACGCCCACTGACGGATTCTGCCAGCGACTGAGACAGTCACGATGCTAGAGGCTGTTCAGTCAGAAAGGGTTCAACCAGGTAACCTAGCCAGGAGTGGTGGCAACTTATGCACGAGCAACCCCTAAACCCATTACAATACCCATTCGGCTTTAGTGCCTGAACAGCGCCTGAACTTTGGAACTCCCTGCCTGTTGAGATCAAGCAGGCGCCACCACTGTATTCTTTTCGGTGCCTGCTAAAAACCATTCTTGTTCAGACAAGCCTATCCACGTGCTTAGAAAGTTGAGGTCATTTTAATCTGTTTCAGCATTTTCATTTGGTACGTCTTAAAGTAGGATTGTGAGTTCTTCTTGATTTTACTGTTTTGTCTTTTTGTAAACTGCTTTGAAGTGGGTGGTTGTTTTTTTAATACAGTCAGGTGGTGTGTAAAGTGTATGATATAAATAAATTCTATAAGTAAACAAACCTAATTTCAGTCTCTGGACTTAAATGGTCTGATGTGTCTGCTCCCCATCCTTAGGACAGCAATGTGTCATTAATAATAATAATAATAATAATTATTTATTATTTATACCCCGCCCATCTGGCTGAGTTTCCCCAGCCACTCTGGGCGGCTCCCAATCAGTGTTAAAAACAGTACAGCGTTACATATTAAAAACTTCCCTGAACAGGGCTGCCTTAAGATGTCTTCTGAATGTCAGGTAATTATTTATCTCTTTGACATCTGATGGGAGGCCGTTCCACAGGGCGGGCGCCACTACTGAGAAGGCCCTCTGTCTGGTTCCCTGTAGCCTCACTTCTCGCAATGAGGGAACCGCCAGAAGGCCCTCGGCGCTGGATCTCAGTGTCCGGGCTGAATGATGGGGGTGGAGACGCTCCTTCAGGTATACAGGACCGAGGCCGTTTAGGGCTTTAAAGGTCAGCACCAACACTTTGAATCGTGCTCGGAAACGTACTGGGAGCCAATGCAGATCTCTCAGAACCGGTGTTATGTGGTCCCAGCGGCCACTCCCAGTCACCAGTCTAGCTGCCGCATTCTGGATTAATTGCAGTTTCCGGGTCACCTTCAAAGGTAGTCCCACGTAGAGCGCATTGCAGTAGTCCAAGCGTGAGATAACTAGAGCATGCACCACTCTGGCGAGACAGTTAAATTATTTCAAAGTGTGGCAAGCAGGCCTGGTGCCCTCTGGCTCAGTCTGGTGAGCGAGATCCTAGATTTCTGCCCTAAAGTACTGCCCAGATGGCACCACTGTCTGGGAATGCAAACTTGTTAGGGCAAAATGCTCTGCCCCCTTCTTCTGAGTCAACCGCACTTCCATCCTGTTGGTGAGCTGTCCTTACTCATTCATTTTGTTGGTGTTTGAGAATCAGGCTGCACTTATTTATTTGTTTGTTTGTTTGTTTGTTTGCTGGAGGTAATAGTCCATGCTCTTTTGAGGATAGGCGTAAAGGATACACATGACTTAGGCAGCGTTAGAACCTCAGATATAAAAGCTAGGTGCAAAATGGCTCCTTAAACTATTTTGCCAAAATGTAATGTCTAGTTGCTGTTTTGGGGCAAGACAGTTCTAAAGTCTAATTTTTCAAAAGATGGACTGGCTGTGTTTGATTCTCGCTTAAACATCTGGTTAGTTCAGATGACAACCTTGAACTAGGCTAGGCACTTTGAGAACTTAGAGAAGAAAAGTCCCTTGATCCAGGGACATTTCCCATATATATTGGCCTATTCCTACCTCTTTTAAAGGGTGACATGGATCATTCATAATGCAGGAATATTCTTCGCAACTGTGAGCAGGGCAGTGGGGTGGGCTAAGTGAAGAAAAGCGGCAACAATTAACTATAGCGCCATTCACTGCTCTTGCTCAGGCTGCAGAAAAAAACTTGCATTTTGGTTGCTAAAATTCATTCTGATTGTTCAGATAAAATACAACGGAATGATTCTGCAGGATGTGGTATTAATGTGTGAAAACAGTCAAGATTCAAGGATCCCCAGATGGATCTTGGCGCCCGGGCATGTTCCACTTGGTTGCAAGTGGCCAGTAGCCAGGTGCAAAATGTGTCTGGCTAATTTCTAACACTGCACTCAGGAGTGAACGTAGATGTTAGGCAGACCTCTCTCTGTGCCCTTGCCCTTATGTGACCCACAGACTGACAAACAGCACTTGCAGGAGAGTGGTGGAAAAAAGCATCTGGCAAGAGCTGCTCCTGCATTGCTTTCTGCTGCTTGTGTGCAAACGCAGTTGGGGTTCTCATCAAGTTCAAAGCGGGGTATGATAAGATCCAGATTAGCAGCACTAGAAGCAGTCTCCATATCAGGGGCTTCTGTACCCAAAATTGGTTAATTATTTCTGGTTGCTACCCACTAGGATAGGGATGCGGGTGGCGCTGTGGTCTAAACCACTGAGCCTTGGACTTGCCAATTGGCAGGTCGGCGGTTTGAATCCCCGTGACGGGGTGAGCTCCTGTTGCTTGGTCCCGGCTCCTGCCAACCTAGCAGTTTGAAAGCACGTCAAAGTGCAAGAAGATAAATAGGTACCACTCTGGTGGGAAGGTAAACGGCGTTTCCGTGCGCTGCTCTGGTTTTGCCAGAAGCGGCTTAGTCATGCTGGCCACATGACCCGGAAAAACTGTCTGCGGACAAACGTCAGCTCCCTCGGTCAGTAAAGAGAGATGAGCGCTGCAACCCCAGAGTCGTTCGCGACTGGACTTAATTGTCAGGGGTCCTTTACCTTTACCCACTAGGATATATGCAGATGGCTTCAGAGGAGGATCCAGTGACAGGGAAAGCAAGGAAATATGTAAAGAACTTGGGATATTTACCTTGGAGGGAAAAAATGCTGAGAGGGGGTGATCATGATAACACACTTGAAATACCTGACGGACTGCCTCATCCCTCAGAGGAAGGAGCAAAGACTTGTCTCCTCCGCTGCTCCAGAGGGCAGGATTAACCCTCAGGGGCTGAAGTCACATGAGGGTAGGTTATGACTGTACCTTCTGCAAAACGTCTTAATAGTAAGAGCAGTTTGGCGATGGAATTGGTTGCCTAAGAGTACAGTGGTACCTCGGGTTAAGAACCTAATTCGTTCTGGAGGTCCGTTCTTAACCTGAAACTGTTCTTAACCTGAAGCACCAGTTTAGCTAATGGGCCTCCCGCTGCTGCCGCACCACCGCCGTGTGATTTCTGTTCTCATCCTGAAGCAAAGTTCTTAACCCGAGGTAATATTTCTGGGTTAGTGGAGTCTGTAACCTGAAGCGTATGTAACCTGAAGCGTATGTAACCTGAGGTACCACTGTAGTGGGCTCTTCCCTCACTGGAGGTCTTCAAGGAGAGCAGGGGCAGCCATCTGTTTCTGATTTTCTGTCTCAGGGGTAGGTGACCTCAGTTTCAGGGGCAAAATGTGGGCCTCTATCCCTCTCCACCTGGCCCTTGGGACACTAGACCACACCCGTTTCCCAGCTAATCTCTTCACCAGCCTGCTTTTGCATGTACTCACACAGTGATAAAGCCTCTTGCTTTGTCTGATGAGGGATGGTGTGTGTGGATTTATACCGTGGCGTACAAAAGTAGAAGTTGCATCTATTGCTCCAGTGGCGTAGCGTAGGGTTGGGGGCCTCAGTGCAGCTGTGCACTTCCATCACTGAGCTTCTCCATGCTAGCCAGGAAGTGAACTCTCCAGACAACAGCCTCTCCAACCTCTTCTTGTTTTAAATCTCTGTGTCTGGGATCTCCTGGGTGACTCGCACACCATAAATCAGTTGAATGCGAATGCGTACTCCATCCCTTTCGCTCCCTCCCTCTCTCCCACTTCCGTACAGCCCCAGGCACTGGCAACCCATGCTATGCCACTGCATTGCTCCACCCACTTTATGCCTCTGCTCCCCCCATCATTACATGCCCCCCCCCGAAATTTCCTTGTGAGAGAATGCAGCCCTCTGTACTGAAAAAGATTCCCCATTCCTGCTTCAGCTTTTTTGGAAGTGCAGCCCCAGTCTCCTCCGTTGCACGATTGTAACCACATGATTGTACTCACATGAGGGAGAAATTTGTCCTGGGAAGACGGTAGCTTGTTCCTGGACCCCGAGTGCTTCCCCTCTTAGAAATCAGTAGTAACTGCTCAGATTTTCCCCCAGTATCCCAGGGCTTTTGTACTTCTTGGTTAGAACAACTTGGACGGCAGAGTGAGGTTCACTTTTCTTGCACAGTCGGTCAGTAAGTTTTTCCTTCTGCATAAGTAAAAAGACTAGACAAAATTTCAGGCTTGGGCTTGAAATTTCCCTGTGGGCGCCAGACACCTCCTCTTCAATTTCACTTCTTCCCTGGATCACATTGTCTGTTGTGGCTGTCATGAGGCCTCATGAAGCACCACTTTCTTCTTCTTCTGTACATTGAAAAACACACAGTTGCCAAAAGTGTGCATTGCCCATGCATTGGGAAGGTGACTGGGACTGGCCACATGTTGAGTGAGAAACCCAGCTGATTCTGTGCAAAGTGTGAAATGGCCCTTTATTCCTTAGGTACCGTCTGTCCAAAATGACAGGCAATCGACAGAGTCAGACACATGCTCTTTACCCCGCGGAAGCCGAACTTGGGTGGGGAAGGGAGGAGATAATGCTGCTTGTATTGTAGAAATGGGTCATGACGCCAGACGTTCTTACAAATTCCGTGTTTGGGGGGGAGAGAGGAGAGAATGGAAAGTGGTTTTACAACCTTAATGGAAGCTCAGCATTAAATAACTGCGCTGCGAACTCCCCCTCCCATCTCCCTGTGATGAAAACACGCCCAGGGGTGCTGTCCAGATCGCTTTTATATGGGTGATGTAGCCAAATTTCAGGACTGTGGCCTCCATCTTCTGTAAAAGTGGGGGAAAGGAGGAGACAGAAACCGCTTTGTAATATTAGAGGATGCTATCAGTTCAGTTTCGCTTTATTGCCCAAATTCCTAGGGCTCGTAATGAGCTGTAGCCAAAAGGCCATGCTATCACTTTTGTTTACTGTGTGCTGTTCGAGTGCATTTAACAAGCAAAGGCATTTAGCTTCCTCTCTCTCCCTGCTTCGCTCCCCCCTCTCTTGGGAGAAGGAATGTTTCATCCCGCTTGCTCTTTCACAACTGTCAGATTGTTTGAAAAGGCGCCTGTGCTGTGGCTGCCGAACAAGAGGGAGCTGACAAATGTCTGTCCAAATGAAGGAGTAAAAAAAGAAGAAGAAGAAAAGGAGCAGGTCTTTTGTCTCTGAACTATGTCTCACCATCAAAGCTTGCTCTTCTCTCTCTGCACCCCCCCCCCCCGCCGTTTCCGGGTTACTGCCTTTGTTTGACCCGGGGTGCCACCAGCCACATGCAAATGTGCTGGCCGGTGATTGGCCAGCGTTGGGCACCTGCTCTCATCTTTGCCCGTGGTGTGTGGCAGGCTGGCGAGAAAGGCTGCTTCGAAATGGGAGACCGGAGTGATGTCCTAAGCTTGCAGGGATGCTAACATGCAGCGGTTGGCATGCTTTTATATTCCTGGCGCTCTGTTTAATGGGGAAGTTGGAGGGGCTGCAGGCCTCTTTGAGTGCTGTGAAACACCGTATTTTTTGCTCCATAAGACGCACCAGACCACAAGACGCACCTAGTTTTTGGAGGAGGAAAACAAGAAAAAAAATATTCTGAATCTCAGAAGCCAGAACAGCAAGAGGGATTGCTGTGCAGTGAAAGCAGCAATCCCTCTTGCTGTTCTGGCTTCTGGGATAGCTGCACAGCCTGCATCCGCACCATAAGACGCACACACATTTCCCCTTACTTTTTAGGAGGGAAAAAGTGAGTTTTATAGAGCAAAAAATATGGTACTTATTCCCAAATTGCAGCAAAGGATATTGCACTCCTAAGCCTCGCTTCATTTCCCACCACTTTTTGCTTTATTTTCCCTCTTCTTTTTCTGTGTTGAAAAGCCTCGAGCCATACAAGAGTTCCAGAAAGCTCGTTTTTTGGTCTTCAACAAATGCCTCGCTTTAGGGTGGACCTGGGCATTAGGAAGGACGCAGGATCTCTGCCACAACCAGTGGTTCCGGTGCTCAGTGGTTTCCATAAAGTCCAGTTCAACTTGCACCATGTCCTAATGTCACTGAGGCTTTTTAGACCTCACCCCCCAACATTTCCAGTGCACATATGATGTGCAAGTATTATTATCATTAATTAAATTCAGTGCTTTTTTCCTCTAAGGGACGCAGGGGTATGCATACCCCTAAATATTTTGTGACTTTTTGTACTTTTGTCCATTTACTGTATTTTCCCCCATTTGAACTATAAAATGGTGATTTTCTTGTGTCAAAATAAAATTACCCCTAAACATTTTATTAGGAAAAAAAGCACTGATTAAATTTGCATACCTCCCTACACCTGCAGGTCTCAGGGTGGTTTGCAACATAAAATCACAAAATACACAATAAAAAACAAAAACAGGAACAACCCAATAATCCCTCCATTTTTAAACACATTTTAAAAGGGCATCAGTGAGGTTACTTTGTGGAATGTGCTGGCGCACATTTTGTTTCACATGAAGAAGCTGCAGTGGGTGCTGATAAACTAAAGCAGGGGTGTTCAACAGGTCGATCGTGGGGTGTCGCTGGTTGATCATGGTCAATTGCGGGGCCAAAAAAACTCAACACCTTTGGCTCATCCTCCCCCCAGAAAAGCTCAACAACTCTGGCCACTCCAATGGTTAGATCACTGCCAGTTTTTTTTATAGTGGGAGTAGATTGCAGTCTCTTGGAAGTTGGATGTGCCTGAGCTAAAGGACCAAGTTAACCTGGCGCTGTGGGTTAAACCACAGAGCCTAGGACTTGCCGATCAGAAGGTCGGCGGTTCAAATCCCCTTGATGGGGTGAGCTCCTGTTGCTCAGTCCCAGCTCCTGCCAACCTAGCAGTTCGAAAGCACATCAAAGTGCAAGTAGATAAATAGGTACCGCTCTGGCAGGAAGGTAAATGGCGTTTCCGTGCACTGCTCTGGTTCTTAATGTCAGGGGTCCCTTTACCTTTAACCTGGAAAATCCTTTAACAACTTGGGACCAGAATATCAGCATCCATGGGGTGGGCCTCAGGCCCACTGCCGCCACCAAAGCAACCCAGGTAAGGGAGCGGCACAGTGTCCCACTGTTCCTCGGAGCAGAGGAAAACCAGTGGCAAATCTCTCTGGAACGCCTGTGAGTTGGCAAAGCTGCGTCACCAGGCGGAAAGCACTGCCGCCTCACCTGGTGAAGTGTCGAGGCTTTTCCTTGAGAGGAGGCCCTTTCTGAGCCTCAGGCCCCCAGCTCCATTGTAGAGGAAACAGGGGAAGTTTTGCCTCAGGTGGCAAAATGTCTTGCACCGCCCCTGGTTGCCTTGAGCGAGTCAAGGTCTGTCAGCTTCATTTACGGGGTTGTTGGGTGAAAACACTGCCTTGAGCCCTTTGGAAGAAAGGAACAAGTGTGTGTGTGTTTGTGTGTAATTTTATTTATTTATTTTCCATTTAATAATATACATTCACATCATTATTATCCACTTTACCTCCTTGGCTCTTTAGAGCCTATCAACTTCCTTCCCTTCCGCCTCATGGCTTTCAAAATTAGCTTTGTATCATTACATTTTGTGCATTTTCCAATTCTAATTACACTCCTTACAAAATAGCTCAAAATTTAAATAAATATAGAAAGGTAGAAAATTTCCCATTACAAGTCTTCAGACAACTCTGCTAATGATGTTAATTGTTTACAATAATCTTCCAGATATCGTACAAATTTACTCCAATCCTTTTGGAATACTTGATCATGCAGGTTTCGGGTTTTTCCTGTCAGCTTTGCCAGTTCTGCAAAGTCCACCATCTTCATCTGCCACTCTTCTTTCGATGGTACTTCTTGTTGTTTCCATTTTTGGGCTAAGAGAATTCTTGCCGCAGTTGTTGCACACATAAACAGTCTTTTATCTTCCCTTGGTATCTCTTCACCCGCTATACCCAGTAAAAAGGCTTCTGTTTTCTTAACAAAAGTATTTTGAAACATTTTCTTTAACTCATTAAATACCATTTCCCAGAAAGCCTTTACCTCTTCACAAGTCCACCACATGTGATAGAAGATACCTTCCCAGAAAGGAACAAGATTTAATTGGGCAGATAAATATATATATCCTGCTCTTCCCCTCTGCCTTTGAGGAGCACAGTTGCATTGTAGTTTCACCCCCTTTGTGCCCCTGCAATGGTCTCCCATCCCCAAGCTGATCAGGCCCAGTCTGTTTAGCTTTCTAGTCAACAAAATGTGTGCGCCATTTGATTGTAATAAAACCTCCAAGCAGTTTACAAAAAAAGCTAAAACTGAAAAAGGAGCATAAAAGAGCCTTCCAGATCAGGCCAAGAGCCCATCTGGACCATCGTCCCGTTCACACAGTCGTGAACCTGCTACCTTGGTGGAAACCTTCAATCACAAGAGCTTTGTCTTCTATTTCCTTGCTTATGTGCAAATTATTTGGAACAGAGCTTCCAGCTTGCTGACCTTTATTATTTTTTTCTCAGCCTTGCACAATAGACCACAGTTATGCCCATTTCACAGATAGGAAGCTGAGGCTGAGAGGCTGTGACTTGCCCGAGACTGCAGAAAAGATTGCAAGGCGGATGTAAGTGTGTAGCATTCAGGGCCACACAAACTCAAAAGAAAACAATGCAAGTTTTGGTCCTGGTGCTGATCCAGCTCTCCCTAGTCTCCTGACTATGCTTACGATATTGTCTTCCCTGAGTCGCGGAGATGAGGAGAAGGCAAGTGAAATGGAGGAAGAGGTTTTCAAAACTCTTCAGTTATGAAGGAAATCTTACGCAAGTCCAATAGATACAAGGCAAGTTCACAGTATTATTAGTGTGTTGCAATCTGAACTCAAACACATTTTGTAATTATTTCTTTTAGGCTTGCAGTACATACTTTCCCCATTAATATCACATATGAGTTCGCCGTGTGGATGTGTGTATTAGGCTGTGTACCTAATACATCCCTAAGGCCATGTAGCACAGGAGAAATGGATTTTCCCAGCCCTCAGATATGAAACACTGATTAAGTTTACAATCCCCAAAAGTTGGCTTATCGAAGCCAATGATCTTGACGGTTATTAAAATGTGCAATACTGCTATACGAAAACGATCTGGGTAGATCTTAGTGCTATAAATATGTGGTGTTCATAGTGCTGAGAGCTTTACTCATTTGACTAATCAGTGAAAGCACTAGCCAATTTTTAGTGTGTAAAAGGTTTCCCTTCATATCTATTTTTGTTTGATGTGTGTTGCAAGAATATAAAGTGTGTTGCAAGACACATGTATATGGTATATGGCCTGTCACTGCCTTCCAGTTCTTCATCATTAATTAATTCCACGAAAAGAAATTTTCGTAAAACTTCTTTAGGGAGCAACATATAAATGGCAACTCGCTGGTAGTTAGAATGACACAGGCAGAGTTGGGAGTTGTGTGTGAACCATGAAGTGGGAAGCTGCAGGCTGCAGGCTGGGAGAGACAGAGCCATGCCTGATTCCTACTTGAAATTAAGGCTACAGCTATGAGAGAAGCACGACCCTCTTGGGGTGTTAAAGCTGTGAGCCCCTCCATTGTAGGTTTGGGTTGCATATATGTGTAAGTTAAACTCATATCCTAAGGACACTGCAGTCTCCGCTGCCCCTCATTTCGAGGAAAACGAACCCTGGGTAAGAGCCTGGAAGAGTTTGGGGTGGCATGCAACAATACAGTGGTACCTCGGGTTAAGTACTTAATTCGTTCCGGAGGTCCGTACTTAACATGAAACTGTTCTTAACCTGAAGCACCACTTTAGCTAATGGGGCCTCCTGCTGCCGCTGCGCCACCACAGCATGATTTCTGTTCTCATCCTGAAACAAAGTTCTTAACCTGAAGCGCTATTTCTGGGTTAGCGGAGTCTGTAACCTGAAGCGTCTGTAACCTGAAGCGACTGTAACCCGAGGTACCAATGTACTCTTTTGCAATTTTATCTTGTGAAGCATGGGTATAGGGCGGTATATAATTGTAATAAATAATAATACCATAATAACAACTCGGGTCCCACCTACACAAGCTGCAATATGTAGTTAATATCATCAGCCTACCTGAGAGGGCTACTGTGAGAATAACTGGAGATATAAGAAAATCACTTTGAGCGCTCAAGAATTGCAGTACAAATATCAGGAAGGGGGAAATCTCAGGACCAGAGGGCCAGATGTGGCCCTTGGGTCTCTTCCTAGGCCACGCCTTCTCTGTAAGCCACACCCCTCTTCCCAGACCACACCCCTTTCTACTCCCACTTTTGTCCTTGAGTGCTTCTGCCTGACTGAAGAATGGAGGGTTGTGTGTATGCAGACACACCTGAACTACGTGACTTTAAGGCTCAGCCCATTCACGCGACTGCGGTCTGTTTTTCCCTATTTTTGATACAGTGGTACCTCGGGTTACATATGCTTCAGGTTACAGACTCCGCTAACCCAGAAATAGTACCTCGGGTTAAGAACTTTGCTTCAGGATGAGAACAGAAATCATGCTCCGGTGGCGCGGCAGCAATGGGAGGCCCCATTAGCTAAAGTGGTGCTTCAGGTTAAGTAAAGTTTCAGGTTAAGAAAGGACCTCTGGAACGAATTAAGTACTTAACCTGAGGTACCACTGCACTGAATTTTAAATTTTTCGGACTTGCCCTGGAACTTGCTGCTAAATGGTGGGTCATCATAATAAAAATTATAGACTGAACTTGAAACAACAACAATACCATTTTGCTTGGGAGTAAGAAGGTCAGCGGTTTGAATCCCCGTGGCAGGGTGAGCTCCCGTTGCTCGGTCCCTACTCCTGCCCACCTAGCAGTTAGAAAGCATGTCAAAATGCAAGTAGATAAATAGGTACCGTTCCGGCGGGAAGGTAAACAGCATTTCCGTGTGCTGCTTTGGTTTTGCCAGAAGCAGCTTATTTTTGCTGGCCACATGACCCAGAAAAATTGTCTGCAGACAAACACTGACTCCCTCGGCCAGTAAAGTGAGATGAGCGCTGCAACCCCAGAGTCGTCCGCGACTGGACATAACAGTCAGGGGTCCCTTTACCTTTACCTTTGAGTAAACATGACAGCATTGCACTGTAATACTGCCACCCTGTATGCACTTACTGAGGAGTAAATTGATGACGCTTGGTGGATCTTACTTCAAACTGAACCTGCAAAGGTTTGCGCTTTGAGATCACCGCTTCAAATGAGCTTTCTAGGGATTAAGGGCTGTTTTACTTCTGAGTAAATGTGTTTAGGAGCCCCACAGCAAGCTGATTTGAGAAACTGCCGCTGAGCAGATTCTTAGTGTTCTTCAGTAAGGCTGAACATTTCCCACATGAGGAAGCTAATTTGTAGAGCCTCCTAATATGTAGAGAGAACTTTTGATGTTGGAATTCCACATGGGGGAAAACAGGCTATGAGCTGGTTCAGTCCCAGGCCCTGAGCAATGATGTCAGTCTTCTCCCAAACACACACACACACACACACACACACACACACAACACATCCCAAAACCAAAAAAACCCTTAAATGAAATGCAAACTAGACAGCTTGGGGCTTGTTGTTTGATGTGTTCTTCTGTAGACTCCAGCATCCCAAAGCTAAGGTCTTGATCTTGCAAATAATCTCTGTATATATTTAAATGCCAGTTGTGGGATGGCGCCTAGAGAAATATTGTGTGTATGTAGAACACAACTGTTTAACTAGATACAAACTGGCATAGAATGTATAGGAATTCACATTATTGCTCTTTTCCTTTTTCATACTTGGGAGCCATAGTTAGAAGCCACCTTTAAATGTTTTTCTTCTATGAATTATATATAGATTTTCTTTTTTAAAAAACCAAAGTCCTAAGCAGACTTTGGCAAAATACATAGAGCAGAGGAAAAGTTAAAAAGAACAAAGTTGCCATTTATTCTAAAAAAGGGGGGTTAAGAGAAGTGGGTATAGAATGAATATGGTAGTTTGCATTTCAGGCTGATCTCAAAAGCCTAAAATTAGTGTTGTGCTGAAATCTCTCCTCTAGTTTCTCAAACTGTCTTCTCCCCCCAGCTAGCCCTGTGAAAGAGGCTTCTATTTTCCAACCACATTCTCAAGGCTTGTGTGGTTTTCTTTAGAACTTTGTTGGATATGGAGTCCTTATTGTTGAGAGGTGGACAAAGGCATGGGGTATGGGTTTTTATTTCCTGCACTGAAAATTCCTCATGGCACAAGACCTCAGGGCGGCTGTGCACACACACTCCTGTTTACTCGGTGAACAGAGTTCTCCCACTGCTGGTTTGGGAAGCAGTGTGCGCACGCAGCTTTGGCCACAATCTACATATCCTGTCGTTTCTCATGAAATGCCATGTTTCAATGCATTGTATCCCAAACAGGGGCACGGGTGGCACTGTGGTCTGATCAGAAGGTCAGCGGTTCAAATCTGCACAATGAGCTCCTGTTGCTCTGTCCCAGCTCCTGCCAACCTAGCAGTTCGAAAGCACACCAGTGCAAGTAGATAAATAGCTACCACTGTGGCAGGAAGGTAAATGGTGTTTCCTTGCACTCTGGTTTCTGTCACAGTGTTCCATTGCACCAGAAGCAGTTTAGTCCTGCTGGCCACATGACCCGGAAAGCTGTCTGCGGACAAATGCCGGCTCCCTCGGCCTGAAAGCGAGATGAGTGCTGCAACCCCACAGTCGCCTTTGGGCTTAACCGTCCAGGGGTCCTTTACCTTTACCTTTTATCCCAAACCAGCTTTGCTCCGAATTGAGCAAAAGAACAACCTCACAGCGTATTAAGCTGGTAATGTGTACGCAGCCAATGTCTTTGACTGAGCTTTAATTGAAATTGAGGAAACGTGCTTAACATGTGCCTGAAATCTGTGTTTTGCTCCAAGAGGGACAATAACCAGCACTTCCAAATTTCACAGAAGTGGATTTTGCTGAAACATTGCAAGGGGGTGGATTGAATGACCGTTGGGGTCCCTTCTGTGTTTCTATATATGCTTGCTTATTTCGTTCTTAGGGGAAGCTCTTCCCTTTAATCTTTCTGCTACCTTAAACCCGCACCTTTACTATAACTGTAAATTTTGCTAATGTGTGTTACAGTTCTAAGGTGCCATTGGTCTGTAGCGATTAACACTCCCAATTGCTTGTTACTGAATGTGATTGCTCTGGGCTTTTAATTGTATGTGATTTAAAAAATAATAAACTTTGCATAGTGCTATTAAGAGTTCAAAGCACTTCTCATGCATTATCCAGTTGTAACCTTTACAGAAGTGCTGTATTAAGGTCACCTAGTTCATGGCAGAAGGTGAAATATGGTGTTTGACAGTTGGTCAGCGTAGATGGATTATTTGCACCCTCACTTCTGCCAAAAGACTGATATTGATTCACTGTAACGATAATACTATGCCCCCCTTTGATCAATGGATGGAAGATAAGATGACTCTTGCAACATATGAACAGATTGCTTTTAGACAAAGACTGTATATGGAAAAATATAATGATACTTGGAATGCGTTTACAAATATTATAATGCCTTGCTAATAATTGTATACTCATTGGAATAATAACATTAGATACATACATACATGTATACATATACATACACCAATATATCTATATATGGATGCGGGTGGCGCTGTGGGTAAAACCTCAGCGCCTAGGACTTGCTGATCGCATGGTCAGTGGTTCGAATCCCTGCGGCGGGGTGCACTCCCATCGTTCGGTCCCAGCGCCTGCCAACCTAGCAATTCGAAAGCACCTCCGGGTGCAAGTAGATAAATAGGGACCGCTTACCAGCGGGAAGGTAAACGTCGTTCCGTGTGCTGCGCTGGCTCGCCAGATGCAGCTTGTCACATCTCCCATCAATCACCCATCTCTTACTACCCTCCTGAGAAAAACCCCACCCTCCCACTATATATAAAGGTCTGGTGACTTCTGTTTCAGTGTATCTGAAGAAGTGTGCATGCACATGAAAGCTTATACCCAGAACAAACTTTGTTGGTCTCTAAGATGCTACTGGACAATTTTCTTATATATTTCGACTGCGTCAGACCAACACGGCTGCCTACCTGAATCTATTATTTATATATATCATATATAGTACTGGGTTACAGTTTCAAGCACCTTTTTGGTTTTTCCCCTTAATTTTTTCACTTTGTGTCCCCTGAAAAGTTTCAATATACAGTACTATAAATATATTTTTTTATAAAAAAGGCATTGTAACTCTGTGAGGGGTAGACATCAGTGCCCAGAATTCTCCCCGCCCCACCGTTGTTGTTTTTTTTTGGGGGGGGTACACTTTGAAGGCAGTTTTAGAAACTCATATATAAGCTCCTCAAAGCAAGGTTGCAGTCGCCAAAACTGAATGTCTAGTTGCCATTTTAGGGAAGTCTTATTTTTCAAATGATGGACTGATAGTAATTGAGTCTCAGTTCAGCATCTGGCTGGTTCAGCTAGGTTAAGACCTTTGAGAAGAAGAAAAGTCCCTTGATCCAGGGACATTCCACATGGTCTATTCCGACCTCTTTTTCTTAATGGTGAAATGGACCATTCTTTGCAACTGTGAGCAGGGCAGTATGGGGTAAGTGGAGACGAGCTTCAACAATAAGCTATACCGTTGTTCACTGCTCCTGCTCAAGCTGCACAGAAAAGGCATTTTGATTCCTGGAATTCAATCTGATTGTGCGGATAAAATATAACTGATAGAATTCTATAGGATGGGGTATTAGTGCATGAAAACATAATGATCCAGCGATCCGCAGGGATGCGCCTCCAGATGGTGGAGACATCATGCGCCCAGGTATCTTCATGTGGCCGCAAGTGCAAAATGCTCCTGGCACCTGGCTAGTTTTGAACACTGTTTGAAGGCATTGTAAAGGTAAAGTGTGCACTCAAACCCGGTCTCTTAGCTCCTACACTGCGCCAAACCACACTGCAGCAGCCCACTTTTTCTCTCTCTAGGGTGCCCAGATGCAAGACAATTCAGTGGTTGAACAAAAAACGGGAATTTTTGACAGAGGTAAAAGCAGCTGCTTGCTTGAGCTTCCTTTTTTTCCTGCAAGACTGTTAAAAGCAGGAATGTGGAACCATTTTCAGGCCGAGGGCCGCATTTCCTTCTGGGCCAGCTTCTGAGGGCCAGAAGCGGGCAGAGCAGTGAATGCACCAGCAAAAGACCAGGGACTTTTAACAGTTGCACCATTGCTAGCCTCAAAACACTCAGCCGGCACGAGCGCCGTTGTTGCTAGTTGAATGTGATGAGTGCTTTTCATGATCTTTGCAGTGAAAGGTAATCTGAGCTTGTTGCACGGCAGCGGGTGTGTGTTTTGACTCTTAGGTAATGGGGTTTGGCAGTGGGGAAGCAAGCCTTCAAGTGCTGTTGTACTCGACAAAGTTTCCCTTTCAAGCTTGGTTCCCTCTGACTGAGCAAATCCTTCACTTTTAAGTATTGGGTTGTGCATTCCAAGCTGCAAAGGCGGCGTCTGGAAAACCTGTTGTCAGTGGCGTTGCAGCCAGGGAAATGAATCTGGGAGCTGGTGCCTACCTGTCCCTTGTCAACAGGCTTGTTTGCCTTCTGACGCAGTTGTGCTGTGCAAACCCGCTGAAAGAGATGAGATTGCAGAGGTGTTGTTTAAGGCGACAGGGTGTGCTGTGGTGGCTTCCTGGTTGTTTGAAAAGCAGCAACTCTTCCATAAAGGCCCGGAGGTTCTTTAGAGGGCCTTTTTGCGAACCTGGCACCTTCCAGATGTTTTGGACTACAACTCCTGTTATGTACTGAGTTGAATAGGATCCAAAATGCAGCAGTCTGATTGGTCCACAGGAGCCACCCAATCCAGCTCCAGGTGGAAGTGAATCCGCAACCTGATTGGCCTACAGGAGAATCCCAGAATTAGCCAATCACGTGGGGCCCATTGTGTAAACAATGTATATAAAGCAGACATTCTGGGGGAACTTCCATTCCTCCTCACCACTATGAGCTGAATAAAGAGCATGAAATCCACTCTCAACTCTGAGTATATTTCAACTCCCATGAGCCCCAGTGAAAAATGATTGCTGCTGCTGCTGCTGATGATACAAGGATAGGCAGTGCTTTTTTCAGCCGGACCGTGCCGGAGCGCAGTTCTGGCGCTTCTTTGATGGGTACCATTTTGGACGAGACTATGATGGAAAGAGTGATGTTATCTATGAAGGAGATGATATATGGAAACCATCTCGATTTGCCACTTCTTGAAACAGTGTATTTTGTCCAAAATTTGCAGTGATTGAAACAGAAATAGCATTGGACCGGCGCTCCTCCTGCTCGCTTCCTGCCTTTACGAACTTCTGAGAAGCCCAAAACAAATATTTCAAGTCGAAACAGAAGCTGGCCGGCATGTGCGAGTCTACACTTTTCAAAGATCTGTGACTCCACCAGGCTTCTAGCTGCTCCCAGCCTACAGAGCAGGGCCAATTCATATTTCTTTTTCTTCAATCCTTTTGTGTAGCAGCTGTGGCCTTGAAGCTTTCTAGCCAAGCCTCTACCATTGCACGAAGGCCGTTCTGAGCTGCCCTAGCCACCCACTTGAATCTAAGAGAACGAGGGCTGCAGGGTGTGTGTGTGTGTGTGATTTTAGCATAGTTGAATGACGCCCTATTTGTGGCAGATGGAAGGTTATCTATCTTGTGTGTGGAGGAGGAGAGATAATATGACTGGTCTTTCACATTAGGAAATGATGTGTCACCCACATGAATGAGTGGCCTTATTAACTGAGGTTGGTTCCTTGACTAATTATACAGTAGTAAGAGCCACCGTGTAATTTTTTAAAAAGTCCATCTGAACAGAGTATCTCTTTTCAAGTGGTTTTATTGGGTGGACTTCCTCTTCAAGCCTTCTTCTGAAACATTGGTTTTATAAAGGAAAATAATAGGAACCTGGTTCTTAAAACAGGCATTTAATCCTTTTTTTTTTTAGCAGTATTTCTGTCCATGTTTCATCCAGATGTTCTGAATTTTGCTAGATAGTTCTACTTCCTCCACACAAACCCATTCACATCTGCTGTACTTCTGAACCTGTTGCAAATTATTACCGGGTTCCAGCGAGCTGTGCCGTCTGATCTATGTGCCCTTGGCAGGGGCCTTCGCCCTTCTAAAATGCATGGAGACGGAAGGAACTTGTAAAAGCATCCAGAAAGCCAACATGCTGCAAATGGTTAGAAGCAGGTGCTTTGGCCCTCCAGATGTTGCTAAACTACAGTTCGCATCAGCTCTGGCCAGTGGCTGTGCATGCTTTTCTTTTTTTTAATTGCGCCAGGAGGCCTGTGAAACAACAGTGGCTTTAGTCAGCAAAGGAAACTAGGAGGAGAAAACTGCTTTATGGTTTAGTTATACAGTGGTACCTCGGGTTAAGTACTTAATTCGTCCGTACTTAACCTGAAACTGTTCTTAACCTGAAGCACCACTTTAGCTAATGGGGCCTCCTGCTGCTGCCAGAGCACGATTTCTGTTCTCATCCTGAAGCAAAGTTCTTAACCTGAAGGACTATTTCTGGGTTAGCGGAGTCTGTAACCTGAAGCGTATGTAACCTGAAGCGTATGTAACCCGAGGTACCACTGTATATTTAAGGAGACGTGTATCAGGAACCAGTAAGTGCAGTTTTAATTTCGAAACGTCTATTTTAAAACAGCGCCACTTTCATTCTGACTCTTTTGTGTGAGCCTAGGAATCCTAACTCTCTGCAAAAAAAGAGTCACACCACTTCAGCTGGGCTCCTGGAGCCACGTGGCTTTGTGGAAGCTTCAAAGCCGCATTGCAAAGAGAATACCTGATCTCTGGGCATTTGCCCTGAAGAACAAGCTTCTGAACTGCGTTTGAAAAGGCAGAATCCTTTCGTATGCCGTCAGACGCCTGCAATCTTTTTGAGGACCATTTTAGCCAAGCTGCAAAGGTGCAAGAGGTCTTTGATGAGAATGAGCACGTCCAGTAGCGTCTGTAGGCGGGTTCACACAAGTATTGATCCCTTGTCACTCAGCTGCTCAGCACTTGGGGCTTGATGTACATGCTCATTGTTTGGCAGTGGCACCATGTGTGAATGAGCTGTCGTGGATCTTATGCATCAGCTCAACGGCAGCATTTTCCCCCCATCAGTGCTTGCATTCAGTTGGCCGTTGTCAAGTGGATGAAAACTGGGTGATGGACAAGAATGTGTGAATGAGGTCCTGATGAATTTTGAACTTGGCAGCTATCTCCATTAGGAAGTATCTCAAATAAACTGTCGGATACCCCGGAGGGGGTCAAACAGTTCCTCCCCAAAAAGTGAATTGGATTTTTTTTGCTATATTTAACTACTGTATCTGGCAAGGGAGCTTAGGCTGAGAGATGGTGATTTGCCAGAATCCACCCACTGAGCTGCTTGGTTCAGTAGAAACCAGAACCTGAATTTCTCACGTCCTACTCACGTCCTGTTCACCGCAGAGCAGGGTCGATTGCACATTTCATGGCAGCCAGCTGGCTGCGTTTTTGCCCTGGTGTTTCCTGTGGAGAGCACACAGAGTGCAAAGGCGTGGTGCATGTTCCCCTAAATGCACATTAGGCATATACCAAGGACACACTGGTAAGTGTGTGTCCTTGCCCTTACTGCAAAGTACTTGGAGATACACAGCCCCTCTTTGTAAACCATGTGCATGGTCCAAACAGAAGCGTAAAAGCAAGTGTGCCTGGTGCAAAGTGTGGATTGGATGCAAAGATGTTGTTTAAACACCTGGTAGAAGCCCAGATGGGACGCGGGTGGAGCTGTGGGTTAAACCACAGAGCCCAGGACTTGCTGATCAGAAGGTCGGTGGTTCGAATCCCCGCGACGGGGTGAGTTCCCGTTGCTCGGTCCCTGCTCCTGCCAACCTAGCAGTTCGAAAGTACGTCAAAGTGCAAGTAGATAAGTAGGTACCACTCCGGCGGGAAGGTAAACGGCATTTCCGTGCGCTGCTCTGGTTCGCCAGAAGCAGCTTAGTCATGCTGGCCACATGACCCAGAAGCTGTCTGCGGATAAACGCCGGCTCCCTTGGCCAGTAAAGCGAGATGAGCACCGCAACCCCAGAGTCGGTCATGACTGGACCTAATGGTCAGGGGTCCCTTTACCTTTAGAAGCCCAGATGCCCCTTCATTTTTCTTTTAAAGCAGGCTTGGCCAACACAAATCTCCGCCGAAAGACCAGCAACTTTAGCGGCCTTGTCTTGACAGCTTTCAATTCCAGCTGGTCATTGTAAGACTTCTGTTAATGAAAAAAACGGTCCCCAAGCTTGCTTTCTTCCTCTTCCCTCCCACTCCCCTTTCCTTTGGTGTTGTGATTTCTGGCCCTGGTCCTTGGGTTTGCAATCAGTCTTATAGGTGGTGTTTGTAACCTACTCTGCCCCTCTCCTTTTTTGTGCTGAAGCAAAGGATGAAAAGTTGTTTTGTATTTAGTCGGTTTATATACTGCCCTTTATTGAAAGATCTCAGGGTAGTGTACATCATTAGAAACACGTTGCAAAACATCACTGACAAAAAAATAAAAAGCACACTGACAGGCAGCCTAATAGTAAAATAATCACAATCTATTAGTGATATAAATCAATTAGTACGTATCAATTATATATTGTAAATCAATTACTGATCTAGGGACTGGTGTAGGCTCAGTGGTCAGGAGTGTATCAGTCGCAAGCTCAGGGAACCTCTTACCGGCAGTCTGAATGTGGTTATTCAGTTCTATTCCTCCAGCGTTCAGGATTCTTCCCTTCCTTGGCTTAACTTGGTGCCTTCAGTGACTACTTTTGTCTGGCTGGAATGTGTCCTTGAACAAAGGATGGAAATATGTTTAAACCTCTGACCTTTGCACAGCTGGATTGTAACTGCTGTACATAGGAAGGTCATAACTATTCCTTTACTGTCCTTTAGACGCTGGCCCGGCTTGTCATGTCTCCCCACCCCACCCCTGGCAGGGAAAAAGGTTGCTTATAAGGAAATGTGGCCTTTGGGCAGAAAAAGACGTGTGTTAAAAGCTCCACAATGCCAGTTACTGGAAACCATGGCGGTGAAAGTGCCTCTGTGTTGGGTCTGGCTTGCAGTTTTTCCTGCAGGCAACTGGTTGGCCACAGGATGCTGGATTTAGGTGGGCCTTTGGCCTGATCTGTTGGGACGCGGGTGGCGCTGTGGGTTAAACCACAGAGCCTAGGACTTGCCGATCAGAAGGTCGGCGGTTCGAATCCCCGCGACTGGGTGAGCTCCCGTTGCTCAGTCCCTGCTCCTGCCAACCTAGCAGTTCGAAAGCACGTCAAAGTACAGGTAGATAGATCGGTACCGCTCCGGCGGGAAGGTAAATGGCAGTTCCATGCGCTGCTCTGGTTTGCCAGAAAAGGCTTAGTCATGCTGGCCACATGACCTGGAAGCTGTACGCCGGCTCCCTCGGCCAATAAAGCGAGATGAGCGCCACAACCCCAGAGTTGGTCATGACTGGACCTAATGGTCAGGGGTCACTTTACCTTTACCTTACCTTGGCCTGATCCAGCCAGGGGTATTAAGTTCTGAATAAAGCATTTCTCATTCTCCTGTTCTTTATATTTGCAGTCCGAGTGGGAAGAAATTCCGAAGCAAGCCCCAGTTGTCGAGATACTTGGGGAACACTGTTGACCTCAGCAGTTTTGACTTCAGGACAGGGAAGATGATGCCTAGTAAATTACAGAAGAACAAGCAGAGGTTAAGGAACGATTCGCTCAGTCAAAACAAGGTTTGTTCGCAAGCACACTTTATAGATGTGTCAGTTCCATAAACTTTGACATCTCTCTCTCTCTCTCTCTCTCTCACACACACACACACACACACGCACACACACATATATAGATTTAAAGGAACAAGTGTCTTTGTTTGTTCACACCTCCTATCAGCTTCTCCCTGACATCTTTGCATTTATCTTGATCAGTGATGGAGGTGTTTGCTTGGGTTTTCGTTTTTCATTTCATTTTTTTCAACGCTCCGGCAGTGACAAAATAAATAGAAGTAAGCCTGGAACATAACCCTTGAAAATAATTCCACAAAACTTCTGCGTGTATAATCAAAGGTACCAAATGTCTGTGCTTTCCATCTGTATGATGAACAACGATAAGGCTGACAAAACACTTCCAGGGATCATTTTGATGCGACAGGTGATGCCAAGAGATAACCTGGTGCATTTTCACAATGTTGTCAATGCCGTTTGTTATCGGGGGAGCAAAAGTAGGTTTTTTGGCAGGAAGGCTGCGTCTTGCCGGTATGTGCATTAAAGGTTATCGCAGGGCCGATCTTCAGACCGGGATTCCAGTAGTTAAGGGATCAATGATCTGTATCGCTCTTATCCTCCCTGCAAATGGCAGAAACTCAATGGGCTGAATTCAAAGTGGTTTGGCATTCCATTGACCCACTGGCACCTCCTTTCTCTCTCTCCTACCCAGATAATAATAATAATAATTAATAATAATAATAATATTTTTTATTTATACCCCGCCCTCCCCAGCCTAGACCAGGCTCAGGGCAGCTAACACCCAATATAAAATACAACTTAAAAACAAGATTAAAAGACAACATTAAAACATTAAAATACAGCCTCATTTCAATGGAAACTCAAATCAAAAACTTTTTGGGGATGAAAACGTCAAGTCTTCACCAAGGCTGGTCCTACGTGGGCCAGAAAAAAGCCAGGGAAGTCCCCAAATAGGTGTTCCATCACAGAAGGAGAAAGGAAAGAGGGGGAGAGGATCAAGTTGATTCCAAGCCGAAGGGCAGGCGGAACAACTCTGTCTTACAGGCCCTGCGGAAAGAAATCAGATCCTGCAGGGCCCTGGTCTCATGAGACAGAGCGTTCCACCAGGCCGGAGCCAGTGTTGAGAAGGCCCTGGCTCTGGTTGAGGCTAATCTGACTTCCTTAGGGCCTGGGACCTCTAGGGTGTTGCTGTTTATGGACCTTAAGGTCCTCCGTGGGGCATACCGGGAGATCTTCTCCAGAGGCTCCCATCACCCCCTGGGCCTGATTTAGAGGGTGCACAGGAAAGGGTCTGCAGGGGAAAGGAGTGGGGTAGTTCTCCTCTTGTGCTAGCAGAACATTTGCATGGTGGATCAGTGTTACTTGGTGTAGGAATCTTTTTTCGGTTGCTGAGACAGGTCTGTCTCAGAGCAGGGCTTTCAGTGTGGCTGCCCCTGTTCTGCGGAACAGCATTCCTGTCGAGAAATCACTGGAGTGCCCTAGCTGCACCTACAAGGAAGCAAACAGAGAACAATCTTGTTCTGACAAGCTTTTCCAGCTGCGCAAAGAGGCCTCTGCCAACAGGTGTCCGCTTTGTATTGTTTCAGGACACATTTGCCTTGCTAGCTCAGTTGGTAAGAGCATAAGACTCGTAATCTCAGGGTTGTGTGTTCAAGCCCCTTGTTGGGCAAAACATTCCTGGATTGCAGGGGTCTAGGATTCTATGATCTTCTGTTTAGTTGTTGCTTTGTGACTGTTTTTCTTAGATTTTGTATATCAACAAATATCTAGATATTTGTTGAAGGCTGATTGATGGATAATAAATTAGGAATGGAGGCATTACTTCTCTCGTAAAAACATAAGAAGGGCTTGCTGGATTAGGCCAATGGCGCCTCAAGTCCAGCATCCTGTTCTCACAGTGGCCAACCAGAGGCCCGTGGGAAACCTGCAATCAGGATTCAAACACAAGACCACTCTCCCCTCCTGGGTTTTTCCGCAACTGGTATTCAGATGCATTTCTGCCCCCCACTGTGGAGACAGAGCATAGGCATCATGGCCGGCTAATCCTTCTAGCTTGGTGGCTGTTTAACTGCTGTTTTGTCCTCTTTCCACTTCCTTTGTGAACCTAGACCAGCGGTTCTCAACCTGTGGGTCCCCAGATGTTGGACTACAACTCCCATCATCCCAGAGCTCTGGCCTTGCTAGCTAGGGGTGATGGGAGTTGTAGTTCAAGAACATCTGGGGACCCACAGGTTGAGAACTGCTGCCCTAGACCATGGGTAGGCAAACTAAGGCCCAGGGGCCGGATCCGGCCCAATTGCCTTCTAAATCTGGCCTGCGGACTGTCCGGGAATCAGCGTGTTTTTACATGGGTGGAATGTGTGCTTTTATTTAAAATGCATCTCTGAGTTATTTGTGGGGCATAGGAATTCGTTCAATTTCCCCCCAAAATATAGTCTGCCCCCCCCACAAGGTCTGAGGGACAGGGACTGGCCCCCAGCTGAAAAAGTTTGTTGACCCCTGCCCTAGACAGTCAGGATCAAGTGCAGTGAACGCTATATATCCTGTCAGGTTCACTGAGGTAAAAAAAAGCAAAGTGAGGCAATGCTTTCCTGGATCAGTCACATGGGTGTTCCCTGCCAATTGGATCACTGATTGACCTCACAGGATATCAGCATTCCAGGCAGTTACAGCCCCCTTCCAATGTGATCCTGGAAAACCACTCCAGGAAGGGGATGCTTTTGGCTACTATGGAAAACGTTCTACATATGTTCTTTCAGCTTGGCTCCAGGTGAAAAACATCCTTGCATCAAAATGTCCCCACATAAAAACCTCCCTCTTCAGTAACCTTGCATGCAGGCAAGCAAAAGGCATTATCACATGGGTAGGCAAACTAAGGCCCGGGGGCCGGATCCGGCCCAATTGCCATCTAAATCTGGCCCCTGGACAGTCCGGGAATCAGCGTATTTTTACATGAGTAGAATGTGTCCTTTTATTTAAAATGCATCTCTGGGCATAGGAATTCGTTCACCCCCCCAAAAAAAATATAGTCTGGCCCTCCGCAAGGTCTGAGGGACAGTGGACTGGCCCCCTGCTGCAAAAGTTTGCATTATCAGAATTCCAACCAGGCAGAAATCTCATGTAGGATGTGAAGCAGGGACCACAGAGGGTGTGTGGCTGTGATGTAGTGAGAGTCCCGAGGGCCAGGTAAAAAGGCTTGGAGGGCCACATTTGCCTCCACCCTTGCCATACATGCATAGGTAAGCTGGTGTATGAAATTTCCTCAAAGCGTATTTTATCATGGTGACTCTTTCTTTAAAAAACGTTTGGTGTTCAGGAGAAAAATACGAGCAAGTTCTTGCATGTCCCGCCGTGATTACCAGCCATGTAATAACTTCTCTTGTTTCCCCATTCTGCTTATCAGCTGTGCGATAACATGTGGTTTTTCTCCTGTCTTCGAATAGGGCAAACCAGATTTAAACACAACACTGCCAATCAGACAAACGGCGTCTATTTTTAAACAGCCGGTCACCAAAGTTACCAACCATCCTAGCAACAAAGTGAAGTCTGATCCACAGCGAGTGATTGAACAGCCCAGACAGGTAACTGGGGGCGATGGGTGGTTTGGGGCTGATACGGCCCAGAAGGACAGCAATTGGAAACTATTTTGTCACAGAGGAAATGACGTGAAATAGTGGGACACCTGCCAATGGGCAGTTGTGGTCAAATATCCACCACTGTATTCCATTTTTATTACAGAAATACAAAATCGACGCCGTCTAAATATCAACATGATGCTTAATGTGCAAGATGCTTCGCATTAATACTTTTTTATATAATTTAGACAGAAAAATTTATTTTGTATGAAGGAAAAACAATGCAAAATTATTTAAATGACTGGCTCATCTTAAATGTGTAACAAACAAGGCTAACAAAGTGTTCCAACAACTCAACGAAAGAAATAAGAAAGTTATGAAAGCTAATTTATTTTTATTTATTGCATTTATGACTCACCTTTCCTCCAGGAAGAGCTCAAGGCTACGTGATCCCACCCTCACAATAGCCTTGTGAGGCAGACAGATGGTGACTAACCCAAGGTCACCCAGTGAGCTTCATGACTGAGTAAGGATTCGAAGCCGCCTCTCCCTTTTTCTAGTCTGATACTCTAACCACTACACCTCTGCATATTGTATTCTGGGGCACTGTAAAGAGCTTCCCCTCAGAACTGCTTTTATTCAGAAGTTCCACTGGTATTGCTGGGGCTTGAATTTCCCATTCGGATTGCAGCCTTAGGGCCAGGTCATGGTTTCTTTGTACGTGTGTGAGGATATTGACATTTCACATATCCGGCGAGCCTATACTCTTGGTTCACCGGGAGCTTTTTTTTGGGTGAGTCAAAGGCTTTTCCTGGATGTCTGTTTCTTCTCTGCCTCCCAGATGCATCACGTTGGAAGTCCTTTTGATCTTCCTGGATGATTAGGTCTTCCTAAAATAGGTTAGCCCTTTGAGATGACTTTGGAGGCCTGTGGGAGAAACTCTTTCAGTTCTCCAGCAGAAGGCATGATCTGGTCTGTTAGAAAGGGTATGTGTGTAATATTGGTTCTGTTGTGGGCCTGGCTGTTACCTTGTATATTTCCACAGTGAGAGCTGTTGTTTGACAGCGGAACAGACTCCCTTGGGAGCTGGTGGACTCTCCTTCCATGGAGGTTTTTAAGCAGAGGTTGATTGACCATCTGCCATGGATGCTTTAGTTGAGATGCCTGCATTTCAGGGAGTTGGACTAGGTGACCCTTGGGGTAACTTTCAACTCAATAATAGGCAAACTTCGCCCTCCAGATGTTTTGGGACTACAATTCCCATCACCCCTGACCACTGGTCCTGTTAGCTAGGGATCATGGGAGTTGTAGTCCCCAAACATCTGGAGGGCTGAGTTTGCCTATGTCTGTTCCAAGTCTTCCAGTTCTATTACAGTGGTGCCCCGCAAGATGAATGCCTCGCAAGACGGAAAACCCGCTAGACGAAAGGGTTTTCCGTTTTTCGATGCGCTTCGCAGGACGAATTTCCCTATGGGCTTGCTTCGCAAGACGAAAATGTCTTGCGAGTCTTGAGATTTTTTTTCGCTCCCCCCCCCCTTTTTCTAAGCGGCTAAGCTGCTAATAGCCTTTTAGCAGCTAAGCCGCTAAGCCTTTAATAGCCGCTAAACCGCTAATAGCGCTAATCCGCTAATCCGCTAATAGGGTTGCTTCGCAAGACGAAAAAACCGCTAGACGAAGAGACTCGTGGAACAGATTAATTTCGTCTTGCGAGGCACCACTGTACAGTCGTACAGTGATTGTACGACTTGTGTACACAAATGGATGAGCTGTACGGCAAAATCTCAAGAGAGAGGTCACCCTAATAACTGACCCTTTTTACTGGAGATGCTATAAACTGAATCTGGGACTTTTGGTATGCAAAGCAGATGATGATGATGATGATGATGTTGATGAAAATCGCCCATCTGACTAGGTTACCCCAGCCATTCTGGGTGGCTTCCAAAATTAACCATAGTTTTCCGTGTATAAGATGATGTTTTATTATTATAAAATAATGTTAAAAATTGGGGGTTGTCTTATACACGGATAGTGCAGAGGGGAGGACGGGCGATTGGTTGCAGCCGCGAGCAGGAGATTGTCAGCTGCGATTGGGCAGGTGATTGGTGGCTGCGGCAAGGGCTGCTGCCGATTGGCTGCTTCTTTGTCAACTGGGTGTGTGTTTGGTAGCTGCTGCTATGGCAATTGGGCTGGCAATTGGTGGCTGCTGGGGGCGAGTGGGCAGACGATTGGTGGTTTTGGCGACGTGTGATTGGCAGCGTTAGCTAGGCGGGTGAGCAATTTTTGGCAATCCCCCTGAAAAAAGCTCAGCAACTCTTGGCAACATCCCCCCCAAAACTCAACAACTCTGGGCATTCTTTCCCCACTTTCTTAATTTGGAGTCCCCAAAAATAGGGGTCGTCTTATTCACGGGAGCATGTTATACACAGAAAAATACGGTAAACATTAAGACATCAGGACTGCCTTTCGATAGATGCTCTCTGTCATTGAGCTCTAGCCATCTCCCCTTTTCTAGCAAGCCTCCTCTATTTATTTATGCTTTTATATGCCTTATTGGGTCACTGTCTTTATATTTATTCTAAGTAATATTTTTAATAACAACAACAACAAAAAATATGGTGATATAAATATTATTGTATGCTATTTTATCTGACAATTATGATATCATTTTTTTGCAAGCTGCATTGTAGATGGAAGGGTGAGGTGCAAATATTTTTCATAAATACCTACGTTTATGAGGATTTCTGATAAGTTTCCCACAGTGGTAATGAACAGCCTGGGCAGCTGCCACATCTCAGATTAAGACCCTGCCACCTTCATTTGTGTGGGGAACTACTTCTTCTTCTTTGAATAAATTGAATTAGAGTTTACAAAGAGAGATACAAAATTTAATACCAAGTATCTTTTTTCATCCAACCGTAATCTAAATAAAATAAAAGCATGGAGGAAACGAAAAAGGATAGGAGAAAAGAAAAAAAGAGGGGAAAAGAAATGAGAGAAAACGACAAGAAGGAGGAGATAGAAAAGAACTTAAAAGAGAGAATAGAAAAGATAAAGTACAGAAATTAAAGAACTTCAGATTCTTCACCTGTCCACTGTATATAAACAACAAGTCACTTCATTGGTGTGGAACATCTGACCCATAGGCTGTTTTGGGTGAGGCATGCCTTGGTGACAGAAAAAGGCATCATATTCAAAAAGTACCTACCATATTTTTTGCTCTATAAGATTCACTTTTTCCCTCCTAAAAAGTAAGGGGAAATGTGTGTGCGTCTTATGGAGCGAATGCAGGCTGCGCAGCTATCCCAGAAGCCAGAACAGCAAGAGGGATTGCTGCTTTCACTGTGCAGAGATTCCTCTTGCTGTTCTGGCTTCTGAGATCAAGAATATATTTTTTTTCTTGTTCTCCTCCTCCAAAAACTAGGTGCGTCTTGTGTTCTGGTGCGTCTTATAGAGCGAAAAAAACGGTAATTCAAGTTGCTGCAGAGGAAGGCCTGCATTTCTAAGCACACGGTTGATTGTTCCTTTGCATCTGCACCTTGAATTGGGAAAGCACTGCCTTCAAGCCAGGGCTGCAAAGGAGAAAATGAGAGCACACTTAAGAGCATGCTCCAGATTCTTCTTTCACAGCCACAGTTTGAAGCGTCAGTCACCTGGCATCCTAATGACATCAGGCGAGGGACAGGTGGCTCACCCACCCCACCTGTCGAAAGTGGCCCACACAGGGTTAACTGCTCCTGGATCTGGCCCTAGTAGCGGAGATGGGGGGAAGACCTCTCTGCCTGATGAGACCTTGAAGCGTTGCTTCCAGCCAAAGTCGGGATGATTCATTTATAAGGCAACTTCTCCCTCTGTATATATATATATTCATAATGTTGGAGACCATTCCATGCACAAAAGAATGAAGAGCATTTGGTGTGACTTCTCTTGAGTCCAGCAGCGTCCTCCAGACCCGACCTGCCATTTCCCAGAAGCTACAGACCAGCACAAGATCTCCAACATGGATTTCTTAAGTGTTCTAGAACTGCAAAGGCATTGTTACTGAGCCAGCTCTGTAGAAAAGCTTGCGAAGAAGGCACTAAGCTTTGAAACCTAAGGAGCAGTCTAAAAATGCTGAAATGGGAGCAGCTTTAGGCTTCAGGTTAATCAAGTGTCTTTTTCTTTGTTGTACGAATGTGCTGAATAGGGAAGGGGCCCAGTTCAGACATTCAGACCTGCGTTAAAAGCTGCCCACATTAGCAGAGAGCCAGCCTTGAGTGTTTGCATGTTTGGAACCACTCAGACAATACCCTTGTGAGTACAGACGGTTTGTCTGATACAAATGAGACTTCCTATTTGTCTACGCAGCACCTCGTTTCATTTTGTGCGGTGCTGAGCTTATCACGAGGAGACTGTAGCTCAACCGCAGGCCGCATGCTTTGCATTCCGAGGTCCTGGTTTCTCAATCCCCAGAACCTTCAGTAAAAACAGAACCGAAAATATCACATATTGTAGAAGCTGACTAAATACCAGCTCCTTCAACTGTTCCTCATAAGGCCTGCTTTCCAAACCCTTGATCATCAACCCTTCCTCAAGCTTGTTAGTATCCTTCTTAAATTATGGCGCCCAGAACTGGACACAGTATTCCAGGTGTGGTCTGATCGAGGCAAAATAGGGTGGTACTATTACATCCCTTGATCTGGACACTATACTTCTGTTGATGCAACCTAGAATAGCATTAGCTTTGTTTGCCACTGCATCACACTGTTGACTCAGGGAAAGAACTCTGGGGAGCCACTGCTGTGAGCTGAAGGGGCAAATAGTCCGTAAGGCACCTGGCAGGACCCAAGCCACCAGTAATTCACCTTGAGCGAGCTGGAGTTACCTCTTTCTTAGCAAAACAGGATCAGCACAGGAATTTCAGGCCTAGTGAGCACAGCAACTCAGGTCTTGCCCCCATGAAGCAGTTGCCTAGACCAGGCACCCCCAAACTCGGCCCTCCAGATGTTTTGGGACTACAACTCCCATCATCCCTAGCTAACAGGACCAGTGGTCAGGGATGATGGGAACTGTAGTCCCAAAACATCTGGAGGGCCAAGTTTGGGGATGCCTGGCCTAGACTAAAGGTCCCTGCCTCCCCACAGCCAGCTATGTCTCCTCCTCTCCAGGATGTATCCCAAGCAATCTGAGATTGTGCCTCCGTGGCTGCCTTTGCTCCTCCCTCTTCATGCCTCTCCTGCCTCTTCACAAGCCTGACCCATCTCTGCCTCTTGGCCTCCTCCTTTCCTACTTCAGCTTCTGCCTCCGATTCTGAACCTCTCTCTTACTAAGCCCTGTTATGTCTTCAGCTTCCACCATCCCATCCTTCCAGTCTTCTCCCTCTGATCACTCATTGCCGTCCCACCACAAAGGGAGTCTTCTTCCCCTTGCGGTTCCCCAGCTGGTTCCTCCCACCATTCCTCTGTGTCCAACCAGTCTATGGCATCATCTCTATCTGTTTCCATTGCATGATAGATGTTGCTGCAGGCCTAGATGTCTGATACAGACAACTGATTTCTCCTCTTCCTCAACACCTCTGGCATTGCTTTTAAAAAGGCGGCATCTTGTTTACTTCTGCACCCGAACTGTGGCATATCTTGCCCTGCAAGGCTTGGATGACCCCCTCTCTTTAACCATCTTCCACCTGCTAGGAAAGTCATTTTTGTTCAGGAAGACATTTTGCCTTGTTGAGCAGAGAGTATTATCCTCCCAGATTTGCTGTGCCTGTTCGGCCTCTTACTACGTTCCATGCATGTTCAGTCTGTGTACACCATTGCTTGAACTGGTACACCCGGTTATTCAAGTGTGATATACGGCGAGTGTACCATCTGTGTGCCTGTGTTCACAACAGTTGAGCTGTAGAAATCAACGAGTGTGTGCTCTTTTGTACAAACACTTGTACATGTGTAGAGACAGCTTGTACCTGGGTTCAGTGTAATGTGCGAACACGCTTTGTATTTTCTTGATGATGTTGTCTTTATGATAATGTGGTTTTAATTGATCTAAGCTGATCTGAATACCCATATGCAGTAGAAGGGTAGAGATAATTATATACGTGTATCCATATAAGCACACAAGGTAAAGTAGCAAAGGCTGTTGATGATGGTCTGGTGAAGGAAAACAGGAATGAAATAATTGAGTTGTCTCGCGAAATGTGTAAATATGGGCTGAAGTTGGTCACTGCCACGATTGTCTTAAAAGTGATCTTAATTGGACAACCAAATATTAATGGCTTGTGTAGAGAGCACTGAAACAAAGCAATTACGTTGCGTACAAAACTCATCCATCACATTATCACTCTGACCAGGGTCTACAGGGATCACCAAACTTATCTGACATAATTGTAACCTAAATTGATTTTTTAAATCGGCTAAATGGGAACATTTTATATAGTCCTTACAGTAATCATGCCAATTGTATCATTTTAGTTCCTATTTAAGATAAATTAAGTAGATGTTTAAAAAATTGTACTGTCATTTTCACAATGAAAAATTACTTGGGGGTAACAAAAAATGCTCCAATTACTAAGTAAGGAGTTGCAATTGAATACCTTGGTTTTCAGGAAAGGAGCACATTTCAGAATAATCTAATTAGGTGCCATATGTAAGATCTCCATTTGCATGATACATCCACTTGCTTAGGGTGGTATTCAGCTAAGTTTTACTCACAGTAGGCCCACTGAAATTAATGGCAATGTCTTAGACATGTTCATTAATTTCAGTGGGTCTCATGGTAAGCAGCAAGGTTGGTAATTCAACTAAGTTTTACTCAAACGTAGTTCAACTACTACCCTTGCTGATTACTCTTATTTTTTTCATTTTGTTTTTCCTTCAACGTGTACTCTTCCCTCTCTCTCTCTCTCTCTCTCTCCCTCCATTAGCTCTGTGAAGCATATTAGACTGAGATATAGTTAACTGGTCCAAGCTTACCCATGGCTGAGCAGGGATTTGAATTTGAGTCTCCTTGGTCTACAGTCCTTGCAGATTTACCTGCATGCGCAAGTTCACAAGTACCTTACTGATGCACGCATTTTCAGGTGCTGAACTTAGTCACCCCGTGCCACAGGGCAAATGACACTTACACTAGGGCAGAATTAGCAATCGAGATGCCAAATCAAAGTTTAGCTGGTCCCAATGAGTGATTTCCAATGCAGATAGCACCTTTGGAACAAGGACTCTTATTTAGGACAGCAGCAGGAGAGGAGAGGGTTAAATTCTTCCACCACACCTGCTGTGCTCCTTGTAATTATCCATTGCTCTCCCTGCAGCTGATGCTATCTGCATTTTTTTAAAAACAGCAACAGCCCCCAACAAAGCTGCCTTGTGCATCACGCGTAGTTTGGTCCTTGGGTGAGCATCCTTGAAAGCTACCCCCTTTTAAGTTGATTATGCAGCCCTAGCATATTGGAAGCAATCAAGGGCTCAAGACGATTGTCCTTAACTGGAAAAAGTGTGCGTTTGCTTAATTGTTTTTGCATCAGTTTAAAGTAAGCAAGTACAGCCGGCGCTCATCTGCATTGGAGCAATCAGGTGTTGGTTTGTCCTGTGCACAAGTCCCATTCAGGTGTGTTATTGGGCAGCGACTGTTCATTTTGCAAGTCTTTGTGCAAGAGAACTTCCCAGAGGAGAGTTTCTCTTCAGTAGCAAAGCTCCGCAGGGAACTGGCACCCAGAATCTGCCCTGGAAGTAACCTTGAAAAAGAATAAAAACAAGAGATGTTTGCTTTAGTATCACCGCAAGCTGCTTTTGAGAGGTTGATTGCGTCTAAATAAATGGGGCATAAATATTTGAACTAAACCCGCAAATAAACAAAACGATTCCTTCTGCTTTTCCGTCAAGTTGGCAGCATGCAGAGGCTGTCTGTAAATCTTCCAGCGCTGTTGCAGAAGGGATTAAGTTTATGCCTATAAAATGAATATTCCGTCTTGGTTTTCCCTCCCCCCCTGCAGTGTTTTTGTTACTTTTCCATTTTAAATTAACCCGGCAATCTTTCAATCTTTTCAGCTTTTCTGGGAGAAGAGGCTGCAAGGCTTGAGTGCATCAGATGTGAGCGAGCAGATCATAAAATCCATGGAGCTGCCAAAAGGCCTTCAAGGTACTCTTTGCATCAGCAGTGTTCTGTGCGCTCCTAAAAAATGGGTGGCTCTCAAGCTGGGGTGCAGAGGGACATTTTGTGCATGTGTGGATGCATCTGAAGGGGTGGGGAGTGTCAGGAGTTCAGCCTACACTCGAGTAGGACCCTGGCAGAGACACATGCCCGACTGGCATGTTCTCTCCCTCCTGGTTGATCGTTTGGGAGCTTCAGAAGCTTTCTTCACCCCAGACATTACAGTGACCGATGCCAACCGACACTGGCACACTTAGGGATCCGCAGAGTTCGTGCACCCTGTGTGACAGACCTCAGCAACTCAGCATTTTGGCTAATCTACTTTATTTACATATAAACACACACGGAGCACTGCAACATGGCTCCCTCTCTCTGTAGCATCAGACAACAAAGAGAAAACAACAACAAAGGACAACAGTCACACTTCACAGAACACAGTAACACAAACTCCATCACTTCCCACTTTGTGGAGTCAAAACATATACCATCATGTGAAAGACAAAAATCCCATGACTGCAATCATGGAGCAGGAATTCTAACAGGGAGGGCCCACATGCTTGACTTTGCCCCCAGTGTCCACATTGTAGCTTCACATCTTGGTACGCTGGTGGAAGTCTAAAGGGTGATAAGAACATAACAGCAGTAGCCCTGCTGGTTCAGACCAAAGCTTCATTTAGTCCAGATTCTCAGGTGCGCAGCAACTGCCAGGAGGAGGAGAGGAAGTCCTATTCTGTGAGCAAAAGCCTGTTTGGTGTGGGGAGAAATTCCCTTTGAGGGTTCATTACAGAGGCTGTCACCAAATTCCCAGCTTGTCTATTGAGTACTGCATTACAGGACAGAGTCCAGAGAGTCTGCAAGAACTTCCCATTAGGAAACATGGTATATAGTAAAAGATAGTCACCTTAGGTATTTCTTCCTCTCCCCTGCCATCTTCTGCCACCCCACTGCCTGTCAGGATGCTGTCAGTGGCTCCCGGCTGGTTGCCCAGGAACGTATAAAGACAAGGGAGAGTTTCTTACCGTCCTTTTTTATTTTAATCTTTACAGAGAGAGGCTATAGAACCCAGCCTCTTGGATAATGGCGTTGTCCTGACTGAATCTCCACCCCCACCCCCGTATCTCCCACATCCTCATTCATCATTCTCATCATCTCCTCTATGGGTGCTACCACGTGCCCTCTGTCTTTGAGCTCTTTGCTCTCCTACTTTTAAGTCTTGCTGGGCTCTGGGAGACGGAGGATCTGGAATGCTTTCTCATGACATGTCAGCTGGTGTTGTTCTGCCTGTTCCATGATTTCCCAGCTTTTCCTCTCATCTGCCTCTGAACTGCGGCCTCCCCCAAACCCCTGTTGTAAATCTATACTGCCTCTTCCTCCTCCCCGGAAGGGTCAGGTTGGGGAGGCAGTCTCCACCATTCCTCCTCTGCCCAGTCCCTGAAATTGCCCCACCATCTTTTAGTCAACCACAGTCCTTGGAAATGGCATGTGTTAGACCCCTCATTGTACCATATCTGGAGTTGCTTTGGCCATTAGGTTCCTCCGAAGCTGGTTCTTGCCAGTTTTGTGGTTAGGCTGCCCTCTTGCCCCACAGATAATTGGTTGTCCAGAATTCCTAGAGTGTCAAGCTGAACCTACACTAAGCAGGAAGGTGAACTGAATGGGGCCAGCACGGTGTGGGGTGAGACCCGTGTGTGTGTGTGTGTGTGTGCCCCTGCATGCTTCATCTCCCTCTCATGTGCTCTGACTACCTGACTAGGCTCTGGGATGGGAGGTTTGGGATCCTTGCCACCGGATCCTGCCCGTTGAACTTTGCTCTGGTGAACCTTATTGACAAGTGCGGCTTTTTTCCGTTCCAGGGGTTGGCCCGGGGAACAACGACGACACCCTCCTGTCTGCCGTCGCCAGCGCACTGCACACAAGTTCTGCCCCCATCACAGGGCAGCTCTCTGCCGCCGTTGAGAAGAACCCAGCCGTGTGGCTGAACACCTCCCAACCTCTCTGCAAAGCCTTCATCGTCACGGACGAGGACATTAGGTAAGTCCTTGCCCCCACTGCTGTTGAAGGGCTTTTCCTCTCACTGCAAACAGCTGTGGCGATCACACAGGGTCCCCGGACGTTTCACCATCTCTTGATCCCTGTGCCACCACTTTATTTCTCGCTGCCACCACCCAGGCCCTACCTGATACAATACTGAGTCCAGTCAGGGTTAAGTTGGAACATAAACTTCTGTTTATTTATTGCAGTTTAACAAGCGTGTGGTTTCATAAACGGTATTGGTCAATTACAATCATAGGGTGCTTATCCAGACCTATAACTTCCGCTACCTGCTCTCACTCACTAAACCACCTCTCAGATATTTACTTGTTTTCCTAGCCCCTAACTGTTCCTGACTCAGCTTATTTCACTACACTAACTCAACCAACCCACGGACTCTATCCCAATTCAACCAACCACCCAACTCACAAACTCTCCCTTCGCCCCTCCCAGAGCTGGTTTTATAGTCCCTCTGACTCCACTCCCTAGGTTCTGATTGGGTAACCTGTTTAACTATTTCACCTCCAGCACTCTCATATGTTAACATCACACCAGCCCCATTCTGTCAGGTGGATGGAATTCTCTCCTTTTATCACTATGTGTGTTCACATTGCACACACTTCCTCTCATTCTCCCGAGTTGATTTCTGGATCTTACCAACTTTTCAGACTTCTGACTTTACAGTTTTACCACACTCTGCTATTTCAAAGGTCTTCTATGAGCTCAATCTTGTCCATTGCTCCTCCTCACAGTTTGTTGAAGAACCGTTGAACTTTCAGAAGTTGGGCTGCACTGGGAGGACCTGTAGCTGGACGCGCAAGTTGGGCAAGCAGTGGTGCCACGTTTGCTGGGTTGATCGACTTGTAAAAGATCCTAAAGTGGATGGAATCAAACCTGCAACCTTGGCGTTATCAGCACCACACACAAACCAACTGAGCTATCCAGGCAGGCAAGCCTCAGAAAGGACAAGAAGAGAAAAGGATATTGAGCAACTTTCCTGCTTGGCAGGGGGTTGGACTCGATGGCCCATGTGGTCTCTTCCAACTCTATGATTCTATGATTCTATGATTCTATGATTCTATGATTCTAAATAGAATATAATAAAATCATGCATGATCCCTTCATGTAATGGACTTGATGATATATAGAGGCAATTTCCATAGCATGAGAGACTTTTGGTAACTAGAGGTGTAATGACTAGAAAACGATGTCTAAAAAAAGTAAGAACGATGGTTTGAGCTGATCTATTTTCTTTGAAGGGCCAGGTTTGCCTTCCCTTTGAGAGCAGTTGGAGGAAGCCTTAAATCGGGTGTTTAGTGTCACCAGCCTCCATGCTGGAGACCACCCTTCTAGAAGAGATTTGGCAGGCACCCCCAAGTGTGTCTCTTGACCTCTCTGTGCCAACAAGCCTATGCAGTGGTTTAAAATTTTCTTGGGTAGCCAGTCGTTTTAATCATCACTCTGTATTGCTTTTGTTTTATTCTTTATGTTGTTGTACAGTAGCCTGATGCTTTTTGAGATGACCCCTCTAAAATAAATAATAAACCTCCCTCCCCAGTGGGAGATTTCTGTCCCCACTGCAAAGCAAGCTCAGGATCATGACACCTGCTGTGTCGGGGCTGAACCCTGCAGCCTCACTTCCCCCAGATTCCTGCATCCTTTCTGCCCATTGAGACTCATTCCTGTTGATGCTTAGAATGTTGCACCTGAAAGCAGTTTGCAGAGATAACTTTGTTTCATGGGGCTGCTCTTTGTGACTTAAGAAAAGGTGTGCCCTTTCTCTTTCCCATCCTGTTAGAGCCCAGGTTTTGAAGGGCGTGTTTGAAGCTTCTGCCACCTCAGCAGCAATGCAGCGTTCGCAGAGCTTTGTGTATTTCTGCTGACACAACAGCCCACGGCTGTGCCAGTTCATAAACAAGGAAGTAAATCAAATGGGGCCATGTTTGGCCTGTGCTGGGTGAAATATGAGAGTGGGCACTTTCCCAATACAGTGGTACCTCACGTTAAAGATGCTTCAGGTTACAGACGCTTCAGCTTACAGACTCTGCTAACCCAGAACTATTACCTTGGGTTAAGAACTTTGCTTCAGGATGAGAACAGAAATCGCGTGGCGGCAGTGGGAGGCCCCAGTAGCTAAAGTGGTTCTTCAGGTTAAGAACAGTTTCAGGTTAAGAACAGACCTCCAGAACGAATTAAGTTCTTAACCCGAGGTACCACTGTAAAAGTTTGCACTGTGGAGTCAGACTATTACGACTGCCACATGCCTTTATATTTCATTCACATATGGCTTTTGAGATGAGCCTCACAGTGGCCCATTTCCAAATCTTTGTGTGATGGTGTATCACCGGGGTGGGTTGTCCAAATTGCATGGCTCCTTTCCACCCCCTTGAAAAATACTGAGATAAAAGCTTTCAATAACTATCAAATGAGGCCACCTGCCCCATCTAGCTGCAAACAGATAAATGGGGCAGGTAAAAGCACTGTGGGGCACACAGTCTCTCGGCTAAGGATGCTTAAGGAACCTCTGTATTTCCAAATTCCCATGTAACTTGACTTGCTCCTCACCTCCCGTTTGTGGATTGAAATGCAGCTATTCTGTGGAAGATAGTTCAAGAATGTCAAATGGTCCAAAATGCGGCCATCAGAGGCAGTCAGTGTTGATGATATCATTGCCGTAGCAGCTTCACTGGCTGACAGTGAGTTTCTGGGCCCAATTTAAAGTTCTTTTTTTTTTAACCTTTAAAGCCTTAAATGGTTTGGACTGAAGTTGTTCCTTGGATTTGCTGCAGCTGTATAATCCTGCCAGCAAAGAGCAGAGTGCAGTTTTGCTCAAGTCTTGCTTGTAGGCATCTGGTTGGCCATTGAGAGAGCATTGCTGTCTCCTGCTCCAGAAGGTAGGATTCGAACCCATGGCTTCAGGAAAGGAGATTCCAGCTAAGCGTCAGGAAGAACTTTATGACAGTAAGAGCTGTTTGGCAGTGGAACAAATTCCCTTGGGAGGTGGTGGACTCTCCTTCCTAGGAGGTTTTTAAGCAGAGGTTGGATGGCCATCTGTCATGGAAGCTTTAGCTGAGATTCCTGCATTGCAGGGGGTTGGGCTAGATGACCCTCGGGGTCCCTTCCAACTCTACAATTCTATGATTCTACGATGCTGGACTAGTTGGGCCTTTGGCATGATCCAGCAGGAGCTAAGCACCAGAGGCTCTTCCTGTAGGTCCACTTCATAGGTTGTGAAGATGGGTGGCCATGAGAAAGCTGTCGTTCTCCATGGCAGACTGCCAGCACTGGAAATTCTCCTTTCAGCTCTTGGAAAATGAGGAGGACTTACACCAGGCTTTCTCCTGTAGTGCTTCCTTTTTTTGTGCAGGAATTATTTTTAAAAACACGGGGATTTTGAGAAATCCAGTCCCCTCCTCCCCTGCAGTATGAAGTGATACAGCCTGGGCCCACTTTTACTGCTGTGGTCCCTTGGTTCTAAAACTTAATCCGTTCCAAAACCAAGGTGCGCTTTCCCATAGAAAGTAATGCAAAATGGATTAATCCGTTCCAGACTTTTAAAAACAACCCCTAAAACAGCAATTTAACGTGAATTTTACTATCTAATGAGACCATTGATCCATAAAATGAAAGCAATAATCAATGTACTGTACTATAAAATAAGACAGTATTGTAGATGATAAGAATTAAAATTAATTTTTTTCCTTACCTGCACTGATGATAGTCATTGTTTGGATGGGGGGCTTTTATCCATTTCCGCAGTCACACAGTCAATCAATCAGTAGCTGAACTGGGTTCCACAGAGTCACAAAAACAAATTAACCGGAAAAGCCTCAAAAACAAAAATGCAAAACAAATAGCAAAAACAAAAGGGCCAAGCTTAATCCGTTCCGGAGGTCTATTTAACTTCCGAAATGTTTGAAAACCAAGGCACAGCTTCTGATTGGTGCAGGTGCCCAATAGCTGACAGCTGCATTGGACACTCAGCTTCTGAAAAACGTTCAAAAACCGGAACACTTACTTCCGGGTTTTCAGCTTTTGGGAACCAAGGCGTTTGAGAAGCAAGGTACTACTGTATATGACCTGTGCTTGTGTTCGAATCATAGAATCATAGAATTGGAAGGGAGCACAAGCATCAATTATGCAAATCCCTGTAATTGCAGGAGTGTTTTTGCCCAAAGTGGGGCTCGAATCCACAACTCTGAGCTTAAGTGTCTCATGCTCTATCACTGAGCTATCCTGGCCAGTCCTAACGTACAACAATTTCGCAAAATTGCTCTTGCAACCTTTTACTTTAGTAGACTTTGCTCACAGAGATTTTAACCAAATAGGCTCGAAGAGTTTGGTGAATTTTTAGCAGTCCTGGAAGCTCAGAGATGAATGCAGATCCTTGATGTCACAAATCCCTCCCCCACTCCTTTATTTCTCCCTTTGAAAATTAGTTTTGTTCAATAGTCTCTACCATCTTCTTAAAGTTTGGGACTAAGCGTTTTTTCGGCTTCACTGTGTCCCGAACAATGTAATGGAGGCATAAAAAGTTAACACAGCATGGGTTCCCCCCTCTATTATTTCTGCCGCCAGCAGGAGACGGCTAACACATAAAAAGAAATGTTCCAAAGGATTTCGGGGTGTTTTTTGTTTTGTTTTAGCAGTTGAAATCCCAGACTGCCTCCGGCAGAGGGCAATGTTGAACCACAGTTCTCTAATAGCAATGGAATCCTGATCTGTCAGAAAAATAGTGTTTCCAAGGTTCGTTTGCTTTGAAAAGTCATATCTCTTGTTCCTTCTTTTCTTTTCCTCCACGTCACACTTGCATTAAAAAAAATATTAATATTATGTTTGCACGGGCTACCTTTGATTCAGTTGCATATTCAGGGACTTTTGTTTCCAGAGTGCCTTCTCTGCAAATTAGCATAGGAAATCAAGCTGAACATATTAATGGGAAAGTCATTTGCTTCAGGCCTGCAGTTCTTACTTAACTTGTGATGATGCGTTTTCACTTAAAGGTAGCTTCCTAAGTGCAAGTTGGCTGTCGTTTTAGGTTTTTGTGACTGCTGAGTCCCTCTCTGGTGATATATATGCAGGACAGGGCTGAGCTGTGTAAGCGCAAGATATAATAACAGGGAAATATTTTGTGATATTTCCCCCAAAGGATCTGTGTTCCCATTCTCCTTTGACAGATTCATGTGCTTCGTCAATACAGTGGTACCTTGGGATGCGAACGGGATCCCTTCCGGAGCCCCGTTCACATCCTGAAGGGAACGTAAGACATGACGATGCGCCTGCGCATGCGCGGGTCGCGTTTTGCCGCTTCTGTGCATGCACACGACGTCATTTTGAGCGTCTGTGCATGCGCGAGCGGCAAAACCCGGAAGTAACGTGCTCAGTTACTTCCGGGTTGCCGCGGAGCGCAATCCGAAAGCGCTCAACCTGAAGCACATTCAACCCGAGGTATGACTGTATTATGATGCTGATATCCAAACACTCCTCATCCAAACATGGGAAAGACTGTAGTTCAGTGTTAAAGCATCTTCTTTGCATGCAGAAAGTCCCAGGTAGGGTGGCGGAGAATTTCAATTCAGTTTGCATTCAAAAGACAAAACTACCTAATTCAAACTTTCTGAAGCAACACGAGAACCAAAACACAGGTGTCCACCAGAATTCACACTTCTTTGAATTTTGCAGTGCAGTTCACCGGCAAGAAATGCATGCAAAATAGCATACACCAGGGTAAAGTGTTCATAAGCTACATATATTAGTGAAAAGATTGTACAAAAATGCGCTGCATTGGGGTGGGAGGGATTGCTTTGGGTATATTAACGCAAAACTGCCAAACAAGAATGTATAGATTGAGAGAAATTTGTACTAAAATGCTGACAGATTTTCACGTTTTTGTTTCTTTTAAATTGCAAACCAATGTGGAAATGCGGAGAACTGAACTTAAGATTGGAAAAGTAAGAAACTGCAAGAAACCAAAAGCAGGGGAAATGGAGGAGGCTACAGGAAAAGGGGTGAAAGGGGAAATAAAAGTGGGCAATGGAACAAGCAGAGGGCAGCCTGGCTGAGAGATGCACTTGGCTGACACTGACATATTGATATGGAAAACCTGCCAAGCCTTTGGCTGCAGAGGTCCTCTCGTATGTGCAAGAGGCAAGGGACCCCAGCTCAGTGGTAGAGCATGAGCTTTGCATGCAAGGGGTCTCAGCTTTGATCCCTGGAGCACCCAGTTTTTGAAAAGGGCACAGGTAGCAGAAAAGCCATTTCTGCCATAGATCTGGGGAAGGTCCTGTCAAGCAGAGGAATACCCGTATTTTTCTGTGTATAAGACACACCCATGTATAAGACGCTCCCTATTTTGGGGGACTCCAAATTAAGAAAATGGGGGGAAATTGCCCAGAGTTGTTGAGCTTTTTAAAGAGGGGATTGCCGAAAATCGCTCACACACTAGAGCTACCTGATTGACACAGCAACAGCCAATCAACACAAGCCCTTGCTGCAGCAACAAATAACACACTCAATAGTCACTGAGAATCTCCGGCTCACAGCAACAACCAATCACACATCCCCCCCAATGCACTACCCAGATGCCCCCCAGTTTTAAACGTAATTTTTAAACTAAGCTAGTCTTATACAGTGACACAGGTGGTGCTGTGGGTGAAACCACAGAGCCTAGGACTTGCCGATAAGAAGGTCGGCGGTTCGAATCCCCGTGATGGGGTGAGCTCCCGTTCCTCGGTCCCTGCTCCTGCCAACCTAACAGTTCGAAAGCATGTCAAAGTGCAAGTAGATAAATAGGTACCGCTTTGGCGGGAAGGTAAACGGCATTTCCGTGTGCTGCTCTGGTTCGCCAGAAGCGGCTTAGTCATGCTGGCCCCATGACCCGAAAGCTGTATGCTGGCTCCCTCAGCCAATAAAGCGAGATGAGCGCCGCAACCCCAGAGTCAGTCACGACTGGACCTAATGGTCAGGGATCCCTTTACCTTTACCTTTAGTCTTATACAGTCATACCTCTGCTTACATATCCCTCCGCTTATGTAAATTTTGGGATACATAAATGGCAAACCCGGAAATATATTTCTGGGTTTTTGCTGCACACGCATGCGCAGAAGCACTGTACCACCGCATGCGCAGAAGCGGTCCCTCCTGTTGAGGAAACTTCAGGATCCGACCGGAGCTCCGGAACAGATCCTGTCCACAACTGGAGGTACCACAGTACACAGAAAAGTAATTCCGGGCTCCCATATGCATTGCATAAGCTTTTCATATACATTGCTTTTCACTGCCAACTTCCCACTCTCCCCAAAGTGATCCTCAATTGTGATTTGCATCCAGGCCACAAGATTCCTTGTGCAAATACACATACATTAGTGCCTTCCATTCATTTACTTTAATCTCGCTCTCTAAATGCCGGCGGATGATTTGGTGACACGTTCTCTGTCTTGCACCTTTTAAATCAGCCTCGGCTCTGGAATCTGGGACACCCCCCCCTCCACAGCTCTTCTGCATGCGCAGGGCGCCCCTTTTGAGCTCCCCGACCTGTGCTTTTGCAGAGTTATCCTTACATCGCCTGTGTGTTGCTCAAAAATAAATCTCATTCATCAGCCTTGACATTACTGCCCCCCAACACTACTAAAGCCTGACCCAGCGCGACGTACTGAATGGAAAGATAAAGTAAAAGATCTGTAAACAGCAGCATAAAGCATCTTTATTATTTAGTGAGATGCTTTTTACGAGGCACATTTGCAGTCTCCGCGTCAGCTTGATCCAAGAGTTTCAAAATAAACAAAGAAAGTGCGATCGCTTCTTATCCGTGACGTAAGGGCAGCGGCTTTAAAGGTATTAGAAACATAGAATTTTAGAGCTCAGAAGGACAGGGCAGGAACTAAAATTTGAGACTCGGTCACATCATCCCAGGTCTTTATCCAGCCAAATCACTGTTTTTTAAAAAACAAAAACAAAAAACCCTTTGATGTTTTAAAAGACCATGTTTTTGGCCAGCAGGGGCTCTGCCAATAGTTTTTAGTGGTAAAGGTAAAGGGACCCCTGACCATTAGGTCCAGTCTTGACCTACTCTGGGGTGGCGGCGCTCATCTCGCTTTATTGCGCGAGGAAGCCGGCACACAGCTTCCGGGTCATGTGGCCAGCATGACTAAGCCGCTTCTAGTGAACCAGAGCAGTGCATGGAAACACCATTTACCTTCCCGCCGGAGCGGTACCTATTTATCTACTTGCACTTTGACATGCTTTCGAACTGCTAGGTTGGCAGGAGCAGGGACCGAGCAACAGGAGCTCACCCCGTCTCAGGGATTCGAACCGCCGACCTTCTGATCAGCAAGTCCTAGGCTGTGTGGTTTAACCCACAGCGCCACCCGCAGTTGGGTTTAAAAACCTGGTTTGCTTGTTTTAATTACTTGAGTTGGGAGTGGGGAATCTGGGGCCCTCTAAATGTTGTTGGACTCCATTTACTGCCAGCTCCAGCCAGCATGACTAGAACTATAATCTAGCAACACCTAGAGGGTTACAGGTTCCTCATCCTTGTCTGAAGGCAGCTAGAATAATCAATTTTGAGTTTGCTTTGAACATCCTGCTTTTCAAACATGGCTTGTGGGATTGTGAAATGTTACAGAAGAATGCTTGAAGATGGGAGCTCTCTGCTCCTTTCAGTTATCCAGTGTTCATTGCGCTCATTCCTTTAAAATAAGAAAAACTCTGGTGCATAGTAAGGAAAAGTACATTTGGAAAAGTTTTGGGGATTTGCGTTCAGCTTCTCCATCTAGGTTTATTAAAGCCATACAGGTCTTTGTAGCTGCTAGCTTTTCATCGCTCTCAACAATGGAAGTGTGGCAGAGAATCCCAAGAGATTTTTCCACCCTGACATCACATTCAGTGCTGGCTTTCAGCATTCCCCCAGTGACTTATTCTTCCTGAATTCAATAGTTCCGCGTTTATGTTAATTCTTCTTCCAGGAAAAAAAAAGATGGTGGATGGGCTTTCTTTTTAGTCTTAAAGTCAATGACCTCCAAACTGGTATATGTATTTGGCTTAATTTAGCTGAAATTCTTTCTTCTCAACTGCTATATCAGAGTTCATACGTGAAATTCAGTGAATGTTGATGAGATTAGTGGTGGGTCCCTATTAAGCTACCTATGAAGAGTTTCATTAAAAGAATCACATAATTTGCCTCAGTGGGGAGCATGGATTTTAATTTGTAGCGAAAAATACTGTATGCAGATAGTTTTCACATTGGCCACAGCAGGTGTTTTTCTTGATGTGGAAACTCTTCTCATTGACTTGAATATTTGTACTTTAAATGGATGTGAATTTGGGCTTCTCTTATGAAATCTACCTGATCCCCAGTAAAAGGTATCCATCCACCTGATCTACGGGTAGAACCTGAGATCTATGGGTGTAGGGCAGCATACAAATTATTATTATTGTTATTGTTATTATTATTATTATTACCTACACAAGCAGTGTTTAGAGCATCTCATTTGTCAATTATGGCTCTCCAGGTAGCTCAGTTGATAGAGTTTGAGATTCAATCTCAGAGTCATGGGTTCAAGCCGCAGGTCTGCTAATTTTCCTGCATTGCAGGGGGGTTGGACTAGATGACCCTCAGGGTCCCTTCCAAGTCTACAGTTCTGTGGTTCTTTGGGAACGCCTTCTTTTAGATCAGGGCTGGGGATCCTGTGGCCCTCCAGATGTTGTTGGACTCCAACTCCCATCATCCTCGGCCAGTATGAGCCATGCTCAGGGATGATGGGATTTGAAGTTTGAGAGGGCTACAGGTTCCCTCGGGGACTCACTTTCACATATAAAGAAGGAAGGAAGACCTTTAGGACGGTAGAAGAAGCAGGAAGTCTCTGGAGGAAGTACTGGAAAGATCTAGGTGGAGAGAGACTTCAAGAGCTAGAGGAGACAAGACAGGAATAAAATAGAAAAATTTGTTTTATAGTTATTTCTTGAATGTGGTAAGGTAACGTGAATACAATAAATCTGTATGTCACTAAAGTGTATCTCATGCAATGTAAGTGGGTTGAATAGTAAACTCAAAAAATGAAGATAGTAAATTGAAGGAGTTAACTGCATTAGAAAGATGATCTTGGAGAACTGTTACAAAGGTGTCACAATGAAATTCAGTTAGGGGGGATTAGAGGAAGTCAGATAACAATGAAAGTTAATTTGGATTTTAGAAGTATTAAGTGTTTTTAATTTTTCTTTCTTTTTTCTTCTAGTATTGTAATGTGTTTCGTTTTGAGTCTTTTATATGTTATATTTGTTATAAATGTGGAAAATTAATAAATTTTTTAAAAAATCTCAAAAGAAACAAAATAGAAAATGTGTTAAGGAGAAAAAAATGGGATATTATATGTCTACAAGAGACTCATGTCTCCAGTAATCACACAAGAGTTTTACAAAATGGGAAATTAGGAATAGAATTTATTGCATCAGCGACGGAAAAGAAAAGGGGGTTGGCAATCTACACAAAACCTAGTTTGGACCAGAAGTAGTTGTTCAAAGATGAGGAAGGAAGAACTATAGGGGTGGAGATTAAATTTGATAACAGAGGGCCACAGGTTCCTCACCTGCCCACCTTCAATCCCTGAATTATAGAGATAGCACTGGCCTGCTGACTGACTTCTCTTTCCATTTGCGGAGATAATACTTCAGTGATGTTTTTCCCCTCCGGGTTATTCCACAGGAAACAAGAAGAGCGAGTACAGCAGGTACGGAAAAAGCTGGAGGAGGCGCTAATGGCAGACATCTTGTCGCGAGCTGCAGATACAGCTGACTTGGACGAGGTTGAGATGGACGATGGCGAAGAAGCATAAGAGGCAAAAGCATCAGGTACAGCCACGGGTTCCTTGTGGAGCGACAACGCCACGTGTTGGAGTGTCTCCCTTAGTTACTGTGATTGCTGCTTTGCTGTTCAGCATGAAAACCCTGCAATTTGTGAAGTGCTTCACAGAGCACAGAAGTGGCCCGGCTCTCCTCTCCAGGGCTGCCAAACTGATTGGCTAAAGGTGAAGAGACAGAATAGATCTTGATGAAAGGCGCCAGGCAAGGGCCATTCTCAGCAGCAGAGCCCCTGCGTTTGCATGCAAAAGGTTCAGTTCCTGGCACCTCCAGCTAGGGTAGCAAATGTTGAGTTGGTGAAAGGCAGCTTCCTATGCCCCTGTGTCCTTCCCAAGGCCTTCAAGGTAGTCCCTTCTTCTTAAATGTTTGATTTAAACTACATTCTGAATGGGATGCGGGTGGCACTGTGGTCTAAACCACAGAGCCTAGGGCATGCTGATCAGAAGGTCGGTGGTTCGAATCCCCGCAATGGGGTGAGCTCCCGTTGCTCAGTCCCTGCTCCTGCCAACCTAGCAGTTCAAAAGCACATCAAAGTGCAAGTAGATAAATACTGTAGATATCACTCTGGTGGGAAGGTAAACGGCATTTCCGTGCACTGCTCTGGTTCACCAGAAGCGGCTTAGTCATGCTGGCCACGTGATCCCGAAGCTGTACGCCGGCTCCCTCAGCCAGTAAAGCGAGATGAGCGCCGCAACCCCAGAGTTGTCGGCGACTGGACCTGATGGTCAGGGGTCCCTTTACCTTTACCTTTTTTACATTCTGAATAGATCCAGTGGTCGCCATCTTGCCCTCCCCTGTTCTTTTTTAAAACGAGTAAGATTTCTCCATAACTGAATACCTCAACATGGTGGTGTGTATATAGCATGAGTGGGAAACATACAGGACAATCTTGACCCACCAGGAAGCCCAGTGGCACAAAAGGGTATTTCCACAAACCATGCCATCAGCTGGTATCACTGGCCATTATGTTTTATAGCTGGTTCAAGCAAGAGCTTGTGGTCAGAAGCCTCCAGGTGACAGTAGCTGTCGCAGCTTCTAATAGTTCCTGTAGCCCACTGTGGAGGCCCTCTTCCAACACGTCCTTAGTGTATCCCCTCTGCTCAACCTCAGGCAGTGCTTCATTTCTTGCAGCAGAGGTGAACAAGGAAGCTGCAGTGTCTCCTGGTACTTTTTGTTTGCTGTAAGTAGTTGTTGGAGGGTGAGTGTTCGGCAGCTCAATTCTATATATTATCCAGAAGTTAGCTCCATTGACTGTACTGGGGCTTACTGGCTGGTAGTTGGATACTGAGTGTGGCAATGTAGTTGGATATTGAGTGTACTTGTGAGTAAGCAGCCCTGAGTGAAGAGTAGAATATGTCTCTTCCCGGGAACCTGTAGCATCTGTCAGGACCAATAAAAGTGCTACAGGCAATTTGAGGCTTCTGATTATGTGGAAGCTTTGTTCTAGAGCTCCTGTGGTATAGATCTTCACCGTTAGAATAAAAGATGTCTAACCATTGTCATTCTTCTCTCTCCCTCTCCCTCTCCCTTCCTCTCTCTCTCTCTCTCTCTCTCTCTCTCTCTCTCTCTCCTGTTTCATACCCATTCCCTACATTCTACATACAGGTACTTAAAACAGAATGATCCCCAGAAGAAATTCCTGGAAGCTGAAGGCGCTTTTTTTGTTTTGTTTTACATTGGTCTTTTATGAAAAGAAGAAAAGGACCTGTGCACATTTATATAGCTTTCTAATAGCATTAAAAACCAATGCCTTTTTTTGGCTCTTTTTTATGTATATATCTTGGGGGGGGGAGGGAGGAGGAAACAGAGAGACCAAGAAAGAAAAAGGAAAACCCACTTTTAAAAAGTTTGTGTCTTAACGACTTCAAAAGTCTTGTTTTTTATTTTTATTTTTTTGTTACGTCAGACAATTCCCTAAACTCAAAGCTGAGCTTTCAACGCTAGGCTGCAATCTGGAACTGTATGACTAGCACTAAATATTTAGGGTTTTCCCCCCTTCTTCTCTCTCTCTTCCTTTTGTGTGGATGTATGTGTGCTGGTAACAATGGATCAGGCAAACGGAATGTTCGCTCCCGATTTAAAAAGAAAGAAAGAAGTCTATTGTGACATGTGTTGTACATATATTGTATAAAAGATTTTTTTTATATACCGGAGTTGAGTGGAAACATCTGTAAATTGACCCATCGCCACCCCTTCTCTAAAAGAGAAATAAATAACTATATTCGGAGCAACTAAATTTGTAGACTGTGATGCGCTATAATTAAGTGGAAATTATAGGCACCCGTGCCCAGATCGCCAGATGGATCGGTGGGCAGAGAAATAAGGGCGTTAAGTGAGTGGACTGTATCCAAGACACCCGGGTTCAAGTCACTGACTTTGATTTGCACTTCTTAAGGGCCCAAATGGGGATTTGGCATCCCCAGCCGAGGCAACTATCCTAAGTTCAGCGGGAACTGGATGAGCACTGTGATGCGAGTATGAATGCACACACCTGCCGAGTGTGTGCGGATCAGCCTCAGTTCTCCATTTGTGAAATGGGAATGAGTGACCTACCTCACAGGGTTGTTGTGAGGATGAACCTAATAAAGATTGTAAAGCACTTTTCAAATGAAATGGTTTGTGCAAATGTTGTAGCAGTCGGTCAGTGCAAGGAGAGAAAAAGTCAGTAGTGGTATTGGCAAGGGTGGGTGGGAGGCCATGACTTGGTGGGAGTGGGGTGCTTGCTGCTTTTGTGGACCAGATGTGGGGAACCTGTGGTCCTCCATGAAGTGATGGACATGAGGCAGGAGTTGATAATGCAGGTGAGCTGCGCACAGATGGGCTGCATGCGAGCTGCTGGCCAGCCCTGTGGAACCTCCTTTTATTGAGACAAATATGCAAACCAGGCAGATACATTTTGGGCTGTGACCTTTACACATCTTCCGGTCCCGGGATCGTGGGGTGGTACAAAGTTATTTTGACGCCTGTTTCCACCGCGTCATTGCCCCCTTGCACAGTGTATGACGAAGGAGACAAAAGGTCTCAGAGACAAAGGTTACAGACAGGACACCACAGACTACTGAGACCGCAAAAGGTTAGACAGAGGCAACGATGTTCAGACAGCTGTGGCTTTGTCTGTGTGAGTGTGGGGGGGTGCCCCGCACCCCAAGGTCACGCGTGCAGGCAGACTGTGGCTGCCTGCGGGTGGGGAGTGTGCTCCCTCCAGACCCCACTCCTCAGTCCGCGATCATCCCTACACTCCAGATGTTGCTGGACTACAGATCCCATCACCCCTAGCCATTGGCCAATGCCGGCTGAGGCTGATGGGAGTGGCAGCCCAACAGCGTCTGGAGGTCTCCATTTTCTCCCTCCCTGGTGTCGTGGTTGGAACAGTGTGCTTGACAAATTTGACCCTCATGAACTCTGAACTGAAGTGCTCTAATCTGCACCTTCAGGGCTGATGTATGGCTCAAAACTGAGCTATCTATCGGTTGCTGCATTTTTCAGAAAGCCGCAACACATTGCTCAAAATATGCATTTTCCAACGTTGAAAGAAAATATAGTTAGAATGCTATTTTGAGAGATGACACATTTGGGAACATGTACTTAAATGTATATTCTTTTGCAGGTTTTTTCCCCTTTTTTAAATTGTGGATCAGTGTGGAAATGGATCAGAGCAGACTTTGGAGTGAACACGTGTGAAAGCAGCACACACCCCAGATAGGCTGATGAACAGGTTCAGAGCAGGCTGTTCATTGCCCTATCCTGATGCCTGCCCTCTATTCACGACATTGTATTGTGTTCCCCTACAAAATGCTGCCCTGGGGTCTCCACCAATTACAATCAAGCTTGTTGGTAGCTAAAATGAGAGGGAATACTGATTGTGGAAAGCCAGTCCACAGGAAGACATCCATCTAGCAGAGTCCGAATCTGATGAGCCTTTCAAAGCTTCTTGGTAGCAGGGAAGATAATGCTTGTTGCGTGGTGATTTTTCATAAAAGTCGCCCCATAGACACCGTAGTGAATAGAATCTAGTGGCTTTATAATAATGTGCATTGAACTTCTGCAGCCGGAGCCATTTATCTTGGACTTTGCCGTTTCCAGTAGTCTCTCCTGGCCTAAGTTGTTTCCAAATAAACCATTGATCACGGGACTCTTCAAAGCCTTGCAAAGCAACCTGCTCTGCGGGTTTGCCTCCCTTGATACTGATGGGTAATTTATTCTTGTTACAAGACGGAATTGGAAGCCTGTTAAACATGCATTGAACAGTGACATTAAACTCGGGATCTGTCTACTTTTGCAGAGGAATGGATGGCTGTGATGCAGAGAAATGGTCTGCTATGACAGGCTGCAGTTTTCAATTAATGAAAAGCCTGTTAAATCTGAATTAATTAATTGGGCAGCATGCTTTTTTAAAAAATAAAATAAAAATACATTAAAATCTAGATGGCAAGCGCCATTTGAAAAGAGGCACCCCCTCTTTCAATCGCTTAGGGAGAATTCCTCTTCTTTGCATATGTGATGGTACCAAGTTGTCTAAAAACAAAGGAAACATTTCTTCAGAACTACTATCATCAATTCATCCATAGATGAAAACGTCTTCAATCAGCCCTAATGTATTATTAGGGTGCAAAATGCCGCGGCGAGACTCCCTACGGGGTCCTCGTCGCGGGATCACATTCACCCGGTGCTATACCAGCTGCACTGGCTCCCAGTGGAGTACAGGATCAGGTTTAAGGTGCTGGTTTTAACCTTTAAAGCCCTATACGGCCTAGGACCCTCGTACATATGGGACCGCCTCTCCTGGTATGTCCCATGGAGAAACTTATGGTCTTCAAACAAAAACATCTTGGAAGTCCCGGGCCACAGAGAGGTTAGGCTGGCCTCAACCAGAGCCAGGGCTTTTTGGGCTGTGGCCCCGATCTGGTGGAAGGCTCTGTCACAAGAGACTAGGGCCCTGCGGGACTTGACATCTTTCTGCAGGGCCTGCAAGACGGAGCTGTTCCACCAGGCGTTTGGCCGAGGCACAGTCTGACCCCCTCCTTCTGTAATCCTCACAGAACTCTAGCCAAATGGTTCCCATTAATTTGATTCTGAATTGATTTTAAAATGAATTGATTTTAGAATGCTGTGTTACTTTTATTGTTGTTACTGCTCTGAGCCCGGCTTTGGTTGGGGAGGGCGGAATATAAATATTATTTTTATTATTAATTATATTTATATTCCACCTTTCCCTCAAGGTGGCGTTGATGGTTCTCTCTCCCCCCCCCCATTTAATTCCCACAACAACCCTGGAAAAGAGGAGACTGAGAAGAGCTATGAAGGAACCCAAGGGTCATCTAGGCCAACCCCTTGCAATACAGGAATCTCAGCTAAAGCATCCAAGATAGTTGGCTAACCAACTTCTGCTTTAAAAACCTCCAAGGAAGGAGAGCCCACAACCTCCTGAGAGAGTTTGTTCCACTGTCGAAAGTTCATCCTGATGTTTAGTCAGAAACTCCTTCCTTGTTACTTGAAGCCATGGGTTCGAGTCCTACTCTCAGGAAGGTAACTCTTGGAGGTACTATAGAAGTTGCCTTCCTGAGAGTATTTACCTGAAAGTAAGTACTACCCTTGCCCACAAAGGAGCCCAGGGCGCCAAACTGAAAGTAGCAAAGCAGTTCTATTAAAAGAAAAATATTTTAAACTGCCACGTATGCTCACGGTGGAGAATAATTTCAAGGTTGCTAGGAACAGCATCTCTCAGCCACCAGATGCCCGCGGAGCATTTTGTACCATCCAGCTTTGGGATCAAGCGCAAGGAAAGCCCCACAAGGACTCCACTGCAGTAATCCAACCTTGAAATTATTAAGTAAGGAACTCCTGCAAATCAGGGCAGAGTCCGACAGCACAACCCTCATCCACTCCCCTCCCCTGCCATGTATGTTGAAAGGAACCTTAATGATTGCATCAAACTGCAGTGCTTTGACAGCCCTGCATTTCAGCCCTTTGCCACAGTTGCTACTTTAGCAGATAAGGCTGCTTCCTGTCTTGTATATATCTATTTAGTAACTGGATTTCCAGGCCTATAGCTTTTCTTTTTTTTATCCTATATGAAGCTGACAGTTGATTCAGGATGGGCAAAATGTTGTATTCGCACGTCGTGCACTGGATTTATGAAACTTGCTGCCGCGAACTGTGGCAAATGGACATAGGCTTAGGTGGCTTTGAAAGGGGATTAGACAAATCCATAGAGACCTGTCAATGGCTGTTAACCATGCTGCATATATGGATCCTTCAGGGTCAGAGGTGGAGTATATGCCACTGGATATCGGCTGCTAGGGAACAATGGGAAAAGGTGGTGGTTGCCTTTGCAACATGCTTGCTAGTTTGCTGGAGACCTCTTCTTGACTGCTATGGGAAGCAAGGTGCTGTACCAGATACGACATTTGATTGCATCCCCAAGCTGCTCTTCTCTTGAGGGAGAGCTTAAGTCTCACCCTTTGGTGACCCATCCAATAGCAAAGGTATAAGGCTCTCCAAAAGGGACGTGGGTGGCGCTGTCGGTTAAACCACAGAGCCTAGGACTTGCTGCTCAGAAGGTCGGCAGTTCAAATCCCCGTGACAGGGTGAGCTCCCATTGCTCGGTCCCTGCTCCTGCCAACCTAGCAGTTTGAAAGCACGTCAAAGTGCAAGTAGATAAATAGGTACTGCTCTGGCGGGAAGGTAAACGGAGTTTCTGTGCACTGCTCTGGTTCGCCAGAAGTCGCTTAGTCATGCTGGCCACATGACCCGGAAGCTGTACGCCGGCTCCCTCGGCCAATAAAGTGAGATGAGCGCCGCAACCCCAGAGTCTGCCACGACTGGACCTAATGGTCAGGGGTCCCTTTACCTTAAGGCTCTCCAAAGGTGTGGAGATGTTGCATCCTGCACAATTATGGACAGCTCTCTGCAGTCATAAATGGAGGTTACATGTTTTGCCAGTGCTTCCATCGCTTTATATTGGTGCTGTAAACAATGAATTTTGAGTAAAGATCCCCCCCCCCCCGAGAGAGAGAGAGAGAGAGAGAGAGAGATCATAATGCTGTGCTGAAACTCTTGGCTTACCTCTCACGATCCCTCGGCCCTTAGTCAGTCCAGTGAAGATTGACTAGGAAGGATTACCATCCATCTGGGGAAAATAATATTTGAGTCATTTTTGCTAGCAGATTTAATATTGTAATGCATGCATGGATACCAAAGTGGTAAGTGCATAATGTTTGTATGCCTGCATTTGTGATGTGGTATTAGCGTATGTGCTGTTTATCTGGCCGCAAGATGAAAAGCAAAGTCAAGAGGGTCAAATCACTCCAAAATGCTTGGGAGTTGTTTTGAAACACAATCTTAGAAGCTCAGCTGAAGTGTGTACAGCAGATCGGGAGACGTCCCACCGGAGTCAAGGGAATGTCAGCATCATCCTCTAACAGCAGAATCAAAGAAGCTATTAGAGGCAAGAAGGCTTCCTTCTCAAATAAAATAAAATAAGTCTGGTCCACTAAAGACAAAAAGGAACTAGAGCTTCGGCAAAATGAATGCAAACAGACAGTAAGAGATTCTTAAAAAAGAATTTGTGGAGTACATCAAAGTAACAATAAAGGTAACCAACAACAATGTTCGAATTCATTAGTAGCAGAAGAACAGTTAGGGCGGCTCTTGGACTCTTGGATGTCAAGGGAGACAAAGGAGTGCTAACCAAGCCTATAGAACAAGCCTTGCTGAAGCAAAACCAGCATGGTTAAGTCCTGTCTCAGTTGGTTTGGGATAGCTCAGTTTTGGTAGAGCGTGAGATCTCAGGGTTGTGGGTTTGAGCTCCACATGGGCAAAAGATTCCTGCATTCCAGGGTGTTGGACTAGAATGATGATCCTTAGAGTCCCTTCCAACTGCAATTCTATGATTCTACTAATCTATTTGAGTTCTTTGAGAGTGTCAACAAACATATAGATAGATGTGGTCCAGCTGGCATAGTTTACTTGGACTTGGATGGATTATACCAATGCATGTAGGATCAGGCTATCAAAGGATACTAGTTATGGTGGCTGGGTCCTACCCCACTGTGAGAATTATGTCTCTGAGTAACAGTTGCTTGGAATCACAGGCGGGCAGAGTGCTGGTCCTGCTGACAGGCCTCTCATGGGCACCTGGTTGGCACTGTAAGAACAGGCTGCTGAACAGGCCTGATACCATAGTGCTATTTTTATGTTCATGCTGTTATCACATGGAAATGCATCCATCTACAAGCAGCTGGCGCTGTGGGTTAAACCACAGAGCCTAGGACTTGCCGATCAGAAGGTTGGCGGTTCGAATCCCCACGCGGGGCGAGCTCCCGTTGCTCGGTCCCTGCTCCTGCCAACCTAGCAGTTCAAAAGCACGTCAAAGTGCAAGTAGATAAATAGGTACCGCTCCGGCGGGAAGGTAAACGGAGTTTCTGTGCGCTGCTCTGGTTCGCCAGAAGTGGCTTAGTCATGCTGGCCACATGACCCGGAAGCTGTACCTCGGCTCCCTTGCCCAGTAAAGCGAGATGAGCGCCGCAACCCCAGAGTCGGTCACGACTGGACCTAACAGTAAGGGGTCCCTTTACCTTACAAGCAGCTGTGGATATTTATCCAGTGCATTCAGTGAGATTGCATAGCCGCGTGCGTGGTCCCTATAAAGTCTTTCCATACCAGCAGAAGCAGTTAGCAGACCGTCACATAGCCCATCTGAAGGAAGTTGTTGCAAGAGTTGATTTAGTAAAAGCTATGACAAAGAAAGGAGACTCTCCGTGGGATCAGGCTGAGCCATGCAGCAAGCCAATGGCAAATATTACATCTCCCTTGCAAAGCTGTAGTGACCACATGGAAATGGATTTCAGTGGCTCCCCTGAGCATATTTTACATGGCAATTGTGTTTGCTGTACATGCGCCAGTGTTTACATTAAATGTGGATGACAGACTCTGATTCTCAACAAATGACTTTTCTTCTATCTCATTCCTGTTTTCAAGTTCTCCTAGTGTCGGGTAATTCATATTGGTTAATGGGCTGAGTTGAAAAATGGAGGTGATCAATATAAGATCAAACTGAGATGACATCTGGGCTGAGACTAAAGGAGTTAGTTTTAGGACCTGCTCACCCTCCTAAAAGACAAGAGGACATCAGGGAAAGGCTTATATGTACTGTTGAGCCTCATGATGAGGAGACCTGAACATTGCTGTTCATTGCTGTACTTGCTACAGTATCAGCATCTTGAGATGCCAGGGAACGGCCTTTTCCATACATATTGGTGCATCCAAACACTGCTGGATGTGCTTGTGCCAGCAGACCTCAACTTGAAGCCTATTGCTTCCTGCAAATTCTCCCCCATCGCTTCCCCTGGTCTTTGATCAGTTTAAGAAAGAAGGGAAGCAAGGAGAAGGATAGCAAGGGAACCTCTTTGGTCCTGCTGCACAATGCAGTGATATCAGACTGCAATGAGGTATTCAGCCTCACCAAGTGGGTTAGCAGGCAGTGGAGGGCAGAATGAGAGGTGAGCAGAACTGAATTGTGTCACTTGCTTGCGATGGGCCTTGCAGATCTCATTTCTGGTCACTGCAATTCCATCAGGAGTGACTGCTTTGCCAGGGGCCTGTTTTGGATTTTTTGCCTCCATTCCCAATCGCTGCTCGCTTGCTCACCCATTCTGAGTCAGAATAAATACGTGAGCAAGCAGGCAGCAACAAAGGGCAAGAGGAACAGGTGAGCCAGGAGGTTCTTGGCAGAGCACTAGGGGTGTGCACTGACCATATGGCTTTCCAGTTCAGTGCTTCGAAAAACAGTCCAACTTAGTCTGAGGCACTTTGTAGGCTGCCCAGTTTGGCTTCGTCCCCACACCTCTGCCCAGTCACTAGTGGAAACAGCTATTAACTTTTCCCCTTTTGACAGAAGTGGAGAAAATTTGCAGGTATGCTAGCATCTCCAGAGTACATAACTCCTGCCAAATTTGAGATGCCCTCTGCTGGATCATGAGCCTCAGCAGGCACTACACCTGCCACTGTCCCTGTGGATGGGATCTCGAGCCACCCATCCCTAATTAAAATATTCCAGTCTTCCAAGCAGAGTAGCTTGGCTCTCTGCTAGTCAATTTTGTTTGTCCCAAACAGGTTCTCAGGAATTTCCAGTACCTCTCTGGTGCATGTTCATGGGTGCTTATAGACACACACCTGTTGCATGTGTTTACTCCAAGAACAAATCTATTGTTTAATCATCATCATCATCATCATCATCATCATCATCATCTACTGTATGGAAGAGGGACAGAGCTCTTGCTTTTTTATTTTTGTTCTATTTTTCTTTCTTTCTGATTTAGGGATTTTAAATTATTGTTGTTATGCTGGTTTTTTTTTACAAACAGGATGTTGCTCTGATAAGTACTTGTTGGATCTCCTGCCTGCGACAGCAACAGATTATTGTGAAATAATTCTTGATAGGGAAAAACACACCCCGCCTATTGTAAGTTGTGGTACATGATTTTGATGTTGTTTTTTGTGACTCGGGAAATATGACTTGTTCATCCTTTCCAAATGATGAGATAAGATAATTAAGTGATAATGGTCCCTTTTCCCCCCTTAGGGAAAGATAAATGGCTCAACAATAAATAACAGGGGCACAGGCTGAGTGTTGATTCACAAACAGTTTACCTCCTAGCTCGAAAACCTAATGATCTGTTATACTTCAGCAGCAATACTAATTATTATTACAGCTGTTTATGTAATTGCTGACATTCCCGGCTGTAGGAACTAAAAAGATCTAATAGGTCATCTCATCGCTTCCTAATGCCAATGTTGGATAATTTCCTGCTGTGTTATAATTTTCAATGAAAGTCGGGTCTTTAATATGCAGATTCTACATAATCACACTTAAATGGCTTCCTCTAAAGCTGGTGGGATGGCTTTGTCCAGTCCCAGCCTCTGTGATGTCACATTTTGTGATTCTGTGCCCCACAGCTCTTGTTTTCTGACATCTTAGTTTGGTATAAGGCTGGGAGGTGAGTGCTGTATTTGCCTTGAAGAACCTAGCGAAGGAAGCTAACTGGACTTGTGGGAAACATAAAGCAGGGGTGGGAAACATTAGGATCAGGGGCTTAATGTGGCCCTCCAAGACTTTCTATCAGGCCCTCAGTCTAAGCTAAACCCCTTCGCAAGACCACAGCTTTCCGTGGACTTGGAATGTAGCCAAGTGCAAAGGTAGGTGTCACAACTGTCAACCATTGGTGTGGAAGGTTCCCCATGAGGGATTGTGGCCTTCTGGCTGAAAAAGATTCCCTCAGAAGATCTGCTTCCTTGTGCATGCTCAAATTTCTATACTGGAACAAGGGGTTAAACAGGACAGTCTTGATCGACCAGCCATAGGCTATTCCCACACACGAAACCTTAATGGAAACATTAACAAAAACACATGTTTTTCTTCTGAGGATTGTTGCACTTTCACAGCATTGATATGTGTCACAAAACATGAACAAGAGACCCTGAGATATTTCCTTGGAATTCTTTGCAGAATATCACAGAATTTTGGTGTGCTAGAGTTCACCGGAAGTTTGGAGATCATCTAGCTCAGGTGTGAGAAACCTCAGTCCTATGGGCCCACCAAGGAGTTCAATTTGGCCCACGAGGCCATTCCACCCAAACCACACCCACTTGCCAATCACCTGTCACCGGGTGCTATCAGCTGATGGGCGAGGTTCTGTATTGGTTGCGTTTGCTAGTTCCCCACAGGCAACTAGGTGGCACAACACTCCTCATATCTGGGTTAGATGGATGAATAGTCTACCCTGGTGGAAACATCTTCCTATGTTCACATCTTCCATATTCATTTATTATAGTGATGGCCCACCTTTTCCCCATAATGAAATCCACACGTAGAGTTTTGAACCAGTCTCTTATCCAGGCCGCTAGCAGACCTGTGAAGCTTCAACCAGGTTGCTACATTGTGGGGTTTCAGACTATGCCCTTAAGAGATCTTTGGGACAGAGCTAAAACCTGAAGTATTCTAGGGTGCCTTTCTATATCCCAACAATCATTTTGCAAGGGCAAAACGGAGGAAATTGTGGGCAGAAAATTGCTGACAACAGTTACCAGAAAACCAGTGCTGCTCCAAGCTCCATCATCTCTAGACGTCTGGAGATGCCAGGGAGATCACCTCATCCTGTCACCAATTTAACTCAGAACTAACTTGGCTCGGGGTGTGGATTGTGTGTCTAAGAAAAAGTTCTAAGAAAGCTGCATGGAGGACAGTTATTTTTGACCCTCTCTTGCTGAGCAGTCGGATAGAAAAATGCCAGCATTATGTCCTGTTACTCAATTTCTTTTTAACAAGAGGAACTTTGAAAAGGTCCTCTGTTAGTTGAGTGATTCCTCATCGGGGATGCGAGGAGGACAGCAGAAAATACTGGCCTGATGGATTATGATGGAACTTCCAATTTCACCTTTAAGAAGAACAGGAGATGAGTAAACGGTCTGCTGCTTTTACAAAAATATCTTTCCTAGCACCAATAAAGTTCATCACAAAGTATAAATGTGGGAAGCAGCCGTACGCTGAGTCCAACTAGGATAGGGATGTGTAGCTTCCAGATATTGCTAGACTACAACTTCCATTATCCCTGGCCATATTTACACCATACATTTGAAGTGCTATGATTGAAGCAGCCATGGCTTTCCCCAAAGAATTCTGGGAGCTGTAGTTTGTTAAGGGTGCTGGGAGTTGTTAGGAGACTCCTTTCCCCCTCAGGGTGGTTTAACAATCAACCCCTCATCAACTCTGGGAATTGTAGCTCTGTGAGAAGAATTGTTGTTGTTTAGTCATTTAGTCGTGTC